TTCCATTCATAAACAAAACTTTAATTTTATTGCGCATTCGAGTTGACAGAGTCGGCAGCCAGCGAGCGTCTTTGGCTCTGTGAAGGCGTTGGCCAAATGGTGTGGTTATTGACCAGTTCTATCCTCAGCCAGTCGAAATGGGTACTCACAAACGATTATCATAGAGCTCAAAATGGCTCAATTAGTTCTCATAGCCAACTATTGGCGATGTGGCCGTTGGCGGCGTCTTGGCAAAGTTTATTGATTGGCACTGCATAGCTTTCGCTCACAAATTGCAAGCAGTTGCTAAGTTGTAAGCATTTTTGGAATGCGACTCTTGAATTTGCAGTATAAAAAAGTTAGGCTTGTTTTGAACGAGCTGAGTAAGCTTCTTAGAACATTTGAAAACTTAAATAAATATGATGCTCTCGATGAGGAATAAATCTTAAAAATGAAATATGTATTCTTTTTCGATTATTTAGTTAAGCTCTGTTTTCATTTTAAATTTAATTTGTGGTCCACACCTATAATAATGGAGTATTTCCAATAGACAATCACCCAATTTTATTTACTTTCTATTTATTGCAATAACATAAAAAACACAAGAAGTAAAACTCAATAGGTATTTAATGTGATTACTGATCTATCCTGCACAACGCTTTTTTCTCAACATTTGTTTTCATTACAACTCCAACTATTTGGCTCCTTTTTAAAGTCAGGTACATGTTTTTTTTTCAGTATAGCAAAAACAACAATAAGACAGTCAGCCATTAAGAAATAAACTGCAATGAAAATGTATAAGAAAAAAATAAATAAATAAACCTAGGCTAACCAACTATGCCGCGCCATTTGCGCCATTGACACCCATGCGAACATTGTTAATTAATTAAAAAGAAAAACTAATAGACGATTGCGTTGACAAGATAAAATGGCAAAAAGGCCAAAGCCAAGAAAACAACACAGACAGCATACACACAAATACACATACAAACACACACACACACACACACATACACATAAGATATAACCAAATGTAATAAATTGTGACAAAAAGTCAGTTAAAATATATCGACGATGGCGTCAAGGTGCGACATTGACCCTCGATAAGTAGCGTGTTTTGTTTGTGTGTGTGTGTTTGTTTGTTTGTGGCACAAATCTAAAAACGTTATCGGAACAACAACTGCAAAAATTACAATTTAAAAGTGCATAAAAATTTTTATTGGCTGGGCAAAATCAAGTTCGCTTTTAGCCACGACAATGAAATACACTAAACAACCAAATGGAAAACTTTAGCAAATAATATGAATCTAAATATTCTTGAATATATCCCTGGTATACGTGTAATTACACTAAGCCTGCCTTTGAATATTAAGCTAATTATAAAATTCGCAAGATTAAAATGAAAAATATTATAAAGCTTTAGAGAGGAATTATATGTTTGCAATAGTGAATCTATTTTGTTTGTTGTTTAGTGTTATCAGACTGTCAGGGCCAAAACTTTGTTGTTGTTGGCTTATTGCTGCCGCAGTCGCAAGTGGCAGGCCTGCAGCTGCAACAGCAACAACAGCAACAACAATATAGAACACAGCTGTGTCTTTGCGTCAAGCTCGAATAGCAAAATTATTACCATGTTCTTTCTCATAATTTTGTTTTTTGTTTTGCTAGCACAATTTTTGGCTGCAATAATTGCCAATAGCAGAAATATTTTTGATTTGCAATTTTCTCACGGCCCACAGAGAGCGGGTAGAAAGCCTTTCACAAAATTGAGCAACCAATTGGTTTGTCAATGGCACAATTGAATCTTTCGAGCAGATTCACAATTAGCCAGCAGCATCAGCATCATCAGCAGCAGCAGCAGCAGCAACATACTGACAGCAACAACGACAACATTGGCACATACAAATGGTGTTAAGGCCTGAGCGCAAAATGTAATTTGTTTTCACACAACATAATCAACATGATAACCCCAACCAAAACGTCTTTAGATTGAGTCTAATGATGATAAACGCTTTTACTGTGAGGTAACTACAGACTTCTGACACCGACGCAGACACAGACGCAAACGTTACTGTGTTGCCAACACCAACAATGCCTCTATCCGTAACCGGAGAGAGAGCGAGCGACTGGCAGCTTGCAACTGCGGCAACTGCGGCAACTGCTGCAACTGCCGCAACTGGCTGCATGGCCAATAATAAGTCAACATTCCAAGGCGTGTTAAGAGATGCTCGATTAAATGCCTCAATTGTGGCTCATATTGAACACCAAGCGAGCGCGACCCAGCAAAACATCGACACCATACACCACCTGTCTGCGAAAAACGCTCGAAGAAGAAGCAGCAGCAAATAGGACCGCCCCCACCAACGGTCAACTTTGTGCCCATTGCCTGCTTGAACGTTGCCCGTTGTTGCCTGTTTATATTGGCCATTGCCTGTTTGCCCGTTGCCCGTTGCCCGTTGTTGCCTTGTTGCAAGTGTTGCTGTTTCTGTTGCTGTTACTTGCAAAGCTCTCGCTTGCCTGACTTTTAGCACTGACTCTCGAACAACAGCGCTCCGAATGGGCGAAATCGTTTAGTGTCGTACCTAACTAAGAAAACGTATTTTCAATATCGAAATTATTATTATTAGCTGACAGCAAATCGCAGCTTTTCGACTGTTGTTGCTGTTGTTGCCTTGGCGTTGCCGGCGCATATTGTAATAAATGGACAGGCCTGTTATTGTATGCACTTTGTACATGATATGCGAGTACTAACCCAAAACTTGGTGCACACTCTACAATCATTGGGCATTACCAAAACGCTTGTGCGATTTGCTTTCAATTCAAAATACTATTACTATTATACGTAATAAGAAAAATAACATTTAATGCTTGGATAACAAGTGTTCCATGTTTCAAATTGGTTTCATGGTGATTCCACTGCTAATCAGAGTCATTTCAATGTTTTGTACTAGGTAAGTGCTTTGCCTGCATAGCGCTAAATGTATATAAATATATATATATAAACACATATATATATATAAAGCTGTATTAAAATATATACAAAATATTTATCATAATATGTTACAACATACCATTAGTTTGCCGCATGAAACTAAATGTTGTTGTTTTTGCATTTATATTTTGAAATTGCCAACATAAAATAACATATCATAGACTTGTAGTACATTCAAGGTTTCATCATGACCAACCCAATAAGCAGAGCCAACCTCTGGCATCATAATTTTTGTGTTTGTTGGCTCGCCATCTGCGACTGCTGGTCGGCTTCTAAAGGTGAGAAACTGGCCATATTGCTGGCGGGCTGCGCTGCACCCCCTAGCACACATACTAACACACAAACATATATATACATATATATATATATATATGTGCACACATACACAAACCGCAATTATATGCCATTTTATAAATACAAGTATTTTCAATAATTATAAACATTTCTATCGGAAATTTATGCGAAAATAGGCAGGTGTTTAGTGGTGACGACTGACTCAAAGTCTGCCAGGCAGCAGTGGAAATTCATATATGTTGAGAGGGGGGGAAGGCGCGATCTGAGAGGAGTTGGAGCGCTAGTGGCCATGGCTTACGGATAGTTGGTAATGGGCATAGCTGAATGGCGATCCGTTACAGTTGTCGATCAGCTAACAAGATAATTGTTCAAATACAAATACAACAATGAGGCACAACAACGAGAGCTGTGATAAGCAACACGTTACCAGTATCAAATTACAGATCTTCCAATTAACTGACCAATAAGCGGCATTGCTTTTAATTTGATAATAGTGCAAACTCACGCCCAATAGCAACAGCAACAAACTGTTGCCCGGTTAGCCAGCAACTTGTTGGCAACAGCAACAACACGCAATGTGCTTGCAACACGGACGCAGGCAAAAACAATAGACGCATTTGTGAGACGCCCCAACGGGGGGCTAATAAACTCAAAGCAGAACAATTGCTGAGACTTTTGACAGGAATATCGCATGGAATAGATATATACTTACAAATAAATAATAATGGCATATCATGTTACTCAGAAACCTTTACAATTGTGAACTAAAAAACTCTGAATACTAATAATTCCTTCTACGGGAATAGTTCAAAGGTTATAATTATTTTCATTTTTTTATGCATTTACTTACGCAAATTTTGCAAAAGATAGTTGTGGATTTCTATGATTTAAAACCAATCCAATCATTAGTCTACCTAAATATTAACATTTAGAATTAAAAGCAAAACAATAAAAGATATTTAAGTCTTTAAGGACATGCTTAGCACACAAATCTTAGTGGGAAATTATTGAAAAGCTGGTATGAGCATTAAATACTTAAATATGAGCTAGGAGGCAGAAGCACTTAACATCAATCAAACACTAAACAAGAGTTTAGAACGGCAGCAACTGAGTTGCCAGTTGACATATGAGCAGCAGCAGCGGGCACCAGCCGCAGCATGCCGCAGCCAGCAACAGTTGAAGAAGCCTAAAGAAGAAAGAACATTTTGCCGCCACACCAAGTGAAGCGGCTACTACACAAGAACCGGGAATGGGGAACTGGAAGAACTGGGAACTGAGAATCGGGAACCGTCGGGCCGTCGGCTGGCTAACAAGCAGACGAATAGAATCAGAATCAGAAACAGAAACAGAACCAAAACCAAAACCAGAAACTCAAGCATTGAGAATTATGTAACACTACTGGCCGCTTGGATCGCAAATTTGCAAGTCAAGTCCGGGGATGTCACTGTTTGGATAGACAGGCGGGACAGCTGAGCAAAGCCGCCGCCGCCGCCGTTGAACTTAATCTGCGGGGATGATTGTGCAATATTTGTAGAGTGGCTAACGACGATGACGATGACGACGACGACGACGACGACGAGGAGTGCGCTCGTTGTCCTGGCAAGGTTGTTATGGACGCACCAAATGTTTGTTTGCGCTTGTAAACACACACAGAAACCCCAAAGCCAATGCCAAAGCCAAAGCCAATGCCGTCAGCAGTCCCAATTCCAGTTACAGCCAAACAACAACAACAAAGACAATGATCTCGAGACGAGACAAATTGCTGCAGCAGCCCTGGGAGCAGTTGCGATATGCGCAGCATCGCGAGAAAGTGATGTCCGCCCGGCCGGCGATTGATACCAGGACGCCCAGGCAGCACGATCATGTGCAGCGCAAGTGGAAGAAGCAGCAGAACGAACGGGAGCGCCAACAGCAAATCGAACGTGAAAATCTGCGTCTCCTTCAGAAGCTGGGCGACATCATGAGCAGCAAGCGCATGAATAATCTCTGGCTGGAGCCGCGACCCAAGTAAGTGTGATAAGACCTGGCAAACTTGTCGGTTATAGCCGACTGCTCAATACTCTGTAACTCCCTGTATTTGGCAACTAATGACCCTCAAACTGTAATGCTAAAACACTAAATTGTGTGCCATACGAAGAAGGCTTGTTTTTTTTTTTTATTGGATTTTTTAAATAATAATCAGCAATCTAAAATAAACTTAAAAACCAATTTGAAGGTTGTGCGTCTAAAATTGTAGGATATATATCGAGTTGCTTGAGTTGTTGGGGCGGTAATTATATTTTTGGCTCGACAATTGAAGATGAAGACACCTAATTAGTTTGCTGAGACTAACTAAGTAGGTCATAGACGAGTATACATACCAAGTTTCAACTCCGTATCTTTATAAGTTTCCATTGCATTAATATAGTAATTAACTATATACTCTCTTTGATATTAGAAAATAGTATCAAAAGGCATAGTCAACATACTAATAGTTTCCACAATTATATTCAGTTTTTTGCACCGCGAGAAGCTATTTCCGACGCGTCCCTACTCCAGCCTGCCACAGATAGTCACCATTTATGGCGCTCAGCCGCCAGGTCCGCTGCTCTATGGCATGCTGCCCAAGCCGACTGTAGTTGGTCGTTGTCCGACGTGCAGCGGCAATCCGCAGCGCACACAGGTGGTCATACCGGAGCAGCGGATGCCTTGGGCGCTGCCACGCAAATCGTCGAGCCGCAAGCAACAGGATTTGGAGCAGCAGCAGCGCTGCTATCACTGCGGCGGCCTCAAGAGCACGGAGCGCAACTTCTTCGATGCGTACGACTCCTTTGACTATGAATAACAATGCACCAATCAAATAAAAGACTACAATTTTATTAAAAAAAATTAAAATAAACACATTCAAGACTTGGGTATGTTGGGCGGCAGCGTGGCAAAGGTGAGAAAGCCCGTGTGACCGGGCAGCACTTGTGGATTACTGGAAGTCAAATACTTTTTGAGCTCCTTGGGCTCCTTTGTTTTGTTGTCCTCGTTTGCGATTATTTCCGCGCTCTTTGGCGCTTTGAGGAACTCCAAATCAATGACAGGCAACGAGCGTGTTTTGATCACACTCTCCTGTTGCAGCACCTCCATGGAACAGATCTCATTGAAGCCCAGCTTGGTAAGCTGTGCAATGCATCGCTGCGACTGCTCAATGCACGGGGAGAAGGAGCAGAAGCGACCGCCTGAAATGGAATTGTTTTCACGTTAAGTTAGGGGATAGGGCTACATTATTAAGAAAACAAGGAATAAATATCAAATATAATATATAATGAAAGGAAAGTTTTAATTGTTTTTTGATATTTACTTCCATAAAAATCACCCTTTTTTAATCAGAAAGTAAATGCATATAAGTTAATTATATATATAAAAAAAAAAAAAAAAACATCAAACTAGTTCCCCCCATGGTATTATATCGTGGCATTAGTTTCCAAATATAGGAATATCGCTGCGACCTAATCATTCTTAGAGCAATGGGAAGAGCGCAGTTGGATTCGCTAATGAGTGACAAAGTTGGCCAGCGGGCTGCATGAGCACGTCAACTGCCAAAAGCGACCGCATTCAATGTCAAACACAATGAAATGGCCGTGACAGACAGACAAACAGACGGACAGAGAGAGAGCGAGAGAGAGAGTGAGCGAGACAACTGAGTGACTGACTAACTAACTAACTGACTGACTGACCAAGCTGGCTAGGTCTTGATTGCTGTTAGCCGCCGGTGTCGGCGACGCGCCAAAGGGCGCTGACAACTTGTTGTCGAACGCTGATTGGGCAGTCGGGCAGTCGACGGCGGCGGTTTCACTTACTCACCCGACAACTTCAACGCCTTGAATGCATGTGGCACAGCCAAATCCGGCGCGGGCAGATCCAAGAAGACCGCATCGGCCGCACCGTCCAGTTCGCTGCTAAAGCCCAAATTGCACACATCTCTGTGATAGACCGTCACAAAATCACCGAGTCCATGTCGCCTGAACTCTTCGCGCGCCTGATCCGCGCGAGCTTCGTGGAAATCGAAGGTGTGCAGGCGACCAGTGGGCTTTAGTGCGCGTAGGAAATAGTGAGACAAGGAGCCAGATCCGGTGCCGGACTCAACAACCACTGCGCCGGGTCTCACCTCCAGCTGATGCAGTATCATGCTGATGTCCGGCGTATAGATAATCTGTGTGCGATGCGGCAGCGTTTGTGTCCACATTTCCGGATTCGGCTGCAGTACGTGCGCCCATCCCTTGGAGAGCTCGACGCGACTGCCGTACTCGACGCCAATAATACCTGGCAGGCAGGCAGGGGAAAATCAAATAATTAACTATTAACATCTAGAACGGCTGTGAAAACTAAACTCACTTTCCACTTTTAGGGAGCCGTATGGTGTCTGGAAGATGTGCGATATGGTTTCGCCTTTTTTGTTTACAATCGTCGGCACCGCCTCGATGGCATGCATGGAGTTCACACTCAGATAGAGTATGACAATGTCGCCCTGCTCTATGTATGTTTTTGGCTTAAGGAAACTCATTGTTATTGTCGTTGTTGCTGCCGGTTATGGGTTAGGATGCGGCGAGAGGAATGGCGACGCGTGGGCCAATCTAAAGACTCAATAGTGTGACCAGCCCAAACAAAAGCAAAAATCATAAAATGTAACTTTAGATAAGCCAAACTAAATAATCAAATACAAAGCAATTCACTTTTTACATTATACAACAATTACAAAATACGATGCTTTCGACTTTCTAATAAACATTATCTGCAACAGTTTAATTTTATCTACGGACTACCAGCTTTGCGCAGGAAATACTGCATGGCACTTTCCAGCACTTTTTGTGCGACAAGCGGCCAACTTCAAGTTGATTTGCTTCTTCTTTCCCTCTTTTGGTTTTTTACTACAAGTATGTAAAGCTTGCTTTTCGTGAATTTGTCAAATAATCTGTGAACATCCGTAAAACGGATACCTGAATTTTGCAAATTTCCACACACAATGCTTGACAAATATTCGCGCTATGTTGACACAACTTACTTATGTAAATTACATTGTTTTTTTCCCACATATTTTATGCTTCCAATCTATGCGGACTTTTGATTGAATTGAAATCGGAAATTACAATTAAAGCAGCCGCAAAATGGTCCAGCGCTTGACTTTGAGGAGACGTCTCTCATACAACACCAGATCCAACAAGAGGCGCATGTAAATATTTTATCAATTGTGATTCGCTTCTGTTGTAGTTGAATTTACCCAATCCCTCCTTGTTTACAGTGTTCGCACTCCCGGCGGTCGTCTGGTCTACCAGTATGTGAAGAAGAACAAGACTGTGCCACGCTGCGGCCAGTGCAAGGAGAAGCTTAAGGGCATCACCCCATCCAGGCCCAGCGAGCGTCCGCGTCTCTCCAAGCGTCACAAGACCGTCTCTCGCACATATGGAGGCGTCCTGTGCCACGGCTGCCTGCGCGAGCGCATTGTACGCGCCTTCCTTATCGAGGAGCAGAAGATTGTGAAGGCTCTGAAGAGCCAGCGCGAGGCGCTCGTCAAGCCCGTCAAGAAGGTGGAGAAGAAGCCCGTCAAAGCGGCGGCTGCCAAGAAGCCAACCGGCAAGACTGGCGCCAAATCCGCTGTCAAAACTGCATCCAAGAAGCCCGCACCCAAGGGTGGCATCAAGCCCAAGAAGTAAATATGTTAGGGAATTTCATTGAACTAAGAATTGGACGCTTCGGAAGCAATTTGTAATAAACAACAAAAATACAAGTTAAAAATTCGTTATTTCTAATATTAATTGGGTTGTGGTTCGTGTCCGCACTAAACGAACAGCTGGGCGGGCGCATTTGAGAACACTATCAAAGTGCCATTCACACTTTCAGCAGACGCACGTTTCGCTTGTGTGACTTAAATCAATTTATAATGCCAGAGCAAGAAGTTGTCAGTAAACCAAATGAATCGTAAGTATATATATAATATATATATTATTGGCTATAGCATATAGCATGTTACATTTACAGCACAATAAGAGTGCCCTTTGATACGCCGCATCATGCCGAAATTGCCTATCGCGTTTTGAGTGTTGATCAAGAACCACGCAGAAACTTTGTGAAGAAAACGCTGAGCTTGGAGCAGGATGTGCTCGTGGTGCATTTCAGTGCCGATCAAGTGAAGAGTCTGCGCACAGCAATTACCTCCTTCTTTGAGAGCCTGCTACTCTGCCAGGACACCATAAAACTGTTTGGAGCCCCATCCACAATCCAAAGCAATAACAATGCCGGAACACAGTCCAGCGCCGACTCCGCATAGAGCCATCTACGGATTCGCATTTTACATGCTGTTCAGCGTGCTCTTCTTTGTGTATGTGGCGTGGGCCTATCTGCCCGTGGAGCTGGGCCTGCATTCCTATTTACCGGACAAGTATTTCGCTGTGTTTGTCCCGGTGCTGATTCTGGTGGGTGTCTCCTTTGCTGTTATCATCTATCCGGCCATCAATCTATCGATGACACCGAATATTGATTCCGTTGCCTCAGTCGTGGATCTCAAACTGGCACTGCCTAAGGGCTCCCAGTTCACATCCTGGTCCCAGCTGCAATGTAAACAATATGAAACTTCGCCACCACAGAATACATCAGCTCCTACTCATCCATGTAGTATATGCCACATGGAGCACCAGGCAAAGAGTCGTGCGCCCATTCCTCCACTACGATTTCTAGACTTACAAGAAGTAAACTCCACATATTACAACTAACAAACTGCCTTTTTTCTTTGATGAATTTATTGCGTTAAGTCTACTTTCGACGCACTGTCGTCCAGCCATCTTCGGGCTCCACAAACTCGTCTGCTTGCTGTTTGCGTGTCTGAGATCGAGTGACGCGACCGCTGCTTGACGCTGCCGTCACCGCATTCTCCTCGTCGCTCTCGTCGGCGCTCATGCCCACATCGTCAGCGTCCTCGTCGTCCATGTCTTCGCCGGATGACGAGTCGCCGTCGATGGGCGTGTATGTGATCTTGACATCGGGACGCAGCCAATCCTTGCCCTGCGGCAATTTACTCAGCTCGGCCTCAATCTGTGGATACTGTGCGGCCAGCGCCATTTGCTTGTAGCGCAGTAGATTGCGGCATATTTCGGGAATGGAGTAATCGTCGCACAGCGTATTGAACTCCTGATCCATCAGCTCCTCTATCACCTCCTGCAATTCGCCCTGCGTTATATTCTCGTTGCCCACGCAGTACTCATATGTGTATTCCATTATTTGGATGGCCACCTGTGAGCATTCTTAGGTTAGAAATTGTGGCTGACAGTTAGTGGCAAATGTACTCACCTGCTGACCATTGCGTCCGCCCATGCCATGCTCGACGGCCAGCCGCAAATTTTGCCAATTATTGAAGATTCTCTCAACAATTAAGCGAAAATTCTTCAGATATTCTGTTTGTTGTGTCGACGATGCCATCGCGTGCTGAGCCAGTGCTGTGAAATTGTAAACGAAATCTCGCCATTCACAGGTAAGCGAATCCATTGACAGCTGTGCGTTTTGTTTACTTGCCGACGCGCCAAAAATAAATTCCATACCAAAAAAAATTATGTCGGAAAGCGAAAATCTTGAAGAGGCTTTAAATGAGCAGGAGTTGAATACAGAGGCAGCTTATGCGGAAGAAGATAACGATGACGAGGATGCGGAGCCAATAACAGCACAGAAAGTAAACATTCTTTTCTTTTAGTTGACAATTCATAAAACTTGTTGCATTTGGGCAGGTTCTGGAAATATTGGAGACTGCCTGGACAAACGAAATGTGTGCTCCGGAACTGCTGCAGCATCAGACGGACATGTTAGAGTTGATGCTGTCACAGGTGGCGCACATGGAGGAGCAAATGAAGGATCTGGACAAGAACGACTTTCGCTTTGTGGTGCATCAAATGGAACTCGAACGCATCCGCTACATCATGGCCAGCTATTTGCGCTGCCGTCTGCAGAAGATCGAGGCCTTCACCCAGCACATCATCAACCAGGATGCAACACGCGATGCGACCGACAAGCGTCTGTCGCCCGAGGAGGCGAAATATGCCCAGGAGTTCGCATCCCATGTGGATGAGTACTTCAACAAGGTTGCCACACAATACATGCCCAATCAGCAGCGCGGCGAGGCGGAGCAGCGCGTTGTGGCACCAAATCTCATGAGCCACGTCTTCCTCAAAGCGAATGTTGCAGGTGTGTGGGGCTTATATATATCATATATATCACATCACATATTTTGATTGACTTTCAGTGTCTGGTGTGATTGTGGGCGTTGATGACGAGGAAGTGGATCTGGCGCCCGGTTCGCAGCATATTATACCGTACCAGCTGGTGTCTGATCTGATACAGAAGAACCAAGCGCAACTAATTTAAAATCCAAACAATACTTAATATTAAATACAACCAAAATTTATCCAATTACATTTTTGGCGCCCTCTCTGCTACCAGTGTTGGCTAACGCTAATTATTGCGCCATTTGTATAAACAGCTGCGCCGCTTGGTTTCGATTCCACTGGAAGTACTGGGTATACGCGAGTTGAACACACGCGCAACGACCCGTCTGTGTTGTCAATGTGGCGCGCTTTTACGCATATAGCGAAAACACTCGAGTGCCTGAGTCACGAAGGTGCACGGTTCCCACAGAAATTCCAGCATTCCATTCTCAAAGCGAATTATCTCAGCTTACACAACAGCAGCAACTACAGCAACAGCCACCAAGTAAAACTCAACAAAATGTCGGGTGAAAAGCCAAAGGTTGTTTTTGTCTTGGGTGGCCCCGGCGCTGGCAAGGGCACGCAATGCTCGAAAATTGTTGAACGCTTCCACTTCGTCCACTTATCGGCGGGTGATTTGTTACGCGAGGAGCGCGCACGCGAAGGCTCCGAGTTTGGCCAGCTGATCGAGGAATATATTCGAAATGGCAAAATTGTACCCGTTGAGGTGACGTGTTCACTGCTGGAGAACGCAATGAAGTTGTCGGGCAAAATGCGTTTCCTCATCGACGGCTTCCCACGCAACCAGGACAATTTAGATGGCTGGCAGCGGCAGATGGCCGATAAAACGGACATGCAGTTTGTGCTCTTCTTCGACTGTGCCGAGGATGTGTGCGTGGTGCGCTGCTTGGGACGAGGTCAGGGCGGCTCCGGACGCAGCGACGATAACATGGAGAGCCTCAAGAAACGCATCCAAACCTACAACAATGACTCACTGCCCATTATAAAGCATTTCGAGAATGCCGGGCAGGTGAAGCGCATCGATGCCACTCCCGATGCGGACACCGTATTCCAGGCGGTGGAACGCGTTTTTCTGGACGCCGGTTTCCAATGAAATTACGCACTCAATTCGGTGGATGCTCTAGCTTGAATTCTATATATATATATATATATATTGTGTTTCCTTATGTGTGTGTAGTTCTAATTAATTGTGTCTTTGCGCCTTCTCCCCATATCTTACTTAAATATATATACGCTTGTTATCATAAAGTTTACACGATAGCGATTACAATTTCTTTTCGTCAGGCAATTTAAACATTCGATAACATTTTGTGTGTTACTTGCAAAAACAATAGCGGTTCTTGCTTTGTAGAACGAGGCAGAGTCAGAGGTGGAGGCGGTCGTTAACACTAATCCTTGCGCAGCTTATCGAGACGCGCCTGCAAATCGGCGTCTGCATCGGACATGGGCGTGGATCCACCACTGCCGCCACTCGCCCCAGCACCCGCACCGCCGCCAGCACCACCACCACCGCCACCACCTGTTGACGGTCCAGGGCCACCGATGCCACCTGCAGCAATGGCAGCAGGTGTCTTCTGTGCACCAGCAGCGCCTGCTATGGATAGGGAGCCGGAGGCGCTTGGTAGATCGCCCAATTGTTCGCCCAGCTGCAAGCCCAGTTCATCGAGCACCTGGCTGACGACTGCATCTGTTTCCTCCTCATCGCCCTCATCCTCCATGGCATCGTCGATGGCGTCGTTGATCATTTCCTCCTTCATGTCCATCATTTCCGATTGCTTCTCGAAGTCCTGGAGGATCTTTTGTATTTGCGGGAGATTCAGTTGCCGGTTCATGTTCTGCATGGCCTTTGTCACACCTGCAAACGAAACGCATTAGCCAAATGTGAATCACGAAATGGTGCTTCCCCTCCCACCCACCCACCTTTCATGGCCTGTGCCATTGTGTTTTGAGATTTGAGCGTTTGTATCTTAAGCGAGACGGCTTGAATGTTTGCCTTCATGAGCATGAACTTCTTGGAGTAGCGACGCGTACGCACCAGATCCTTGGCCATGATCTTGACGGCATCCATTTGTCCCTCCTTGGCCATTTTCTTAATGTCCGCAATGATTTTCTTCTCTTGCTGATCCATTTTCATTCGCTCACGGTCCAAATCACGCATTGCCTTGTTTAGGGCTCGCTGATTCTTGCGCAGCATCTCATCCGGTGAGATCTTCTTGCCAAAGAGCCAATCCATTTTACCAAATTAATTATTATTCGACAGGAGAACCGTGCAGGGGAATGCTAATATTGAAAATTACTCATCAAAACAACAGATTGAAAGGCGTTGCCACCAAGTTGTTTAACAGTTTCCAGTTAACAGAGTACTCATTAATTAACAGAGCCAATGCTTGTTAATGCTGATAATATTGCAAATAAATAATTGTCTACTGAATATAACAAAACTTAAATAGCTGTAAATTCATTAAATAAATATACATATAACCTTTGAATTTAATAATTTCAAAAGTACTTAATGTAAAGTACAAGTCATATAATTTTGCTTGCATGGAACTACGTACCACGCTCAACGCCCTATTCGCGCTTACGTTGTGCGCTTACGTTAACAGATGTGCTGTTTTTACTACACAACAGACGCTGAACTATTTAAGTTTTGGGATTAATTGATTTGGGCAAGACAATGAAGGAATTCGACGACTTCAATTTTAGTGTGGATAAATGTAGGCAGTGCTTCTGTGTAGCTTGTTTAGCGGTAACCAATCTTGCTTTTCTCACACACCAGATACCAAGGAGCTGACACGAGAATGTGTTGGCGGCAGCGATTTGCAGCAGCGCAAGAAGGAAATCGAGGCGTATTCGGAGCAAACTTCGGCCACGCTCAAGCAGACCTGCAAGAAGAACTACATGCAGTTCATACAGACGGCCAAGGAGATATCACGTAAGCGGAATAACACAATGATCCCTCCATTATGAGAGACTCTTCCAACAATTACTGCAAATAGATCTGGAGTCGGAAATGTACCAGTTGTCGCACATACTCATCGAGCAGCGAAACATTCTCGCTACGATGACCGATGGCAAGACGAGCAGCCATTTGAAGGCGGACAGCATCGAGACGGAGTCGAACACCAGTGCAGCCCCCGAGGATGTGGAGAACAGCCAGACGACGCGTGCCGTGAAGGAAATGGTTCAGGGATTTAATGGCAATCTTGAGGGCAAAACATTCCTGAACGAGGGCGCTCTCATTGAACTGGACAGCAATGACTATCGGCCCATTCAGCGTGTCTTCTTCTTCCTCTTCAATGATGTGCTTATTGTGTGCAAAGTGAAGCATGACAAGTAAGAAATCACATTATTCATCCTCACACCTTAATCCTAACGCGCATCTCTTCGCAGACGCCTGGAGTTTCTCACGGAATACGATCCGAAAAAAATAGCCGTCATCAACATCAAGGATCTGGATGGTGTCAAAAACGCGATTAACATTATAACGCCCGATGGCTCCAAGATATATCAGAGCATAACAGCGGCCGGCAAGAGTGAATGGATCGAGAAGTTGGAGGAGGCTTTTCGCTTTGATCAGCAGAAGAAGTCGAAGAAGGGACAGGCACCGCAGCCACCGAATCGCGCCAAACAACAGCAACAGCAATCCCAAGTCGCGAAAAGCGCCACGCCCGAAAAGTTGCCCGAGCAAAGTCCCACGGATGTGCAGCCAAAATCTCTGGAGGATGAGACGCCCGAATGGCTATGCACGGCCAGCGAGGAGATTCAAACACTGATCGCGCAACGTCACTTCGAGGACGCCCAGACGTTGATCAAGCGCGCCCACGAGTTCCTCCGCCTTGCCGAAAACAAGAAGAAGCTGCTGCATGCGGACAGCATTGAGGACAAGGTGAAGCAGCAGGAGCTCAAGCTCACAAGTGTGCTGCTCCAAGAGCTCTCCAACTGTCACAATCGCAACTTGCAAATTGCCCTGCGCGCTGTACGACGACCTCTCAAGATTCTCGTCGAAATGGGTCGCTCCCGAGAGGCCAGTGCCACATTGCTGAAGGTCTGCACGGTTAGTTTGCGTGTGGCACAGCGCGAGGCACGTCGCAACAATGCCGAAATCTCGGAGCTCTTCTTCTGCGACCTGGCGCAGGTGGCTTGCGATTTTCTGAGTGCCTTTGAGCAACAGCCGGCGTGCGTCAGCGGTGAGTTGGTTAATTGATTAGTCAAGCGTTGTCAACTAATCCCATCATTGTTTATTGCCCTATTTTATAGCGCTTGTCGTGTGGTGCAATGCCGAGCTGCAATACTTTGCCAGTCAGCTGATCAAACACTATCTGACCAAGGGCACCTCACTGGAGGCAGTCGCAAAATGTGTGGAGCGTGTCCGTAAGCCGGCCACGAAGCTAACCGAGATTGGTCTGGACATTAGCTACCATTTGGAGGGTTTGTTGCGCACAACGCTGGAATCGCTTATTGAGGAGTCGAAGCAACGTTTGCTGGACGCAGTGGGACGCACCGAGGAGTGCTGGCAGCCATACAATTTGCAAACCAAATCGAACTTAAAGCGACTGCTGCTCGAGCTGGATGCAATGGGCATTGATGTGCGTGCCCAGACCACGGGCGATACGTGGCTGAATCTAACGCAATCCACACTCGTCTTTGTACGCCAGTTCCTGCAGTTGACGGAGCACTGCGCCTGCCTGGCCAAAGGTGAGGCTCTGCTGCAGAGTCTGGAGCAGCTGCTGCGGGATCTGTTTGTGGCACAACATTCGCTGAAGCCGCCTAGCGATATGGCCGTGGATGTAAGTTGGACACTTAATCATTTGTTTTAGTTATGTTGATGTTTATTTTTACGCTTTCGATTCCCAGCCCAACTTTGTAACTAAGAATAAAATCTTTCTGGTGGACAATTTGCTGCCCATTGCCATTGAGAGGTTCCGCAAGACGTCGGGCCGCCAATGCGAGAGACTGCGAGAGTTGCACACGAAGCTATCACGGCAGCAAGGTGCACCCGTGCCGCGACAGCGAAGCGTCTATACGACAGATGTGTTTTAAGAGTAGAAGTTTACTTTCGATTACATATATAATTTTTTATTTTTCTTTTTCGTTTTGCTTCAATTATTTATAATATAATTATATACATATATAACCACAATAATAATAATAATATTTGTAAAATTAAAAATCGAAGCGTGTGCTGCACTCTATTCTCTGTTTGCTTATTACAATTTTCGCTGGGCGCGAAATGTGCCCACATTCTAGAATTTATATATATATATATATATATATATATATGTATATATATATCCGATTCAACAAGTTTTCTTTCATTCGCTTGTTTCATTATTATTATTTTTTTGTTTTTGTTTTTTGTGTTCTTGTTATGTTAGCTGCACAAAACATAGGATTTTACAAATGATCAAATTTTGAAAAAAGGATCTTTTCTTGTTTTTCAAAATTACATACAAGCTAAAGCTGGCTGCTTTGGCGCCCCCATTTGTTGAAGTGTGTGTGTTTGTGTGTGAATGTAGATGTGGTTGTGGGTGTTTTGTGGCGGCGCCTGCTTCGTTTTTGTTGTTGGTATTGTTGTATTTATTTATAATGTAAAATTCTTAACTAAACTGCTTACTAATTATATTCATTTATATTTATATATATATATTTATATATTTACTTTTTCTGCATGCAAATGTGTTTTGTGTGCGAAGAGGAAGGAAGTGGGGGATATGGGACAATGTGGTAGCAAATAAATTGACAAATTATAACTTATAATTTTGCTTTTTGTTTCCTTTTTTTTTTTTTTTTTTTTTTGATTTGCATTTGCAACCATTGATTTACGATCAGTTTTGTTTTTTGTTTACAAAAATCTTCGCTGCCGACATATTGACAAACTAAAAGCACTCACATTTCTGACATCGTGTACTCATCTGGTTTTCATAATCTCAACGCTCCAACAATGACTAATCCATGCTGGGTCCACAATTAGAAGGACCCAGCACGTAATTCTTTTGATGAGCGTAGTAGGTAACGCCGACTGTTTTTACTCTCTTTATTTTTTTTTTGTTGTTTTGTAGTTTTTCGTTTTCCATTTCTGCTCCACTCATCATTACTGTTATTATTATTATTATTGATTTTGTTTTAGGTTCGTTTTTTTTTTTACTTTGCAAATTGTGTTCAACTTTTTATTGGACTTAGACTAGTCTTATTTGCTAAAAGTATGCTTAATTTTTTTATTTTTTTCTTTCTTTTTGTTTTATTTGATTTATATTATAGAATTTTTTGCTTTGCTCTGATGCATTGCTCTGCTGCCGATGATGTTTGTTGTTGTTGTTGTGTTATTATTTGCATGCCATCGAACAGTGTTTTTCATTTTTTATATTTTTAGTTGTAATAAAAACCTATATGCGCTTATTACAAAATGAAAAGTGTGTGAATTTCCTCTGGTGTTGTTTTGTTGTTGTTGATTTTTAATAAATAACTTCATAGACAGTAGCCTTTTTATCGCCCGAACCCGTCACAATATATTTGTCGTCAGTTGATATGTCGCAGCTAAGTACGGATGATGTTTCCTTCGACTGCAAGCGAAATAAGCCATACAAAATTACAATTAAATATTGCAAATATAATTGATTATAATTATATATATTCATAAATAGATATGACGTGTGGCTGTCTAGAGTGAATGATTTGGGTCTTTTAAATATAGAATTGAATATATTAATAGCCACAAAACCTTATCAGCTCTATTTTTGTTTATTATTATTATTATTTTTGTTTGTTTTGTATGCTGACAAAACAACGAGCTGTTCTATCTTTTTATATGTAGTTCATTCACTTGGCATTAAGATAGATCACTCACCTGGAATATACTGGCACCGTATGGTGTTCGCCATGCGTTAAGCAGGTTGTCTTTGCCGGTGGAAACGAACCATTTGCCGCAGGTGGCAAATCGCAGCGACAGAACGCAGCTTTCGTGCAAATGCAGCTGATACTTGTCTGGTTTCGATGCATGCAATACTTCCACATGTGAATTCTCCATGCCCACGGCCAGCCAGTCACCTTTGAGAAGAGCATGAAATGGAGTCAATATGGGTTGCAGGAGTGCAGTAGTTAGTGTGAGGTAGATAAGCCGACATACCTGTGGGACAGTAGCCAAGCGAGAATATTTGAGAACTGAAATCGTGCTGTTGCAGCTGACGACCCTCGCGGAGATCCCACGAGCGCACCGTATTGTCCAGGCCGCCAGTCCATAATCGTGAGCCATCCGGACTGATATCAATGCACGAGGCACCGTCTGTGTGGCCCTGGAACTGACGCACCAGTATCTCATTGTGCAGATCCCAGACAGCGATGTTGCCATCGCTGCAGCACGAGAAGCACACCTTCGAATCGGGACTGATGGCGAGCGCATAACAGGCAGGCGCCGCTGAGGTTAGCTCGGCCTTGATGCGTGGCGTTGGACTGGCCAAATCCCATATTGATAGATTCGATGCCTCGCCACCGACAATAAGCGTGCGTCCATCCGGCAGCAGTTTCACGGAGCGTATATAATTATCGCGCTGCAGGCAATCCAGCTGGCTGACGGGATTCTTGTTGCCCGGCTGTGAGATGTCCCACACCTTGACACAGCCCTTGCCACCCGTATAAACGTATTTTGTAGGATTTGAAATGGTCACCGCGCAGACTACCTCACCATGCGATAAGGTATTTATTTGCCGCGCATGTCTCGGTATCCCTACGCCAACCAACGCGTCCGGCGGGAATGGCACCGGCTGCAAGCTACCCTCCCCGTTCATATGGAAAGAGTATGCACTGTTCGAAACAATCAACGAGGAAAATAAATTACTACAAACTTTGAAATGGATAATAAGTTTGGTGAACTTACGGCTTTCCACCTGTTAATGCCGAGGGATGTGGAATGCCGTTTGTTCGTACATGCGCATGCGGATCGTACGGCAACGGCGGTCGTCCATAGGCGGGATCCGATGGTGGACGCTGATAGGGATCCGCCGGTCGCTGATACGGCGACGCTGGATATCCAGCTGGCGGTGGGCCACCTTGTTGCATCATTTGTTTAGGATTTGCGCCCTGAGATGGTGCTGCAGCGTTTGGTGTCGGTGTACGTGCCTTCGCGCCCGGTGTTCCCGGCTTGTCCATCTAATAGTTAATGATAATCAAAATATAAATTAATAAATTACTTTTTTGTACGTAGACTTTGCATAGCAATAAATAATTTTTTTTTAAAATGTAGTCTGAGAACATAAATCTATTTATATTACAGTCTTTCAATGTGCCTTCATATTTAATAATAAAAGCTAGAAAGGTTTGCACATTTTTCCCATGAATTTTATGATAAGCAAACTTTTGAAGCACATTATCAATGTTTGTTCTTACATCTTTTGTCTTGAGGCTGGGTGTGGATCGGGACGAACTGGAGCCTGAACGTGAAGGCGGGCGCTCCTGTTTAATACCACTGCTGCCCGGTTTGTCCAGCCGCTCGCCATTTAAGCTCTCGCGATCGCGCACCTCCATGGAAACGTGCTCGCCATTGGGACGTGGTGAGTGTGATTCCTGCAAAATGGCATTTGGGATGTGAGTCAAACGAAAGTGATTTTTGGAAGGGGATCTTTTTTTTCTTGGGAGATCTGTTGCATGTTAATCAGGGCCGGCACTCAACTCACCATTTCATTTGCAACATCTACGACTAAATCTTGATCGCTTTTCTCGCCTTCATCGTCCTGCAAAAATTTTGAAAAAAAACAAACAAACACAATAAAACAAAATGCGTATAACAATAAGAACAACAACAAACACAAACAGCAATTTAGTTGTTTTTTTTTATTGCACTAGACTACAAATATAATTATAGCTATATTGATTTGAGGGTTTGACGTTTCTTACGAAGCGCATGAAGTGGTAGAGGATTAGAGATAGATAACAACAACTACGTATGGGATACTACATAATATTAATGGTTGTTTTTTTATGGTGAGTTGAGAGGCAGCATCAACTGATGACACAATGATACCAAGTATTCTAAATGATTTATAAGTGTATTACAATTCGATACTCACTTGCAGTTTCTCATCTTTTCGACGCTTCGAATCGTTCTCAATATCCAATGGAGAGCGCGTGCGATATTTCTCACGATCCGCTGGCGAAACCGAATTGCGCTGAAATTGAGATTGGATTTATTTCATATCATATCATATAACATGTCTGTTTTGGGCTACTACTTACCAAGCGCTCCTCAGCACCCGCTGGTCCCTCTAAGCCCATTGGCTTTATATCCGGCCTTTGATGTTCTGGCGGCGCTTTTAGCAAACCCTGTGGCCCATGTGGCAAGCCCATTGTGGCACCCAAAGCACCAAATGGATTTAAAGCGCCCATCGGTTGTGGCGGCCCACCTGGCACCTGTTGTGCATGTATTTGTTGCTGCAATTGAAAAACCAAAGGCGGTTAGTTGATCAAAATTTTGACTTTTGTGATGGCGCTTAAATTTTTTTTTGTTATTTGGCTTTGGGACGTAACAAAAGCAATTTTGATGCAGTTGTGCGCGTGTGGGTGCAGACAACACCAACAACATTGACAAGTAGAGCATTATTTAAAAATATATATTTATATGTATATATATGAACAACACCTTGTGGAGAGCGAACGAGCGAGCGAGAATTAGCGCAACAAGCAAACAAACAAACGAACGCAAATTGTAAAAAAAAAAGAAAACAATAATTAAAACTTACTAAAAGTTGTTGTATTCCATGTTGCTGCTGATGCTGCTATAGACACACGCACACGCACAAGCACATCGTTTTTAAAATTAATATATTTGATTTCATAAATTAAATAATTTGAAAATATCTTGAGTTGAAGTACAGTGCGTATTCATTAAAGTCAACTAACTGAACAACGAACATTTCAAAATATTCGTTACTATCAAGTGTCATACTTTTTTTAAAACTATCTTATCAGAGATATCAAGTTGTTTATCGTGATTTTGAGGTAAAATTTAGTTAAGCTCTGTATCTTATATAGGGTAATTAAAAGTTTATTTGTAGTAGATTTGAAAATAGTTGATAATTTGAAATCTGAAAAACTTTACAAGACGAAAGTTGGTAAACATATTTGAGATTTCAAAAGGAATATCGCTTAATGGCATTTAAAAAACAACTACGCTTGACCAACTCTTAACCTAAACAGCTATATATCGATTTTCTTTTGGCGAGATTTAAAGTACAAAGGGTATAAATCAGAAAGTATTTCGCACTAATAAAGTTTCAATGCACATTGCGTGGCACTTGGTGTAAATGATAGATATCAACTTACCCCAATGATCAGATTCAGTTCCTGCATTGTGACCTGCTTCGCGCGCTCTACCGCCTGCAGCACTTGTTGCTGATGATCGGCCTGTAGGAATGGAAGCAGCTGGTTGATCAGTGTGTTTAGACGCTTGGCGATTTCCGTTTGCTTGTGCATTTCCACATTAAGGCCATAGGACATCTCATAGTACTGCGCATTTGATGTGTGGGAGGTAGAAAGGGATTAGAATAAATACTCAAATATTTTTATTTGTAATTAATTATTTTACCATAACATAATGGCGTTGCATTTCGGTCTTTTCGTTTGCCAGCTTCTCGCACTCCAATTTGATGCTGAAATTCACAGGAAAAATAATCAAAAGGGCAAATTAGTTTAGTTGAAAGAAATCTCGGGCAACGCTTCCGTTGTCGTTGGCCCGCCGGCTACAAAAATATCCTATGACCAACCAGCGCATATGGTTAGCTGCCTGGCAAACCGGTTTCTACAGCAAAAAGACATTGAGGCTGAAAGGCAACAGAAATATCCCAGCAGAACAACAGTGCATGAAAAATCTACAGAAATAACATTCTTTTTACATTTCTTGGACTGCATTAAATAGCCTGAATTCTTTGTTGGATTTTTAATGTAGATTCTCTACAGAACTAATGTTTTCATGACACCACTTTGTTTTGAAAATTTGTGTTATACATTTTATAATGTAGATAATTTGTACAAAACTATGTCTATGTGTCCGCTATATAAATAAATGTGTCTAAGAAAATAATAGCAAATCTCGAATCAATATTTGTTCTTTTTACAGTGGACGCTTTAAGTTGGAAACTTTTGTAAAGCCCAATAGTAAATATTTAAAGCTCTTCTGCTGGGTTTCCTTTTGGGGTGCTCTACGTCGTAGATACTTGCCTGTGATATTGTGCCTGCAGAAAATTGAACTCCTCCTTGATGCGCTCCAATGTATCGGCAATGGTGAATTTGATTGGGCCCTGAGGTGGTGGTCCCTGAGAGAGATAGAGATGGACATGGGGCGAAACACAATTAGCAAAACACTTGATTGGGTCCCATTGCAATCTGTTAAATACTTACCCCGGCGGCGGGGTGACGCACCGGTGCGGGATACATTGTTGTTGTTGTGTTGATGTTGCTGTTTCCGCTGTTATTGCTGTTTGATAGTTGCCCAAGAAGGTGCAACAAGATGAACAACAACAAATAACAGTTGTATTTAGTTGAACCGTAATGTTTTTATATTTAATTATTATTTTTTATTTATTTTGTTCGTAGCCTGCGGTTGGTTAAGCGAGTTGATTATGCTTCCTCTTCCCTTTGGCAGCGCGCCGCTGCCCGCTGCTGCTGGCACCCTGAGATGAAGCTCCCCTCTGCTGAAATTAGCAGCACTAGCTCCGGAGGAGCATGTATAAAATGTAATTGTGCAAGCTTTTAATTGCTATTATGGTGATTTTTAGTTGTAGTTCAACTCCTGCGTTTCCATATTGTCAAGAGATTTGCGGGTATCCTGCAAATATTTAATTTTACATTTCTTAGTTATTTTGCACCATTTTTTTTCGATACGTAGAATCTCACGCACACATACACACACACACACATACGCATACACGCGCGCTCACGTATTTTTGAGCATCTCAGCAATGGCAGCCATGCCAGCAACAACGAGTGAACATATATATACGCACACATATACAGAGGACGACGCACATACGAGGGTATGAGTGTGAGTGTTTACCGCCGAAAAAATCAAACGCACAGTTGCATGTGCCTGGGCGAAATGTTACGCAAAAAACAAGCATGCGGCATTGGGCAAAAAACTATTGTTCACTTTATTGGCAGCTTAAGCAGCTCTTGTTAAACAAATTCCACATTCTTGTGGCATGTAATTTTTGCAAAAGCAATGCAAGCTGGTCGCACGCTCTGCACAAACAAATGTACCCCGTGCAATACACATACAGATAGACTGCAATTACGCAGGGTTGCCACCTCAAACCGGAGCACAAATATTGACGCTTGCCAGCCGCGCAGAACACTTTAATGTTTATTGAAGCATTGCCTTCTGGTTTTTAACACTTTGCGAAAAATAAACAATTGAGCAAATACGAATTTGATACAACAAGATATAAAAGCAACTGAAATTTGAATTTGCTGGCAACACTGTTTGCTGCGGCAGCGAGTTGTCCACTCACACATGCACAAAAACATACAGACAGACATACACACGCGCGCGCACCCCGAGCGAACGAGTGGCAAAACTCACTTACACACATGCACATACACATACACGCACACGTACACACATAGGCGCACACACGAGCGCAGCGCTAAAGAAAAATTGGCCCAACAAAAAATAAACAAAAGCAATTAAAAAACGGAGTAGTTGGCAGTACCAATTTACATTTGGGCATTTAGCTAGCCGTAGAATTGCACATTTTATTGCCAATTTCTGAGCACACGCATACGTTGCACTGATATTTGCACTAGCCGATTTTTTCTGTGCAAAAAAACGTAATTTTTTAATCGAATTTTGCCCGTAAAAACTGGCCTCTTCAACCGACCGACCGACTCGCTACGTCTGACAGCCAGCCTGAGCGTCGTGTATGTGTTGTGTGGCGTTCTCGTTCTCGTCTCTATTTTTTCGCATCTGCTTTAGCCGTCTATTTTGCACTTGGATTTTCGGCTACATTTAATTGCTATTCGAAATGGTTTTATATTGCTCGCAATGCACAATTACTTGGAAAACTTGTTAACGCTTACTGCCGATTTGTTTTTTAATCGCGAACGTGATTTTGAAGCGTGGAAAAATAAAAGCCGACGATATATCGCCAGATATATCTCATCACTTTAGTATTTAGATGTATCGACTAGCCTCCATAATTTATCGAGCGGCCCCTTTGATTTATCGAACTTGTTTTGCTATCGAGCATTTTAATTTATCGTCTGTGCAACATTGTAACACAAGAGCAACGATTGATGCGGCGCGCAATCTGAATTATGAAATCAGTGCAACATAATTAGAAGTATTTTTACTGAAATTGATTTTTAAAAATTTTATTTAGGGACAACAATAATGTAAAAAAAATAATAAGAAAGAAAGAAGAAAAACGATTAGCATTAAAGTAAATAAAATATTTTTTCTAGCATAAATTAATTTGACTTTACTATAATTTTGCGTAATTGAAGATTTATGGTAATGTAAATTTGTGGCGTGAGGCGACATAAGCGCATGTCTAATCGCTCAGATAAATTTACTGTTATAATTCAGTCATATCATGCTCACAAGCATTTGCCTCTAAATATATTACCCAAAGCTGAAAGTAAAAGTAAACCCTTGCCCACCTTAGAGTAATCAAAAGTCAATAATATTATGTTTCTTAAGTGAATTTATTTAATTGTTTTTGCTTTTGTTTTTGTTTTTTGTTTGTATTTGCTTTTGCTAATTGCTTTGTTGCCATCACAGTTGGTTATCACAGTTGCGTTGTCTTTTGTCTTCTTCTTTTGTAGCTGCCTTCTACTATAGCTGACCTGATGATTTACCAGGGGCGCCACAGTTTCTCCGCCTCCACTGGCATAGGCGATGGTGCAGGACTCTCGCAATCACTATGATAGCCGGATGAGGCGGGGCTGAGTGGCGCCGAGTTGCAGTTCATACTCAATTCGGACTCTGATTCAGACATTGTTTGTGCCTTATGAAACTGCTGCAGGTTCTTGTAGATGCGTCCCAGATGCGACATTACCGATTTGCCCAGGTCAACGCTCATGCCAGGTGTGGATGCCATAACACGTGACACCTCATTGACTGCATTCATGTACCCATTGCGGAAGTTCTCCAAAGGCATTGCGGGCGATGTTGTTGTTGCTGTTGTTGTTTTTGTTGTTGGTGTTGCTGTTGCTGTTGCTGCTACTGATTTGCCCATCTTTTGCTGGCGCATGAATACCACAGCTGATTCGAGCATCTCGGCTTTGTCCATGCGCAGAATGCCATCATCGCCGCGCAGGTCGGCGACAAGTGTCTTCAAGGTGTCCAGGCACTTGTTGATGCGCGCCCGACGCTGACGCTCCAGCAGTGGCTTCTTCACTTTCTGGTAGATCTCAGTTTTGCTGCTGTATTCCATTTTTACGTAAGTTTCCTTTACGAATTTATTAATTTAGTGTATAAAATTGCTCGTTGTTGCCTTTTTGCTGGCTGTATCGTGAATGATGCTCTTTGCTTGCCACTGCGTCGCTTTTATAGTTCTGAATCCACCCTCGGCGATGGCCACGCATGAGTGCGCCCTGTCTCGCTCGCACACGCATGACTGAGAGCGGGAGTCTCGCTTTCGCTCGCAGGCGATGCGCTGGGGGAACAGCTGCAATGTGCGGCTGTGCATGGAGGACAATCGGCAATCCTTGTGGCTCGTGGCGTGGGAACCGACCTGAAAGTAAGTTTCTCACACAATTTTTTCTCGTTTGTTTTCCTTTTGGCCACATGCTTCGCTTTTTTAAAGGATCAGAGCACAAAATTTTGCAGCTGTCGCTGTTTTGGGCATCATTGTTGTTGCTCTTGCTGTTGTTGCTGCTGTGTGTTGTTGTTGTTGTTTTTTCTGTTGCTGTTGTTGCTCTTTAGGCCGGTGTTATTATCCTTAATGCATACTTCACTGCCTCATCCTGTGTGCGTGTGCGTGGGTCGTTCCCATTCCCATTGTTATCCTGGCGTGCCATCTCTCTCGCTTATTGTTTCATCACAGTATGCAGATGATGATGGCATAATGCGGTCCCAATTTCGATCTCGATCACAATCCCGATCCCTGACCCGATGAATGTTTATTGGACACAATTAGTGTGGCATATTGGCTTCGTTTGGCTTTCGCTTTGGCCGTGCGCTGGAAGCGTGGTGTGGCCTTGCAGCGCGTGGATCAATTGAGGTGATCGCTGCCTTAAGTTGGGCTGCTACTTGCAACCCCCTAATGTCTAGCTACAGACATGCAGTACGTATGTAATAATTATCGTTAATGATTGATCAATTTCTGTCGTTTCTTCTGTTGTTTTTGTTGTTGTTCGCTGTGGCAGCTAATTGATAAATTGACAGTTAATTGTGTCCGAGTTAAATGCCAAAGCAAGCATTATGACATTGTTAATTATGAAATTTTATGGTGTTTTTGGGTATTTGTAGTATGTTTTAAAATTAATCAGCCAGTGATATAATAAATGGGTAAGTTTTGATTCCGATTGCTCTTTCAGAATGTGCTTAATCAACATGAGTTCTCAAGTTTTGTTGGGTTATTAGTTATACTTATACAACTTCATAAGCTATGATCCAAGAAATTAAAAAATATTTAAGTTTACTTGATGCTTACGAATTGATATTCTTAACATATCTTATCTCGAAGAACCTCCCGTTTGAATTATAATCATAGAGACTTTCATAGCTCTATTAAAATATAATCAACTAAATAGCTAAATATACTGTATGGGGTCGGAAATTCTTCCTTCTGCCTGCTACATACATTTGCACAAAAGCATTATACCATTTTTAATGGGTTCAGGGTATAAAATGAAAGATAGGGAAACCAATTTCTTAGAAGCACTCGACTTAAAGATATGCTCTAGAAATAAAAAATATACATTCTGTATATATCGAGTATACTATACGAAAACTTAATTACCAAGTTTTTTCCGTCGGATTATCTCGACTGGTAAGTTGAAACTGGACAAAAATGTATGTAGTGTACGAGTATATAAAATCATATATGCTTGTTTTTATTGGGAACAGGGTATATTAGAATCTTATAGGAAATCATCATATTTTGTTTACTGTTCTTTAAGTATGGCTTATATTAAATAACGTTTATAATAAATATTTCAGTACTTAATTTCACTAAGACTAATTAATGCACTTTAAATAAAATTAATAACGTGAAGAGCAGAACATCAATCCATTTGTGGTTTTCAACATGTTTGTATATCTGTTTCCCCAAATGACTTATTGTGAAAACAAGATGCTAATAAAGACAAATTCTTATATCAACGTTAATTGCAGTCCGCAATTTTGAATCTATCTGATTGGAATCTTCGAAACTGAAAGCAAAAATTGCTGCAATTTGAAATAATTAGACAAGCAGTGGTTTTCTTTTCAAAATTGTTTTTTTGTATTTATGTTTTCAAATATTTGTGTTTCTTAAATTATACACATTTGTATTGGCTAACAGACTTCTGGCTAATGGTTATTGGTGGTGTCAATAAAACGTGCCGTATCACAGAACTAACTTATAAAACTGCGTAACACTTAAGTGGAATCAGAATGAGGATCATTGTAAAGCATTAAAAGTAAAGCTAAATTTGCATTGCGTGCTTGTCCCATTGACTGCCTCGGCGCCAAGAGTTACCAGGGACGCCAAACTTTGTCGGTGGCACTAATTTGCAGCAGAGATTGGGCAGCAATTGGCGTGGATGAGCCGGATGAGGCACAATCACTGTCGCTGGCATAACCGCTGGAAACGGGACTGAAGGCGTCACGGCTGCTGATGCTGCTGCAGCTGGTGGTTGTGGTGGTGGTGGAAGCCGAGCCGCAGTTGATGCTGAGTGGTGTATGCATTGCCATTGGCATTGGCTGCTCCATTGGCTGCTCCAGCTGATTTAAACGCATGCCCAAATGTGTCATCAGAGTGGTGCCGAAGGTGACATCAACTTTGGGCAGTGCAGCAAGGGCACGAGAGACTTCATTGGCGGCACGGATGTAGCCGGCACGAAAACTATGCTCGGGAGCAATGGCAGCGGATGTAGGGGCAGCCTTAGATTGCTTGAGTTGGCGCAAATATTGTACAGTGACCTCCAAGATGTCGGCTTTCTCGAACTTGGCATCGCTTGTTTGGGCTACACACTCGGCCATCAGATCCTTCAGATCATCCAAGCACTTGTTGATGCGTGCGCGACGCTTGCGCTCCAGCAGCGGCTTCATCACCTTGCGGTACTGATAAGTCTTCGATAACTCGTATTTGGTTGCCATGGCTTAGTTTTAGTTTTTGTGAATTTTTACTTGTGCTCGTTGTGTACTTCACGACGTTTGCGCTGAGAATGTTGCTGCCGTCTCCAGTTACTGCTGCTTTTATAGCTGCACGTGCCGTCAACATCGATGTCAACGTCGACGTCGACGTCTATCTGCGTCTCGTGCTCAGCGCACGCAAGCGAGCACGCACGCAGAGAGCAGAGAGCAAGAACAACATGAAAAACAACAACAACACCACCTGCCGAGCAAATTACTCAGTCATTCGGGTCTGTTACTCGGCTCTCGTTCGCCTTGCAGCGATCCTCGTCTGCGACAGCTAATGGTGGTTGGTTTTTCTCTTGTTGGCTCGGCAAACAAGTTCTGTCTTGGCAGGGGATGAAGCTGATGGTGCGTCGCTGTGTGTTGGTGGTGTCGCTGGTGGTTGTTGCACATGTTCAGCATGCTGTTGTTGCTGTTGTTGTTATTGCTGCTCTTAGCTCTTCTCTGTTTTCTTTTACATTGACGTTCGAATCGTGGGAAACACTTTGCCCTCAAGTTTCCCACAAGATTTTTCTCGCTCGTTGGTGTTATAAGTTATAATCGCTCGGTCTTCTAGGGTGCAAGAGTGAGAGAGCGATTGAGAGAGGGAGAGAGAGAGAGATCAATCGAGTTGAGCCCTTATGCACATTGCACAGTGGGTACAACACATGTGGAAATTCTGTATAAAGTTCTATTAAATGAGAACTCTGGATTTTCCACTACATGTTCGTTCTAAGGTAAAAATCTGTTTTTGGATTTTACGTAGCTGTTCTTCTACTTGATACGGTTAGTTTTAGAATTTCTTGTACTGCCTGTGCGTGGGAATAAAGTTTTGGAAATACTGGGCAAGGTAAGGTAGAGTAAGGTGAGGTAAGTATAAGTAAAAATCTGTTCTGGATTTTACGTCGTATTTCTTGTACTTGATACGGTTAGTTTTTGGGATTTTAGAACTGACAGTGTGACTGAAGTTTTGCAACTATTTGGGATTTCTAAGGTTAGATAAGGTGCTGTGAAAATATGTAGGTAAACATTGATGTAGATTTAATATGATACGGTTAGTTTAAAGAATTTGGTAATGCCTGTGCGTGGGAATGATGTTTTGCAAATATTGGGAATGGCAAGGTAGTGTTAGGTGATGTACCAAAGTCGATGTGGTGCTGGTGAATTTGCAAATGGCATCTCCTAGGGACTTACTTGTTAATTAAGAGTGCGATGCATTTTTAGTTAATTCGCTGGTTGGATTAAAGAGCGTGGGAATGCAAAGAATATTGAACTTGAAGCGAATAAGATAATACCAGTATAAAATCAAAAATTCTAGAACTGGGTATATAATCAACTGAAATCCAGCTTAGTAATTTATTCAATTGATTCCATTTTTTTCTTATTATTTTTTTTACCTTAATTAGTTCACTTTACTGCAACATTTTCACCACCGCTTGTCCCACTGTAAATCTGACCGTGCCCAAGATCGAGTCATGGACAGTAATATGGACAGTACTACCGAAAAAAACTACCACCTGCCTTTTATTTAAGTTTTTTTTTTGTTGCCGTAGGTTCCTCTCTGCTGTCGTTGCAGTCTCTGCTGCTGATGTTGTTGTTGGTGTTTTTGTTGTTGTTGTTGTCAATTATGAATGCTGAATTGTAGCTTCTGTTGAACACTTGGGCCACGCTAAGTGGCATGCCTGGGCACGTCGTGGGACCGGGGATCGGAGACCAGGACCGAGTAACAACAATGTAGAGACGCTGTGAGGGGCATGCAAACTAAATGACTGTACGGCAAATTGACACACACTAAAGATTAAATGTATCGCATTCGTTAACTATATAAACAATATACGTGGCCAGTTTGGCCACGGGCAGGAAGTGCGAGCAGCCCAACACAACGGCGAGAGCGAGAGCGAGACCGCCTCCTTGTGTGTACTTAGCCAGGGGGATGAGATAGCTGGCATGATGAGCATGGCGTGCTGAGAGTGTGCTGAACAGCAAGCCGTTACAATCTTTCGAGTGTGAGAACATTTTTTCAACTGCACATGGCGAGCCGATCTCCGATCCCAACAGGGGCTCATTTATGCACGAATCGGGGTTGGGGGTTGCTCAGCTTATTGTCAATGCAATGCTCTTGTCATCGTTGATGTTGATATTGCTGCTGTGGTTGTTGTTGTTGCTGTTGATGTTGTTGCTTTGGCTATGGCTGTGTAATTGAATATGTGCACATTCTTGAACCGCGTAATAACGTGTGACAGACACACGTAAAATGGCTTGCTGGAGGGGTTGGGTGACCTGAAGGGGGAGGCACATGTGTTAAAGGGTTGTCGAACTGAAAGGATGCAAGTTGCACAAAGCTCATTGCAGATGCTGCTGTGCAGTTATTCAGTTCATTGAATTGCAAAATTTCACCAGACAGGATGTTATTATTAGGCATACAAATTCCAAATAAGTAATTGAATATATGGCTAGCGGTACTTGATCCAATTAGCGTTAGCGTGATCCGCCAAGGTTATTTGATCTTAGGTTTGACTATACATATCAATATCGAAGAGACGGTGTACCATTATATTGGAAAAACTTTGTGAAGTAAAATTAATTTACAATAATTGATAAACTTTTTTATGCTACCTTGCGGTAAATAAATTATTTTGATATCGCATTTGTTTCATGAAGAAGACTTTATCTATATGGATTCCTTCAGTTAACTCTCATGTTTGAAGATATTGAATATTATTTTAAAATATTATTCATATTTATAAGCAGCTGTTTCAAACAAGAAAAGACATGTTCAAATTTATTATTTTTCAAGGCATTATTTTTATTATCTTAAAAACTAGCAAACCATTATGCTATTGGCACTAAAAACTAAACTCTGATCGATTATGAGTATATAACTGTATCACAAGTCATTTAAATTTGACATAAGTATTGCCATTAAATATAAATATTAAATTAACACCTTGCCACCTGCACCACTTTGATATTGTTGCTGTTGATGGCTGCTGATTGCAGTGGCAACATGCTTCCCATTTTCTCATTTGCGGCATGCGACTAGTTTCGCATGTTGTGGCTGATTTGTTGACAGGATGGATGGATAGCTTCATTGAATAAGTGTTTTCATTCATGTATTTGACCGATTCTAACTACCGGTTTGTCTGTTGTTGTTGTTGCTGCTGGTGTTGCTGCTACTACTGTGCATGCCAATAAAAACAGCCGTCTGCGGTTTCCAGGCAAAAAACCAATTGATGTGTGGCCATTGCTGTCTCCTGTAGCATGCGCTCGTTAGCCTGATTTTGTGCAATCTCCTCCAGACTCTCATAGTGCTGGTAGTGCTTAATGCTGCAATTTGTGTTGTTGCTATGCTTGCTGCCACGTCGTTGTAGCATTTTGGCTATTAGATTCTTCACTTTCGACATAGTTTCTGGGTTTTAACACTGTTGTTAGCGCTTTGAGTTGCAAATTTGGACTGTGCTTCGAGCGTGGCAAGTGTCGCATTTATATAGCAACATCAAGAAACCACCACCACCGCCTAAATCAAAGCAGAACAGTAGAGCACCACCCAACGACAGCGACAAGTGCCACATGGGCAACACATGTGTCCAGCACGCGGCTGACTGATGTTGCAACTTTCAGCAACAGCGACACCAACAGCAGCATCAGCAACAGCAGCCGCCCAACGCTTGCCTGCCACGCTTTCAGCGCAGGCTCATCATCAGAGAGAGAGAGAGCAAGCTCAACACGTGCAGGATAATCTTGTCAGTCGTCCGCACCCCTCATTGTCGAGGCATCCTTTCGATTGCTGCTGTTGTTGTTTTTGTTTTTTTTTTACTTATTCAATATAACGAACGCACAAAATAAATATTGAGAGCGTCGAGCAGTTGTGGTTCCCATGGATAAGGTTCGATGGCCCTCAGTTGGTTAGGGGAAAAATATCCCACGGTTCGAGTGGCAGCTGCTTGCAATTTAGGCCACAGCCCGTTTCGTGTTGCTGTCGCTGCAGTAGTTGTTGTTGTTGTTGTTGATGCCTTGGTGGTGGTGGCTGTTGACTGCCTGACACATATTGCACTTGCTGCCTGGCGAAAGTCTCGCCACTGCAGCGACCTCTAAAGCCTGCTATCGGACAAGTGTGGTTTCGCGTCTGCCTAATTGCCACGCGTTTCATTTTCAAATGCGCACACACAAAACCAACGACTCGATTGCCGATTGCCGCCTCCTGCCCCGCTGTTGCACCTGATTAATGTATATTTTTGTTTTGCCCACTTGTGGAAAGCTCGCGCCAATAGCAGCCGCGTGGCGGCCATAGACTTGCCTCGTGCTGCGCTGCCTGCGGGGCGTTGGGCGGTCACGTGGCTGGTCGTGAATTTGATTTCGGTGGTTGTGGCACAAGGTGTAGCAATTGAGTTCTGTTTGATCGCCACTTGATTCAGTTTATGAGCACTTGTGGATTATAATTTGAGTGCTTTTCAGTCAGTTTTTATCATAGCAGTGTGTTGGATTGGGTTGAAGTGGCACGCTCCAAATTTCAGGGATATTTCATAGGAAATTGATATTTAATTGCAAGTGGATTTAAGTGGTAGGTAATATTTAAAAGCGTTTTTACTATTTGTGCGTTTTGTGCATATTTAAGTTTGGCATTCCATTTTGTATGATCTTCAGTTAAGATTGTGTAGGTATGCTTAACTAATTAGAATTGTAGTTGGGAAAGTGTTTGGAATTTCATCCCACAATTTTGGGCATTTGGTGTTTCGGTCATTCAACAATGCGACGCACAATTGTCCACTTATCGTCCAGCTAATTTACTAGACTATAGTTAAAATTCAAAAGGCAACCATTTTTGAAGATGCCTGGGAACTCTTTCTAAAATGCGTAAATAAGTATAGACATAATAACAACGAGTATTAGCTGCCCTTTTGTGTATTTTGAAAAGAATAAAGCATTATTACGAAAGTAATTATAGCAAGTCCAGAAGTCGATTGCTGCCCAATTTAATATATATAATCAAAGAATAAATTCTCTGATTGCCATCTTCGCACCTATTTTTTAAGATAATTGCTTGTTTATAGTTAGGTACTAGACTTTATTAGTCCTGCATTTAAGACTAACTCACATTTTACACTCATTTACAATTTTATCAAATTTTGTTTCACATTTTATTAAATTCAATACTAATTTCTCAATACTATTTTCGACGAATATTCTTCATAGCTAGTCTTTTAAGTTGTTGTGCCTTAAGCCGATCTCAAAATCAAATCCATAGAACTTTTTTCCGTATACATCTATTATTACGCAATCAGATTCGGGTTTCGAAGACCTTTCCATTCTATTTAGGCTATATATTTTTTAATGCTTTCTTCTTAGATTTTTTCCTACCAAGTCCACATATATCTGATTAATTGCAAATCTTTACAATTTGCACCTGCTGCCATTGTTTTTTGCCTGATGGCCCAATGCCCATCAATTCAAATCCTCAATTTACGTCTATTGATGTTGGCCGACATCAGCACTTGTGAATAAAGAAAAAAAACTTAATTCCAATCACGTCCACAGTAGCGCCAACTTTTCAACTTCGGCTTTGGCCAATCAACATCTTTGGCTGAAGCTGAGGCTCATAAACTGCGGTTCAATTAGCGCATGTCGTAAAGTACAAATAACTATTGCGTACAATTCTGCGGAAGCCTCGAGGCAAACTTTGAGGTATAATCATTAAGCTGAAGCCGAGTAGCCGACATTGCGACGACGATTTAAATTAAACAATCGACAATGACGACGCCAACAGCAACAACAACAACAACAACAGCAGTAGAAACAACAGTAACATGATGACGACAAGAGTGAAAAACTAAAGTAAAGCAGTAAGTAATCAGTCAGTCAGTCAGACAGTCAGACAAACAGCCAGGTCGTCAGTCATACAGTCAGTCAAGTCGTCAGGGCAGCCACACGACGCTGATAATACGCGTCGCGCCGGCGCAATAAATGTGTGCCGTCAACAGTGGAGGCCCTCATGTTGTTGTTGCTACTGCTACTGCTGCTGCTGCTGTTGCTGCTGTTGTTGCTGCTGTGTTTGTAATCGTAACCATATAAGCGACTTAAATGGCAGGTGTGCACATCGCGTGGGAAACACACGACGTTACTCGAGCAGTTCTCACGATATGAAAATCGAGCAAGTGACGAACAAACGAACGGCAGACGACTGAAGACTGACGACTGACGACTTACGACGACTGATGAGTGACGACGAGCGACGAGTGCCGAGTGCCGAGCTGCGGGTGCCACTTTCCGCAATGAAGCTACATACATACATACATATATAGGTGGGTATAGGTGACCCTTCTTATAAGCATTAATTCTAACTGGAGCTCTACAAATGCAAGAAGTCAACCAGAAAGTAATTAAAATGTGTAGCACTTATTAAGGTATGAAGTTCTTGTGTGCTGAACCGGAACTGGATTAAGTGGCCAAGGGAATTTTATGCGCTCTTAACAAAGGATAAGATGACCATTGAATCAGAGCCACAAATATATACATATATTTATCTGTTTATATTTTATTCACTCCCTTCATAATATTAAACACAAATATAACATGATTATTCATAAATTATTGTACAACATAAATAAATGTTATAAACTTAAGTATATTTTGTACTGCAACGATTGTTAAATTATTAGCAAAAAAAAAAACATGGAATGTAAGTAAAGTAAAAGTATTCGGAATAGTTTAATCTATAAATAAATAAATACATAAGTGTACTGTAAACTTAATAGTAATAATAGTAGGTTTCTAGCCAAGTGAAATATTTAAAGCAAATCTCAATTCATATTTGTATACCTATAATTTGGTTATTTATAATGCCAATAAGACTCCATAATAGATCATATACTTTATTTATTTTAAGCCCCAATAACAAAAGTCCACTTTGAAGGACGAAGTCATAAAAACCACATCAACCGAAGCACATTTATAACCTTTTTCACAAATTTTACCTTTGCCATACAAGACAAATCACTACGGTCCAGTCAATTGTCTGGCCTCTATCATTATTCTTGGTCAGAATTTTACGGTTTAATTGCAGCTACAATGCATCAGACACGCAACTAGACAATCGTCTTATAGTTTTTGTTGCTGGCCATCTCAGTTTGTAGGGTCTATCAACGGTTTCCTTTCCCACGCACAGGGTAACTGAGAGTGAGAGAGATTTCTAGATGCTCTTCTGTACATTTGTCTACCTGCAGCAGGTCCTGACTGCAGGACCCGAGCTCAAACTGCACTGCGGCTATAAAAGGCGACGCTGCAGCCGAGAGGAGCATCATTCAGACAGCATCCTGCAAACTATACACAACTCAAACATTCAGTTGATCTCACAAAATGTCTCCACACACTGAAACCGCTTACGTCTCGAAGACGCAACACTACCTGAAGGTGAAGAAGCCGCTGCTGGAGCGCCAGCGTCGGGCACGCATGAACAAGTGCCTGGACACGTTAAAGACACTTGTTGCCGAGTTCCAGGGCGACGATGCCATACTCCGTCTCGATAAAGCCGAAATGCTGGAGGCGTCACTTTTATTCATGCGCAAACAGCTCATCAAGCAGCAGGCACCAGTCTCTCCCGTGCCGATGGACAGTTTCAAGAATGGCTACATGAATGCCGTTAGCGAAATCTCACGTGTGATGGCCTGCACGCCGGCAATGAGCGTTGACGTCGGCAAAACGGTGATGACACATCTCGGCATGGAGTTTCAGCGCATGCTGCAATCAGATCAACCACAAAATGAGCAGCAGCAGCAACAGCAGCAGCAAATCAAATTGGCATCCTCGCCAATCAGTCGTCCAGGTAGCCCAGCATCTTCGGGCTATCACAGCGATGCTGAGGGGTCGGAGGCAGCAACCAGCCCCCAGCCAGCCAGCAATCCTATGTGGCGTCCGTGGTAAACCAAACATCAGCAACAACTGCAACTACATATAACAACGAATCATGTCTTCCAATTGAATCGATGTAAACTGTGATAAAAGAAAGCTTTACGCATAGATATATAAACATACACTTAGCTAATAAGAAATCAATCTCAAGCTTTAATAGTTGTAAGTTGTAAATAAGATCGTGACTATACTAACTTTATACATTAAGAAAATATTACAAAGCTTTAATAGTAATAAAACTAAAACTTGAAAAAAAAAACAAAATTATTTTGCGTCTATTTTAATGTTGGCATTTTTAGAAAATTAGTTTTGATTTTTCTTAAATATGGGCAAAATATTTAGTTTAGAAAAGAGAAACATTTTGTTAAAGTTATCTACACATGAAACTTATTGTCTAGAAAAAACTTCTTTAAGCATTTTTCTCTAAAAAATTGTTTTTATTGCCCCAGCAAAACGACTGACTGACTATCCTTAAATTCACCCCTTTTCAAAGTTTTTATAGAAATAGGTCATTATAGTAATTACTGTTCGATAGTCTTATTTACCAAACAACCTTCACTCAGAGGTCTTCGCATCAAAAAATCAGTGCAGGAACTTTGTTTGACAGACTGAATACGGAATTGAATACTTGACGCAACTGTACCTATTCTTAAACATATATCACTCAGTCTAGACCTGTTAATGTTGCCTCAAAATATTGACACATTTCTTTGTCTACCGATGCTATCAAGATCGATCTACGTGACGTGCATTGAAAATCGGAGCATTAGGCATTAGGTTTGGGTATTTGCTGAAACCCAATACAAAAGTAAGATAACCTATCTAACAGGAGACAGCACTTAAATCACAGGCTTATCAGTATTCGTAACAGGACTCCGGCGTCTGCAGTTTTATAATTAGTCTTGAATGTATAAAGTGGACCTAGACACGCTAACGATAAATAAATGAAAGAAAAATTTAAGAAAAAGGGACACGAATTAAGTTATATATTTTTTAATGAGTTTTCGGTTAAATGCGTCTATGCTTTTTGTTTTTTTAACTTTCTTACGTGCTTGTTTATATAAAGCGGCTCCCCAGCAACTCGGTTTGTAAACCAAACGTGTCGAACGCAAGCAAACACCCCAGCTGCGATCGATGGTGAGGGAACCCGAGCTCCCTAGGGTCTCAAGTAGGAGGTCCTGCCTCGTAAGCTAGTTTTCATATGAAACCTTAGCTGCATCGATCAGTGACGCCCCTAAAAACGAGTTCGAGACCTGTCCTCGCCTCCCATGCTCATCAGCATGCACGTGTTACCATCGAATCTGCATAAACCAGACTCGGACCACTTGCTGTGGCTCGTTGTTGTCTGTCTTGTATGGTGTTTGTCGAGGCTCGTTTTAGAGGAGGGCGGCGACACTGAGTTAAACTGTAATTACAACCCCTTTTGTGCACTGCACGTGCGTTGAGTGATGGGCGGCTATGCGACTCGCCTTGGGCTGTTATTGCCTTGTCCATTGATCCTTGTCCTAAACTAACAATGTCTGCATTCCGAGAACTGTGACCCGCATGTGCAACGCGCATCGCACATACTAATTTGTAAACTAAAAGATAATTCAACATGTCGCCCAGTCTCGTGTCAAGTGCGTCTTCTTCCCTCACATGTAATATGATGACAAAAAAAGGACCCCACATGTGCGTGAGTGTGTGTGTCAGTCAGTTTTTATTTTTATAACAATTTTATGAGTGTTTTGGGTCGCTCTTTCTCTCTTCTAGTGTGTTATGGCGTGTTCGGGTTTGTTATTTTATCATTACAAAACCGCCGCGTGGGTCGTTATTCAAATGTCTCTGCGATTTGTAGCTTTTGTTGTTTTAACTGCAGTCCACATGACTTTATCGCTGTTGTTACACACTTACACAAAATGTGGGCTTAAACTTAAATCCCAAATAATTTTTAAGTGTGCATTTCATTTAACTTCGAAATTGTTTGCATAACTATGATTTTTTCTGCTTTTCTTTAGAATGAAATCCTTTCCTTTGAACAACATTTTGAAATAATTTTTAGAAAAGTACTCAATGCATATCATTACAATTCTTATTCTCTTTTAATTATAATTTCCCTTATTGGTTTTCAAATCAACTTTACAGAAATAAAACTAATAAAATATTTAGTATTTTATAATAAGTAGTTAAGCTGATATCCTGGGAACAAGAAATAAAAATATTTATGTGTTTCAAGAGTTTATTTATTAAGACCTCAATTATATCTGTGATACAACATTAAATCCATAAATATATTAATTCTCTTCAACAGTTAAGACTGACTCAAATGTTTTTAGGCTCAGTTTCGATCTCTAAATTGAATAACGTGCTCACAAAAATTGTTTACTGTGTACAGTTGATATACGATATGGAGTACAACAGTTAGACTAGACAAGACTCAAGTGATTGCCATTACCATCACTTGTGTTACATTCAGTTGAATTTTTCGCACGCCTTGTTTGAAGTTCACACTGACCGGCGGAAAGCGGAAATACCGTAACATTGGCCATAGTTAGTACCGCCAACGTTTTTTTTTTTTGTGGAAAACCCGAGTCCTGTAACCGGACCTGACGGCCGCCAATGCTTGCGGGCATTTCCCGCAACGCCACATGTGTGAAAATTCGCTGCCCACAAGTTCCGCACGTTCAGATCGTACGGATCGCATCTGTGGCTTCTCCCTTGTACACTTGCTGTCTGTACATAGGACGTCAACAAGACGTGTCAGTTGGCGACGCTGCGATTTTGAAACGGCGTCGTAACACCAAACAACCCGCAGCGACAGAAACGAGGTCGTCACGTGTTCAAACAAGACGATGCACGTTCCCAATCCCAATCTGTGTACGCACACACCAGGGCCAGGAATCTAAACACTTGCAAACAATGCCAAACGGTGAGGGGTCAGGTTGTTGTTGATATACATTTTTTTTTGTATTTTTTATTTCTCAAATTTATGTTTGTGCTCTACAGGTTTTTGTTTCGGGCTAATCTACAATTTTCTGAACCTTAAATGATCGACAACGATAAGAAATCAGTGCACGTGTTCATCGAGCGAGCAGGTCAGAGATTTCACTGGAAACGATTTTTGGGCCAACAAGAGAACCACGGTAGCCCAAAACCGCCACAGTGGTAGCTGCTATCTGTCCATCTCTCTGTGCCTCTGGACCCCCAGCGGGGCTTTTCGAACAATCTATTTTTATTTATTTTTATTTTTTTTAGATTTTGGTTTGCCATAGAAATTTGGTTGCTATTCTATTAGATCGTAGCATGGGCATGTACGTGGGCCATGAAATGAAAAGTAGAGGAATGAGTCAACCAAAATACAGCCAAGGACGAAACACAATTAGAACAAACAATCGTGCATAATAATGATATGGTAGCATGACACGACCAAAACAGCAAAGGCCGAAATTCCTATTTCCATGAAGCAATTCTATACAAACTATACAAATGCCAGAACTTGAGCGAATAAAGTAACTATTCAGTTATCCTTTTTTATAAGACACATTCCTGGAAACATTGGTCTTTTATATAAAAATAAAATGCATAGCTACAAAAAAATTGTTTTTGCAAAATCAAGTCGTCAAAAGATATTCTATTGATCGTGGGATTGCCCGAAGCAAGTCATCAATTGCAGTTTATTTTGTCGAAAATTGAGTGACGACCGTTAAGATAATTCGAATTCTTCTATATTTTGAATATTATTGCAATATTATGAATTATTAATTACAATATTCGACATAAATAAAATTTGTTTGATATATCTTTTAATTAAATCCATGGGACAGTACATAAAATATTGTACAAAGATTGAATATTATTTCAATAAACCAATAACAATAATTACATTTTTGAATCTGGTTTTTGATTATTAGCTTTAATTCTTGATTTTTATTATCGGTATTCAGATAAGGCGTAAAATATTCCAGTTTTTATAATACTCATAATTTGAATAAAATGCAAATCTTATTTTGGTGTCTGCAGTATATATGAAATAATATAAATATGATACTTTTATTGATGAGGCATCAAATTTAATTCAATTAAATTATTTTACTTATTTATTATTATCAGATTCATATAGAATATTGATAACTTTCTTGTGTATTCATAATTCAGGTGTAAATTTTAATATATTATTTTGATTTCCCATCCGTATACTTAATGATATTAATAGTTTTGTGTTAGCAGCAATCTTCGTTGTTTCGTTTACTATAGACTACTTCAAACACCCAAAACTGTCATTTTCTTTCTTATCTGTCTGACTATTTATTGCTTTACTGTGCCAACAAATCACTAGATTACGAGTCTGGCGTGTTCTTCTAATTAAACCTCAATAGCTGAGCTGAGCTCAGATAAACACACACTTACACACACTAATCAGCTCGACCAGGCCAACCAATATGTGTAACAATGGGCCCAAAGCGAACCTTATAATAATGCAATGCATCTAGGAACACATCAATAAGTCCACGCAATCTCTAGGTACAAACAATTTTAAAACGACCTGTTAACGCCAGCCTACAAATTCTCACCAGGTCGCTGCTGGAATCTTAATTTGTCTTTGGAAAATGTAGCTCCAAAAGTAAAAAACAAAGACAAAAACAGAATAAAAAAAAAACCAACTCAATGCACTTGGGTTTCAAATATTTATGGCCACGTCAAAGGCAATCCATTAAGTACAGGCTCGTCCCCGAAATCGTTCCCATGGCTCTGTGCCATCCTCAACGCCTCACGCGCCATCACGCGTCCAACTTGCGGCCGAACCCAAGTCCAAAAAGGACAACGCTGGCGCACCGTGCTGTGCGTGCTGCTTGGCTCCTCCAGGAAGCACACAAAGTGCCCCTTAATAAGGCACAGACAGGGCAGCAAAGATACAGTGAGAAAGAGAACGATCGCTTCGGCTCGCCTGCTAATTGTGTGCCATCGAAATGAAATTAAAAGCAACTCCTTCGGCTTTAGAATGCCTGACACGTTTTTAGGTTTTTTTTTATTTTTACTTTTTTTTTGTCTCCCCTATTCTTTATGATCCTCCTTTTCTCGCTCGTTTGGGCAACGCCTCGAGCAATACAAAAATTTTTATAAATTTCAAATTACAGCGCATTAAATCGACAGTCCTCAGTCCTGTGTTTGCCTATTCAACTAGTTGATCTGGGCCTCTGCTGTCAGGCCATTAATTGTTTGGGTCGTTCAAGCGTTGAAAATTGAAAATATTCTCCCACGTATTCGGGGGCCGAGCTGCACACGTGTTCAAGACCCGAAAAAGGGATTTCTATGCCAACCAAAACGAGATAAGTGCATAAAGAGCTGCCAGCAACAACAACAATACAAAAACAACAACGATAACAACGGAGCAGCATATAAAAACCAAAAGTGATCAGCAATAAGATTCTTTTTTTTTTGGTTTTATTTTCAATAGGCTCGAAAAAGGATCCTTCGAAAAACTGTGGGAACTGGTAGAAAGTCTCGCTTCTCACGATCCTGGCGCAGGATAAAATTGCTCTACACAAGCAGCAGGTGCGAGCGGTGCGGCAATACATGCCGACACACTCCAACGCATGCAGGTTAATGGCTGGCAGGTCCGTCCCTGCTGTCCGTTTCGAAACACACCTGCCGTTTTTGTGTGTATGTGTGCATGTGTGTGCTCAGGATTTTCTCGTTTACTCGTTTTGTCTGTGCACGTATCCTTGTACTTTCCCACACTCGCACAATATCTGGTGTATCTTGCTGGTTGGCTGCCTGCCTGCCTCTCTGTCCGTCTCCGACCTGCTGTCGGCTTGGGTTTCGTTTTGGTCCTGTGCGGGTATAAAAGGCAGCCGTTTCTGAGGATCAGACATCATTCGAGCACTACGCTTCGTACAGCAAACAACTCAGCTACAAGAAAAATAAAAACATAACACAAACTACAAAATGTGCCAGAACAAGAACATCGTCATCAGCAACATGAACACCAAACCCAACAAGAAGTCGTACAGCGTGAAGAAACTGCTGCAGAAGATCTTCAAGCAGCAACAGGTCGAGGAGCAGCAGAACATGCAAAACACACACAAGGCCAACTCATTGGAATCTCTGGAGTCCATTGAGAACAGCCGCAATGCTGATCTTGAATCGATTGCCAACAAATCCTGCTGCGCCGTTTCGATGGAGTCCTACGAGAACGAAGCCAACGAACGTCTCTCCGCCTCCTGCGAAATGGAGGACTACGAGTACGAGCAAATGCCCACAGTTCCCGTTCACTTTGTGCGCACCGCTCATGGCACCTTCTTCTGGACCGCCACCTCCGATCTGCCCGCCGACAACGATCTCATCGAGCCACTGTACTGCAGCACCGCCAACGAAATAGCCGTCGCTCAGTTCCAGGATCGTTGGGTGCAAGCCTAAGGCAAACATCGAACCACCATCGAGCACCACACAACACAGCAAAAATTGTCTTCCATTTGGAGCCAGCGGTTCCAGCATCCAGCTTTAAAGCGTCTTCTGTTAATTTCAAAAAAATTAACTGCAAGTTGCAAAACTCAACTGAGCTTTACAAAAAATTGTGATAAATTTTAACTAATATTTTTACAAAAATATATATACAATTTAAAAAGAAAAACAACCATTTTGTTCTTATTCTTGAATGACTTTCAATTTTCAGCTACCCCTCAACAAAAAAAGACTACTTAATAACCTTTGCATAACTGTTATCCATTGTTAATCAGTGTGACTCATTGTCCAGCAGCGACTTATCCACTTTGTTTGTTTGATATGGTCTACCTGACCTGGGTCCCTTTTGGTCCCTTATTATGAGCCTGGCTTATTGTTTATGTCTTTACCTGCAAGCAGGTAAGAAATCAGAGTGAATGCAACTGCTTCCAACTTAACAATAAGGGTGGTTTTTTCACTTCGATGCAGGTCTAACCAGTTTCAGGCAGTTTACCTGCGGCTAATCAGAATACCAGCAACGGATCGTTGAACGAGCAGTGTCCAATAAGATTGGACAGTTATTTAATTATGTTGAGCGCAGAGCAGAAGAAGCTGCACAATTGATTACAAAAATCGTTCAGAGTTTGTCCATTTTATATGCATATACATTTATATGATTGTATCTGTATCTACATTCATTTACAGTAGCAACAAGCTCTTAATTGCTTGTGTGACGGCAACTTCAGATATGCTGATGTACTTGTTGCATGAAATCTGGAGATGTTTGACTGATAAAAGTAAAAGTCAACACATGTCTGTTGGTGTGTGTAATTGTGTGTGTGTGTGGCAGTAGATCACATTTGAAATGAGAGCAGTGGAGGTTGAGATATGTGAAGATATGCTTGAAATATCATTGAATGCATACTCAGCACATATTTGCTGTCAATAGATAAGCATCTAAAAGTTACAGTGCATGAGTGCGGGGAGATAGGTTTAAATGAATGTTTTGCCACAATGTTATATAATTCTTTTGAATCATATACTCAAATATGTAAAATCGTTTCCTTATTTAGAAATGTAATATTTGTATTTAGCGGAAATGAGATATAAAATGTTTTCTTTGAATCAGACACATTGGTGAAACATGTTGTTTGGGAATTTAGACCTTATCACTAATCTACCTTTTCGCATGCCAATCAAACGTCATTTATTACTTTCAATAATTTTACTAATTAATTGTGAATCATTCGTGTTTCGCCAAATGCCATATAGTCGGAGTGTGAAATCTTTTTAAAATTCTGAAATTTCTTGGATCAAATATAAATGAATGACAATTTTTCTTTTGAATTGAGAATGTTTGTTTTATTCATATTTAATTGCTAGATTAACATTTATAAATTATTTAAAGCTTAATTTAGTTACTTCGCATTTTCTGCACAGTTTCTTATGAACAACACATAATTCAAACTTCTAGTTCTAGGAAACTTTATCAAAATTATTTAGGAAGTTAGCGCTCTCAGATTGAGTCGAGAGGCCATGTACTTTAGTTATATCACAGATGAAATACAAAATTTACAAATATTATCAAAATAAACTTAAAAGTATTTAAAAACAATGCACAGTGCAATAAATCATACGATTCGATGCGACAATTTGCTTTGGAAGACAACGGATTTTGCTGTTGCTGTTGCTGCTGCTGATAAGTGCGGCAGCAAACGAATAATAGCCATTTGGAATACTAAGGATAAGATCTAGAAATTAGGTGATGTCGCCAGCCAGTCAGCCAGTGGATTACCAGGGCCGCCAGACGGGCTCCGAGGCGCCCGACTCTTGCGAGCTAACCGACGCCGTTTCAGATAACGCAGTGCCATCCACGGATGTCACATCGATCAGCTCGTCCTTGCCCGCCAGGAAGGCGCTGTAACTGGCTGCGGCGGCGGCACCGTAACCGCCTAGCAGCGGAAAGGCTAAGCGTCCCGTTGCATAGCCGACGGCAGGCATTGATTGCTGTTCTTGTTGTTGGTGTTGCTGCTGCTGCTGCTGTTGCAGCAATTGGGATTGCAGCTCAATTAGGCGCGTCGAAAGAAACTTCATTATCTTGCGGCCAATCTCATCGGTTTGCTGCGTCTGCAGCAGCACTTGTGTAATTTGATCGGCTGCATGCACATAACCGGAGCGAAAGGACTCGACGTTGGCGGCGCTTGTGCTGGATGCGGCTGTGTTCCCACCACCACCGCCCCCGACTGGCTGCAGAGTGAGGCCGCCGCGCTGTTTGAGTTTGCGCATGTGATCCACAGTTAGCTCAAGTATATCGGCCTTCTCCAGGCGCGTCACGTGCTCGCCCTCCTGCTGCAGGCATTCCACCATCAGATCCTTGAGATCGTCCAGGCACTTGTTGATGCGCGCCCGTCGCTTGCGTTCCAGCAGCGGCTTCATCACCTTGCGGTACTGATACGTCTTGGACATCTCCATGACCATGTTGTGATTCGAGGCACGCACACAATTTCTGTTATAGTTTTGATTTTTGGCTTTATTTATTCCGAACTAGCCGCACATATTCACGTAGATATCGGCTGGATAAAATGGTGTTTCTATTTTTGTGGGGGGCCGGTTGCGCGTGCGTCGCGCTTTGCGTTCCGTTCAACAGGCGGTACGTTTGTGAAATGAGTGGCAAACAAGTTCCCAACGTTACTTTTATACGACGCTCTCCCAGAGCTCCCGCATGATCGCTCACACACACAAGCGCAAACATGAGTTGAGCGCTCTGGTGGCATTCGGGCACTCGGTTCTTCGGTCTTCGGTCTCGCCTCGGTAGCGGCACTCGGCAGCGCGCACAAAGAGAGGCTACTGTGAAATCCGTTGCAGGCACAGGTTTTTTGGGGTTGGGGTTGGCAGGCAGCCCAATGCACAGTGGTTCGATGCTATGCGTTCAACAATGACTCGATGCTAATAAGCCTGGTTATATTTAGTCAATTTGAGTTGCTTAGCTAATTAAATAACTAAATAATGTTTCACTTTCTTCTCAATAAATATATCATTAAAAGACATATTTTGTATTTCATCAAATTATTCATTTCACACATTATAATTTTTAACGCCTATGAAATTAGTTAATATGAAATCCAAACATTGGTTTCTATATAATTTTCGAAATTTTCTACTGCATACTTTTCTGTGCACAGATGAATCTAATAACAACTGTGTAAATTATGGTTTTTGCTAGCAAATTATTTGAGAATCAATTATGGCAAATATTTTATTTCCTTAAATTTGTTTGCTAAATTATTATTATTAATCTCTTAATCTCTTTGCGTCCTTTCAACAGGATCACCCGTTCCTTAAAGTATGCAACACATGACGATATTAATTTATTTCGAAAGTCCTTTTCAAAACACTAATATAAAAATTAGTTTTATAAAATAATTACTTATTTGTAATCTTATTTAAAGCATAGTTTCATCCAAATCCACCATTCTTAAGTGAATAAATTAATAATTATTAATTTTATATTGCATCTGCTATTTATTTTTATAAGTCGAATAAAATTTTATCAGTTGTGTATTAAACTAAAATCTTTTAATTCTTATTATAGCAAATATTACAGTCCATACCAGTGTGCTCTCTTTGGTGTATTATTGCGCCGAGCGCCGATTCGACAACACTCCATTGGATGAGCGTGAGCGAGAGAGCGTGCCCTGTTGCGCTCTGGCGCGCGTCGTCTTTAAAAATTGATTGCCGAGCGGGAGTCGAAGTCGGGGCTTTGGATTTGTGGATTTGGAATGAGAATGTCTCTGCCTGCGCGTGTCTCTCAGTGTGCCGTCCATGCTGCTGCCGCTGCCGCTGCCGTCGCCGTTGCCGTTGCCATCGTCCATGTCATACTTATTGTCAATGATGACAGTTGCGCTGCTGCTTCAACGGCGGCTCCTATTCGTCGTCGTTGGGTCTTTGGTGCTCGCTCTCGCTTACACATACACACACACACACACACCAACACACATGCATATGCATAAATGGGAGCCTACTGCGACTGCGACGGCAACTGTGGCTATGGCTGAGAGTGTGTGTTGTGTTGTGCCTACTTTACGAGACCGTGGGAAACAGATTTGTCGTGTGTTTCCCACACGTTGGACGGATGGCTGGATTGTGATGCGATCCGATGGATTGCTGAAATGTTTTGCTGCTTGTTGTTGTTGTTGTTTTTGTTGGTGCTGCTGTTGCTGCTGTTGCTGCTGCTGCTGGTTGTTGTTGATGATTGCTGTTGTTGTTGTGACTGCCTCTTGTTTGGGGGGCTTTAACTCGCGCAATTATGTCGTATGCTTGGCTGATGATGATGACTGCGACAACTACAACAAAAGCAAAAACAATAAAATAAAAAAAAAACAGAAACAGAAACTGAAACAGAAACAGAAACAACATTGAATGGCTAGCATTTCGTTAAAGCGTATCGATTAAGCGTAACAGTTTTAGTTTTTCTTACAACTCTGGGGTTGCCGAAAAAAAAAAAACATTTGCATGGCCAAAGTTGTCGCCTTTAACATCCAACGCAATAAACTCCAACATCCGGTTGTCGTTCTAAGATGATGTTGTTTTTCTTAACACTGATCTCCTCAGAAGCTACTGGGCTCAGCTGGACAGCTGTGGACACAGAAATATGTATACATACACCCAGACCCAAGCACACACACACACACATGAACAATGTGTATAAAATGTTGCCTTTTTTTTTCGTATTTATCGCCATCACAGCAATATGACACTTGTGCTTGGCGCGACATTTTTTTTTTGCCGTCCCAAGCAGTTCCCATGATGCTGCAGAATCTTTGGGTTGTTTGTTTGTGTGCCTTTTGCCCATGACTTCCGTTAGCCGCTGTTTGTGGTTGCTTGCTTGGCTTTTTACTTCTGCTGACTTCGAACAGCGGCAACAATAACAATAACAATAACAATAACAACAACAATAACAAGAATAACAACAACAACAATCGCAACAACAATTACAACAGCAGCAAGATTCAACTTACAAGCTGACAAAACTTTCAACTTTGTTGTCACACGTGTCGTATGAGCAACATGGTTGCATACAATCACAAGGAGTATGCAAAATGTACAAACAAGCAAACTCTATTACAAACATACATTTATAATATGCATACGAAGAATCACAGCAGCCACAAGCCGCAACCAAAAACCATTTTCAACTAACCTCAATGCACACTAATTGCTTGTCATATATATTTTTAAGCTTTGCGCTAACTTTGCGCAAAACTCGTTGCCGCTTTGGTCGCCTGCCGTGTGAACCAAAAGCCAAAAGCCAAATGGATGCTTGTGGCTAAAAAAAAAATGTAAAATTGTTAATGCCCAAAATCGAAACTCAAATGCTCTTACTGCAATGAAACTTAAGCAAAATAGTTTAGCAGGAATATAACTTTCTGCTTATGCCTTTTATCAGTTCCAACAGCTTCCGAACTTGTTAATGATTCTATCTTTAAGTAATTAAGTGCCAGTAGTGAGTAGAGAAAAAACTTATAAACTAGTTTTTATCAATCAGACAAGGTTAAAAATAGTGCCTGATGTGGCAAAATTAGGCAAATGTTTTTCCAATGAAATGTTTTTATCTTTGCCTTCAGCATAATTTACAGCAACATTTATTTGCCATTCTATTCAATTTCTGTTGGTTCGAGTATTCTTCAAGCTTCAAAACATAAATAAAAATAATACTTTGTAAATATAAATAAAATATAAATACAAATGGTATTAAATGTTTTTTTTCTTTTTAATTTAGGGTATGTTAAACATAAAAATCTGCAGGAATTTTTATTCATATTCATTTTAATTTGTATCAACATGCAATCATCTAACTATTATTGGTCATTCAAGCTCGCTGAGACTATCCCTCAGAGAGTGTATAAAACAGCAAAGGCACCAACTTGGCGTTAGCCAGATCCATCTGTCTGCCAATAAGGCGTTAAGGCAGGCGTATGCGCAGCTTGGTTAGAGACAGAGGCGCAGTTGGAGTTTGAGTCTTAGTTGCTTTTGTATTCGTAGTTGCAGTCGTAGCCGGAGATGGAGTCAAAGTCGCTTTCAATTTAGCAAACGTGCAGTTCAAAGCTAGGCGCTGATTGGGGGCAAATGTGCGGGGCAACGATTTCAACGACGACGACGACGTGCAGCGGAGAGTTCAAGATTAATGGCAGCCAAAGCGGTGGAGCAGCAGACGGTGGCTCCCAAGCTGCAGGCATGCGGTGTACACGCGATTGGCACGAGTTTGTTGCTTTTAGGCCACGGCCAGGCAAACAGGCAAACAGGCTAGCAGGCTCTGTCTTAACTGAGTTGGCTGACTAGTTTTCAAGACTAGGCCCGGCTGGCTTATTGTGTGGGAAAGAGCAAAGGACTGTTGTGGAATCAGGTCATGGCCTCATTATTAGATCTGCCTTTGTGCGGAGCGTGTGAACAACATGTCATAATCCCCTCGGCTAGGATCGAAGGAACGAAAATAAGTAAAATAAACTTATCAGCGCCGCTGTGCAGAGCCTTGATTATAAATGACAACAAACAGGCGAACAAGTAGCAATAACAGCTGCTCAATAACAACAAGAGCAGCAACAACAACCAGACACCAAAAAATCACAAGAAAGGAAACAAAAATAACAGCAACAACAACAATAGTGCCCGAAAACCCAAAAACCCGAAACAAACCAAGTGAAATTCTTATAAGCCCTTTCCCACACTCGCAACGGTGCGCCGCCTGCGCCAGGACGGAAATGCACAGCGTCTTAGTTTACAGGGGCCACAATGGAACAGGTGCAGCTGCTGTCCCCAGCTAGTTGTATGCAACCAAAACGGCTACGTCACTGCGCCCAAACGGCTTCAGATGGACAAGCAGCAAACCAGCAACTGGCAACTACTGGGCTCTGGCTCTGTGGATCTGGCTCTGGCTTCGGGTACCGTGTGAATGTGAAAACAAAGTCAGTCGTGCATAAATGACGGAACGGGCAATGCACACTGGTTCCAAAGCGATTTGTTCTTTACGATATGAAGTGCATTTTCGATCACTGACTAATAATCTTGGAAATTACAGAAACGTTTTTTTTATTGATCTAGCTTGACTACAAATAAAAAATCTATTGTTATTTATAGAAATTAAAAATGCTCTGAACTCCGTTCACTTCTTAATGTTAATTTTATTTCAACTCGCTTATACATAATAATATTTCAATATACACACTTAAGAACATTAATTGATTGAGCCTGATTTTATATTTCTTTATTATGATATGCAAATTAGTTTACACATTGGGCAAGAAATTTGGGTTTAGCACCTAAGTCGATTTTTATTACGCTAAGGCGATTATTTTGGAAATAATACAAGCACAGTTTAGCTAGTTATTTGCTCCCAGACAACCATTCTATTGGGTATATTTATTATTCAATATTTTCGAAAACATTTTTACTACCTTTTAAAGGTGATTCTTCCCATTTAACACTAGACATTATTATAAGAATAGAATTATTGGCACGTTTTTTCAGTTCTTAGAGCTTTTTGTGACAAAATATTCAATCAAATATGATTCCATCTCATTATTAACGAATTACTGATATATGATTGTAATCTAATTAGTTCTTTTGGATAAATACATACAGATTCTTTTTGCAACACTGCACCACTGTGCAGCCGTTGTTGTCTTCATCTACCTGCAGCCAAAACTCATCAAGCGGCCCTTGTCGATTGTACGTGCATGGGAAAAGTACACACAAGCTTGTGGATTCCTGTTGGAATTTATTTGGGAAATACGCGCACATAAAAAGCAGCTCCCTCTCCCTCGTCATCATCATCGATGAGAATAAGTGTCTGCGTGTATGTCTCCCTGTGTGCGTATGTCTCTGTGTGAGTGTGCCTGTGTGTGTGTCTGTGTGTGTGTGTCTGTGTGTGTGCATGAGAGTGCACTCAAATTTCGTACAGTGCTCGCTGCTTGCCCTGGCCGGGGTTCGTGAGATCAGCCCGCAGACGATTTCACTCTTGACTGGCCATTGGCAGCGCTGCGGCAGCGCCTCATATATAAATATGAGCGCCGGATGGCGCAGCAGCATCAGAAAACGAACGACTCTCGAGAGGTGCGCACACGCAACGCTCGCTCGCTCCAAACCACAAAACACAAGCACCACCACACACTTGAACGAGCCCAGAAAGCTTCAAACAACAACTATTGCCATGTATCTGGATACAAAAAACCTGACAGCTAGCAGCAACAACAACACAACTGCAGCAACAAAAACAGTCTTAATGGCGCCCAAGGCGGGGCGACGCATGCGGAAAGTTTGGCAACCGCTGCGAAGATTGCTGACAGTGGGCGGCAAAGGAAGACCAATGTCTCAGCCGCACCCCAATAATGTTGATCTCAATAATACACAGCTTTTGCTGTTGCCGCCGCTGGAGCTGCTGAGCGACAGCAAAGCAACATCAACAATAATAACAACGCCCGATGAGTCTATCAACAAGTTTGCCGCTGAGCTGAGCCAGCAGCAGGTGCCTGAGGAGGATTTGACACAGACGCCACCGCCGCCCAACACGCCTACGCTGATCAGCAGCGTCTATGTGGAAAAGGTCAGCACACAGAGCTGCAATGCCTGCCAGCATGGACGGAATTGTCAGCACACACATCGCAGCAGCAACAGCAACAGTAACAGTAACAGCAACATCAACTTGAACGCCAACAGCAACGCTGTCCAATCCACGTCCACGCCCACGACCACACCAACGCCCACGCCCACGTTGTGGGACCTGCAATTACCGTTGCAGTACATTAGCACAGACAACGGCACCTTCTTCTGGGCCAACACACAGGAACGCGTCGACGATGATCTGCTGCACGCCTGGCTCTGCCAAAGCTTTAGTCAATTGCCTGGCACGCTTTGCTAGCCAAGGAGTTGCCAAGTGTTGTTGTTACCCACAACAATCGATAACCGATCTCATTTTTGGGCTCGCTCGTGACTGTGTCTGCAGCATGACTCAAAAAGTCAACACACCTGAGGCCCCAGCATTGTGCACCCTAAATTCTTATTAGTTGTTTGTTCACACAATTATTTATTTCCTCGCGCAATATTTACTTTGTCAATGTGATATCAATTTGCAAATAAATGAAAAACTATTGTACTACCTACATACTCGATGAACAGCTGATTTATATTTATTTAAGTCCAGTTAATATCGAATTTTATGTTTCTAACAGGTTTCAATCCCAGCTTAAAGTGCCTTAGCACTTTACTTTTGAAAAGAGCATGGAGCAGCCTCTTTTAATTAAATGACTATTACAAGAACTATTGACGAAGAAGACTTAACAAAAAGTTTTCTTTCTCTCTTTTCTTTAAAAAATGTTAACTGTGCAAATTTTTACATTATTTGTATCCAAATAAGTAAAATAAAAAAATGTGGAAAAGTTTGGTAAAATATCAAGTTTTACATATTAAAATTTGCAAATCTAATAGCATTTTAGATTTCGGATTTCTTATTTAAAGATGCCAAATTATAGAACCCAATTCATAAATAAGAGAGAAGACTTATTTGAAAATAGGATTGGTCTATTTTTTCTCAAATAATTATTGAATTCAAATTAAATGTTTGCCTTTTCATTTGGTGACAAATCACATGAATCAGCTTTTAGAACGCGGAGCAGCTCATTGGGTGGAATGCCGGCATTCATAAGGACGCAGTTGTAGTTGGACAGAAGGCACTCGCTGGGCACGAGGCCACGGTATTTGCCGTTGGACACGCACAGAGGCTGGTATATCATGGGACAGGGTTTAACGCAGGGTCCAACATCCAAATTGAGTTTCAATTGCTCTTGTAGATTGGTAACTTCCTGGGTGCTGCACCAGTCCATGTCCGTTTGGGTATAGGCTAAAGAAAAGAGCATTAGGAATACATACAATAGGCAGAAAACATTTTTTACTTACTCGTCAGGGCACTGCGTTCACGGCGGCAATTGCTGGCCTTCAGACTGCAGGGGTTAGCGAATTCCTTGAGATTGAAACCATCGAAGCCACAAACCGGTTGATGGAGAGCCGGACATATTTGCGGACAATCCGTGTCGTTGTTGGACACCGAATTGCCAGCTATGCCGGACATCAGCGCCAAACCGCAGCAGAGCGTTATGGCTGGGAATTTCATTGTGCAAACCTTGATTTTTCTTGCGAAAATTGTGGTAATAATTTGTTTATTTGTTGACTACGTGTGCTTTTTGGTAGCTATCGCTGACAATTGCTTTGACTGTTTGGAAATTCATTGATTTTTATATATATTGCAGTCACTTCAGAAGGCGTTCTTATCAGCAACGGGCCTCTGATAACGCAATCGAGCAGATAGTAACGCAATTGGAAACGTAGTTGCTTTGGTCTACAATGTTCTGGCTCAATGTTCTGGTGAGTAATAAACTTTGCTGTGCTCTAATTGACGTGTATTGACGGCTCTCTCGGCCAAATTGCCATCAGCCATCAATCGATCAGCAATCAACAAGAATAAAAATCAGTATTGTTGTGATAGCAGTTCGTATCTTGTTTATATCTTCGAAACAACAAATTAGAATATTTTTTTGTTCGGCGAAAATTTTGGGGGAATCACTTCTTTAAGATGTTGCTACCATAAATGCGATATTATCAGCGAATTTGTTTACCATTTGTTTTTTCCTTAGAATAGGGAGCGCATTTGAGAGTCTGCATTATTTAAAAAAACAAAAATTAAGTTTATTCTGAATCAATATATGTGATTGTTTTCATCGAAACCAATCAGTTGTTGTTACATGTTTGAGAGTGATTCCTGGATGTTGAAGTAAGAGGAACTTTTAATTAAATGATAAAACTGATGCTGTACTTGAGTTTTCCCTTAAAATCGGTTAGGACGGTATCTAAATTATTGTTATTCTTGAATGTGTGAGTACATTTATTACCAAATAAATGAGTGACTGAGGCCTTGAGTTTTATAAATAACATTAATGAAAACTAACTCTTTGAAGTAAACAAGCTTCAACCATATTAATTTTACCAGTTTCAGCCATATTAATTGGTTGTCTCACCAGAAGACATTTAAGTGCATAAAGAATAGGAACCAGTAACTATGGGGCCGGCCAATGTTGGGATAACACACAAGCTGTTGAGCATCAATCATAAAACTCAGCATCTTCTTAACGGCAAAGTTAATTGCACCAAGCAAAGCGATTACATATAGCGATTACACCAAGTAAAGCGATTATAATAGCTTAGTGCTTGGCACTGTTGATAAATTATGTAAAATAAAATGAAGAACAGTGCCAATCGGTCCATTAAAATATAGATATACACATGCATCATGTACAATTTAGCATATACTACGCTCAAAAGTAAACGTTATTAAATTTGTAATAATTGAATCTAGTAAATCAAATGCATACATAAGAAAAAATAACACTTTATGCCAACATCTTATGATCATAGCTTAGACTAGTTTTTATACGAAGTAAAAAAAAGTTATGAATTTGCAGGTGTTATATAGATTGTGTAAAGAGAGTAGTTATGCTAAGATAATTGGTCTTTTTAGCCTTATAATATTCTCATTAATTTGCAGGGCTATTATGTAACCAACACAGTACAATTTATACAAGCATACACTTGCATGATCAACATAACTCGTTTTATTGTTGTTTTTTTTGGTTCTTAAAACTACCCTTACGATTAGATTTAAATGACTACGTTTTGTACATTTCACTTACCCACATTGTCCCTCATTTGTTTAATGGTAACAGTGAAGCTGAAAACACCGCGCTGGCTAATTTGAGGCAACAACCGCCACACACAAACAATAACAATAACAACACACCCAGTCGTGCCTAATCGCCGTTTAATGTGTTTACACACTTGTTGCTCGCGGCGCCCTTAGCTAACTGGCCTGGTCGAGCGTAGAGAGACATGGTCAAAGAACTGGCCAACACATTGCTGGTGCTGGCAACACAGTGACTGTTGGCCAATCAATGACCGCTAAGCGCATGCCGGTCACGCACGCGAAGGCCGCCGCTCATTTGTCGACATCGTCGTCGACGACTTTGTGCTTAGCTTAATGTCAAGAATTGGGCACAGAGGCGTACATTAAACTCCAGTGCCCAGTACCTGTCCCAGTCACAGTCTCAGTTCCAGTCTCAGGCTCAGAGACAGAGCGGCGCATATATGCAAGTGTTGTGTGTTGTATTCTTACTCGCACTCGGCTTGTAAATGCAAATGAATAGAGGTAGCCGGGTTCGACGATGCCTATCGCTGGCAGCGTTCAACGTTCAGCGTTCAGCAATCATCATAAGCATTATCAACATCAACAACGGCATTCCATGATGGTTCTTTCTTTCAATTCTTTGCCGCTGCGCATACGAAATTAATTATGCGCTGTCGGAGCCAATTTAACAGAAACTTATATTGCTACTTAATTTACGTCACGGCGCTACCAGAATTTTATTAATTTTTCTTTTCACATTTCTTTCTTCATCTCTTTTTTTTATTTTTTTTATTTTGTGATATCAATTTGCATTTTTCGTGTAGGAGAAATGCGTTAGTGATTGATAGAGAGAATGGGTGTGGGGTGGGGAAGGGTAACAGATTGGATGGGAACGATTATCTTTTGCGGTACTGTTTTTATGCCCAATTTCAACGTCCGCCTCAAAACGCCTTGGTATGTGAGTATTGCGTGTGTGTTGTTACTGGCCCGTGACTGGAAGGTGTTGACGTCTACATGTTGCATTTTAATTGTGGCTTTTGATATGGGTTTTTCCTTAGCATTCTGCTGCCCAGCTCCTTCTTCACCTCTCTCGCTCTCTCTCTCTCTCTCTCTCTCTTTGTCTCTGTCCCTCTGTTTATTTTTCTTCTTTTTTTTCTAGAAAATAACATAAATAAATAAGTTGTACGACACGCGGCGACAAGCCCCGTGCAAGAAATTGCCGTGAAGTTATGCACACCATCCCCATATTTGGGCACACAGGTGGCGGTGGCGGTGGCGGTGGCCTTAGCCCAAGGCAACTGACAACTGCAATAATAGCTGTCTGTAAGCTATTTCCACAGCAAGTGAGAATATTTCACATTGGCAGGTTGCCAAGTTAGGCAACGAATGCATGCCACAGATTAAGAATGGAGTGAGTTAAGGTACTTCAAGACAAGGTCATTTTATTAAAGAGGGCTAGTAATAAGGAAAGAAGTCGTACGCCAACTTCTATGCTATATACTTAAGTCATTGAACTGGCTTGCGACAGTAAAAAAGAAATGTGATTGCCTCATTAATCATTTTGTTGATTTGCAAGTTTAAATTTTGAGATGCTTTGCTTTGCTTTAATCAAAATTTAACAATTAATTTTCTGTAGTTTAATTTAAAGTTAGCATTTCATGAAATGTGTTTCCTTGGAGTTGTCCAAATAAGATATCCGAGTTCTAGTTAGAATCCGTTTTCTCTTAATTTGGGTTTAAATTTTAAATAGATTCTCATTAAAGATTATTATGATTCCAATAGCCATCATAAGTTGCCGAAATCTAACTATAATAATTGAAGATATATGACAGTATATCAACATGCCAAATAGCTGCATTGACGTCATAGAAAATTTCCAGAAAATGTATATATCTAGAAAGATCTCGTCGCAACTAAATTTAAACACACACACAATGTTCTTATCAGTCACGTAGGCGAGTAGAGCATATTTTATGGAGCGAACATAAACAAAATCTTATATCGTAAACAAGCTGAACCAGCTACCCAATTGAATGGAATTCCAGACGTCATAACAATGTTTAAGATGGTTATATACGAAGGATGTGGATGAAGAATATGTTTTGATCGTAAAACTGAAACCCAAAACCAAAACCAATTAAGAAGCCAAAGTAATTTCATTTTTATATCTTTTGTTATGTATTTTGTAAAGCTCTCATTTTCTATCACAATATCTTATAATCTAGTGGAAGCGCTGGGATCGCTGAGTTGAGTTCGAGTTAAGATTAAGTACGATGCTGCTGCTGCTGCTGCTGCTGCTACTGCTATCACAGTGTTGTATGCATTTAAAGCTGGTTGTTGTTTCGAGGATTGGGCCCTGATTTTCAGATTTAAGCCTGAGCCCAACGATCCTGATATTGCATGAACGGATGCTGTTGGCTGGAATAGCAGTAGGCGGGCTGCAGCAAATCGGCATCGACGCTGGCAACTGGCTGCAGATTGGTTGTCCAGAAGAAGGTGCCGGCCTGAGTGCGTGCAAAGCGTACGGGCACATAGATGTCCTCCTCGGCATCGAGCTCTTGCTCCTGCACCAACTGGGCGAGTTTCTCGTTGGCGGCATTCTCATCGATTTCGGCATAGTAGACCTCCTCGACTTCAGTGTTGCGCAGATTGTCCACGGATTCAAGTGATTCCAGTGAGTTGTTCTGGCACTGCTTGTTCTGTTGTTGTTTTTGTTGCTTCTTGAAGAAGGTCTTCAAGACCTGCTTAATGCTGTAGCTGGTCTTCATTTTGTTGTTATTGTTGTTGATGATGGCGACTTGTTGGCACATTATTGAAATTTGTGTGTATTGGTCTTGTTGTTGTTTTAGCTGTGTGTTGCTTGAAACGCTGACGATGTCAGAATGATTTCTCAACCGAAAGGCAACCCGCTTTTATAGCTCCGCGCCGGTCCGCTCAGCGCAGCAGCGCAGCTCACCACACAAAATGCATTTCCTGTAGCCGCACACACAAACACAAAAAAAAAGGGAGAGACGCACATAGAGAAACGGAGAGAGAGAGAGATAGAGAGAGAAACACCACAGTTAAGGAAACGTAGAAAGACCCTCCGACAGACACGCGTACGTGGTACGCACCTCACCCTCATTGAAAAATGCCCTGACGAGTGAGAGAGATAAGATTGTTAGCCGGCGAGCGAGCGAGAACCTGAAATATGAAGCCGCCACAAGGCTCTCTTGTAAGGGCAGCAGGTAGCCTGAGACGAGCCTGTTTCCCCTCGATGTGTGTAGGAAGTCGAACATGGAGCAAGGAAACGTAAACGTGGACGCAAACGCAAAACCCCTGATCTATACACACACACAACAAAAAAAAGTGCAACTGTTCGGTGATACGAAGTGTGGGAAACAATTTTTCGGTACCCTAAAATTTGTAAGGAAATATATATTCAAGTGGTTCTGGATCTGAGCTGTTTAACAACAGGCAGGTGTTCCTTCGTAAAATTTCTCACGACTCGAAGGAAGACAAGATAGGACTCAACACCGAGTGAACGGTGCCCAATATTTGTGCATGGGATCATACAGTTAAAAGGAGTGCAAATTGTTGTCCTAATGGGCAATCAACATAAAGGCTGCCACTCGTACCCAGGGGATATCAGGAAAAAAAAACATAAAAATTAAGCCAGCATTCCCACGCATTGCCACAACACATTCGTCCTGCGGTCCCAGCTATTTATATTTGTATGGGCATTTCGAATCACTTGTTGGGCTGTTTTCATTTCCAACTTTCCCACACGGATTTTTTGAGTTGTTGTTTTGTGGTGGAACTCGAACTTGCACCCCAAACGAGAACCTGAGCTCGAAACTCTGCAGCAATAAATGTGGCTGCCACTTGTCTTCGATTTCATTATAAATGCGCCCTTATTTGCTCTTGTGAAATCTTTCAGATATTTTAATTAATTTTCTTACAGGAGGGGAAAACAGGGGAAATCAGTAAGTGCGACTGGAAAGTGTGTGTGAAGCGCGTTGTTATTTATCGAGAAGATACATTCTTTGAATGACATTAGATGCCTGCTAGGGGGTGCATTTTGTTATCGTTGCAGCTAATGGATTGAGTGTGTGAAATGTTTGGGAGCCCTCCCGCCACGATGGGGCTGACAATGTTTATCAGAGACTGCAATCCGTGAAGCTAAAGGGGGGTCGCATTCACAGCTTACACTTCAGCTCTTGGGTTTGCTGTTGCTTTTCTTCTTTCTTCTTTTATTGTTGTTATTATTGTAGATAGTTGTCTCGTCTCTGTGGTAATATAATATATGCACTTGAGTAACTGAAGCCTCCAGCGGCCTGAAGATAATGGGCAACGTGCCAAGTGCTCGCATGTGTGTATACACACAAATACAAATACACATACACATACACATACCGACCGAATACAGTGCATCATAAAAGCGAGTCACCATTCACGAAAGAGCTGACCGAAAACTGAGGTCAGGCGCTGGAAGGCGGACAGTGTGTGGGGCGTGCCGAGTCTTTTGTGTGATCTTAGCGAGTATGTGCTGGCATCCAACATCCAACATCCAGCAGCCAACAGCAAGCAGCAAGCATCAAGCAGCCAGCAGCCAGCAGCAGCCATAGCTACAGACGCAGACGCAGCCTCGCTTTGGCGGATGGCAAACGGGTTATTGAAGCCAAGCTACGACCATGGCTATAACTACACTCTTACACACACACACACACAAAAGACACTCAGCGCTTGGGGTATGACGAACAAATGTGTAAAGTATTAAAAAGACTAAAAAGAGACCTACAAAATAAAATAAAACAAAGCGTCGACCGCATCCTAAACAGCGGCCAGCAACGACTCGCCAAACAACAACAACAGCAACAGAAACAACAAAAGCAACATGGAGCAACAACAGCAGCAGCGGCAACGAGCCAGCCCCAACCAATCTTTTCAAGTTGATCCCCATCAAGATATTATTTGACAGCAATGAAACGACTGGCACGAGTTTGTTTCCCACGGTCTGGTACTGCGCCAGTGTGTATATGTGTGTGTGTGTATGTGTGTGTTGCGAGTATCTGTGTGCACCAGTCCCCCACATACCCCCCGCACACTGCCTGTGCCTTTTGTCGGTATGGATGGGTTGCCGTCTCTGTCTCTGTCTCTGTTTCTGTCTACGTCTCTGTGTGGGTTGCTGGCGGCGTTATGGAGCTGTCGGTGCACGGTGGGGTCGACAGGGGGGGCCGCTCAACACACTGCTGACGCTGCTGGCTGTGGCTGCTTTTCGCGGCGCAATAAAGTTGAAAGCGCACTGTTGGATATAAATTAATTCAACAACACGCTATAGTTGTTGTTGTTGGTTTTGTTGTTGTTCTTGTTGCTGCCCGGCTTGGTCTCTGGGCTTGGGCCTGTGCCTGTGCACGCTCTCGTGCTGTTGTTGTTTTTGTTGCTTTTGTCGTTGTTGGCCTAAAGTTGGTCGCCGGCGCAGCGGGGGCACTGAAATTCGCGCGTGCGTATACCATCGATAAAAAATAAAATTGTTTTACAAAAATGAACAAAAAAAAAAAAGAAACGACCAAAGCGGGAGAAATGAGGTCTTCGTTGTGCTTATGTCGAGAATCAATGTGTGTGTGTGTGTGTGTGTGGTGTATGGTGTGGGGTGTATACGGTGTGTGTGTTATTGTGTGTGAGTATTTAAGTTGGTTTTGGGCGACTATGGAGAATCCGCTACACATTAAGCTGGCATGTTGCGAAATTGAAATGAGTCATGATAAATTCAATTAGACCCTTGGGCACCGCCATTTCGCTCCTGAGACTGAAATTAGCTATGAAAATTGTACTATAAAAATCAAAAAGTAATTATTTATCGAAATAAATGGATTATGGGGTTAATTTTGTGATAAGTTTTTAATTCCTTTTTTCAAAAGCAAAATGAGCACATTTATTTTATATAATATATATTTGAAAATATTTATAATTTTGATATACAATCGACCGACCTAGAAAAATAAATTACTTCAAAAGTCTTGGATATTTCACCTTGAACAATTCCTGCAGAATAATGTAGTTTATAATTATTTTCTTTCTTTTGAGTAATTTAAATAGTTGATAAAAATTGTTTTCAAAAAATGTTTATTTTTTCTAATATAATTACGCATATTTATATAAATTTATGTCTTCATGGATATATATGCGTATGATATATGATATTTATATTACCCTCAGTAAGAATTGTATTAATTCGAATACGCATGTTATTTAGGGCAACTGAACACAATCAACCCTCATGAAATCGAATCCAATTGTGGCCCTTATGTTTTTTGGAATGCAACTCATGTTTTACAACACTAACAATCACACACTTTTCACTCTCAATCCAATTAGCCATTTCCGGAGCAGTCAGCTTTTTGACAGCATCGCGCGCGCCTCACTTAACGGGCCAGCAACAACAACAGCAATAACTACAACAGCAACAATAACATCATGCAAACAAAATAAAGATGAGGCTGTTAACATTTGTTAACTGTAGCTCATTTGAAATGCGTACAAAACGCCAACTTAATTTGTCATGTGCCTCTTTTACTGTTGTTGTTGCTCTTTGCTTTTTGTTGTAGCGTTTTTTTTTTGTTATTTTTGTTTTCGTTTTTTTCTCTTTTGTGTGACGCTGATGATGCGCCACTTGTGTTGTCATCTTGAATGTGATTTCGCCGTTTCGGCACTTCTAATTAAGTGTTGTGAAATTCGAGTCGTGTGAGATTGCTATAAATAGTCAATATAGAGATATGATACATATGCATGTGCTATTATTGTGAAAACGAGGATGAATCACCGCTTAATGGCGTGCCAAATATAAATACAATTATGCTTTAAAAAAAACTTCAGATCACTCGTGACGTGACAAAAGCCTCAAAACACCCCACGAGCCACATAGCACATAACAACATTTATAGCGTGTGCTAACAACAGCAACAACAGCAGCAGCCACAACAACAGCAGCAAGTCGTAACTGACTTTCGCGCACACGTCGCATAAAAAATGCTTTGCCTTTTGCCCAGTCAAGCCGGTAATTGTCTACAAATGGTAGAAGTAGTCCGAGCCATAAGCCGTACCCGAACCAAAAATCCCAAAAAAAGAAGAAGAGAGAAAAAAAATGCAGAAAACCCACCGACAGATCGCAAAGCCCGAACAAGCAGTGGTCGCAATAGGCAATCAAGAATAATCATGTAAACGAAAAGCGTAATGCTTGGCCCACGAAGTCCACGATCCCAATCAATGATCCATAAAGCGTTAAAAAAAAAACCACATACAACAAAAGCCAAACAAAGCGAGAGAGAAGACAAGAAAGAAAAAAAAACAAAATCAAAAAACAAAAAATGCTGCGCGATGACGATTCCACAATTATCAGCGTGCCATAAGCTACTGCAAGGGTGAAGGCGAAGGCAAAACCGAAGCTGAAGCTGAAGGCACATGGCAAGACCAAGACGAAATAGCAACAGCACCAGCACCAGCACCAACAACAGCAAAAGCAGAGAGCTCGGAGCTCTGGGCTCGAGTCCACATACAAATGAATTGAAATGCAAACATCTTGTTATGGATGGAAGGCATGTGCTCGCTTGGCTGCCGCTCTGCCGCAGCAGTCAGAGCTCTTAAGGCGGCGGGCCGTCAGACAGACAGACGAATGGACGGACAGGCCACAAAAGACCCCAAGCATGCACAATCAGAAGAAGTCAGGCCAAGCAGTCAGGCAGGCAGGCAGGCAGCCGTCGTCGTGGAAATCGGCTGCGAAACAGTTTCCCACGGTATAACAATCACAACTCACACAACCGCACACATTCATACACACACACACACACACACACATTCATACAAACACACAGCAAGATAGAGGCGCAGCCGCAGCTCAAGTCATTTTATTGCCCTCACCAACAAACACACACACACACACACAGAGCGTGTGTGCTAGAGCGAGAGAGTGCGCACAAAGTGAGCACACACAGCGCATACGTAAACAGAAGCCAGCCAGCAGCGGCAGCAGGCGCAAGCGAGAAAGGAACTTAAAAGTTGGGTCGCGCACGAGGCAAAATGCGCATCTCTCTCGCACTCACCATCGCAACGAAACGCGGTCCGAGCCTATAAAAAGCACGCCGCAAACAGCGAGCTGAATCATTCAAAGCAGCGACTTTGCAGCGTGCACAACACAAGAAACGCAAGCAAAAACCAAGCGAGTGAGAGTGACTAATATCAACTGTGGATTACGCGTGATATCGTCAAGTTGTATTATTTATTACCAACCAACCAACCAACTAACTAACTAACCGTTCACAAAATGGTGCTGGAGATGGAAATGTCGAAGACGTATCAGTACCGCAAAGTAATGAAGCCTATGCTGGAGCGCAAGCGTCGTGCCCGCATCAACAAGTGCCTGGACGAGCTGAAAGACATCATGGTGGAATGCCTCACCCAGGAGGGGGAGCATATAACACGCCTGGAGAAGGCCGACATACTCGAACTTACCGTGGAGCACATGAAGAAGCTGCGCGCCCAAAAGCAACTCCGTCTGGGCAGTAGCTCCAATTCCAGCGTTGCTGGCGACTCCAAGCTGAGCATTGCGGAGAGTTTTCGTGCCGGCTACGTGCATGCCGCCAATGAGGTGTCCAAAACATTGGCAGCGGTGCCCGGCGTCAGCGTCGATCTGGGCACACAGCTGATGAGTCATTTGGGACATCGTCTTAACTATTTGCAAGTGGTGGTTCCCACACTGCCCATTGGCGGCGCCATGCCGCTCCAAACTACAGATGAACTCAGCAGCAGCAGCAGCAGCGGCAGCAACAGTCCGAGTCCGGCGCTTGTGACACCGCCACCCTCAGAATGCGGCAGTGCCAGTGGCAGTTGCAGCCCGGCGCCCAGTGAGGCTAGCACCAGCTCCAACAGCACCGGACCCATGTGGCGTCCCTGGTGAATGCATTGCAGACGTGCAGCCTTGAGGCACAAGGCGTTGACAACTTACCCATCACTTCGAAGACAGCTGTTCGCACGCAGGCGCGCTGGATTGGAAACCGTGCGCCGACAGCTCGGCATCGGCAGACTTCTGCCCACTCGGATAGAGCCTGGACTACGGCTGACGAGTGGCGCTACATTTTTATGTACTATACCAAGACCAAATTGAATAAAAATAAATGATTTGAAAAGAAAAAAAAAAACCAAAAAATCCGAAATTTCTTTTTTGTATTTATCATCTCAAGTTTCAGCAAGTGATTGAATTTCATCAGGCGCCTGTCTGCGTCATCGTGTCCAGCGAGATAAGCGCACACAATCATCAACGAAGCCCTTCCGGAGGAGGCGGCCAGCATTTAATGAGCTCCATAGAAAAGGCAAATCAAAACCGCAGCCGGAAGTTGCTAAATATTTTCCCACACTCGCTCGCTATCCAGTTTGGCCTCATTTAATGACGGTTCGTTCTCCGTTCTCCGTTCTCAGTTCTCAGTTCTCAGTTCTCTGATTCCGACTTCATGCCGAGCTTCGTCTGTGTGCCATTTGCGCTGGCGCTGCTGCCGCAATTAAATAATAAAAAAGCAAAAAAAAAAAAAGCGTAGAGAAAAAAATTATTTATATAGATATAGATGTATGTGTATGTATGTTAAAGACAAGCAACTACAGAATTCTAGGAAACGTCATTTATTACATGTTTTTTGAGTGTGAGAACCGCTCGACTCGCCTGTCAATGGTTCGCATTGTTGCTGTTGCTGTTGCGGTTGCTGTTATTGTTGTTGCTTTGACGCTTTGACAGCTTTAACTGCGCTTGACCGTTTGGCACATGCGCCGGGGCCGCCAGCGGGACAGACAGACAAACAGACAGACAGACAGACCTCCAGACATCGCAAATTAAGGTCCGCGACCGGACCGGGCACTTAAAACTTCGTTATGTATCGGTATTGGTATCGGTATATCAGTACTGTCCATGTGTGAGTGCCTGAGTGCTTGACTGTATGGGTATTGGGTATGGGTATGTTGTGAGTGTGCGGTTTGGTTACGGAACTTCAAATTGAACGCTTTTGTGTCTGGTGTGGACAACTATGATGATGACTGCTACTCTCCGCTGATGCTGATGCTGATTGCTGCTAATCTCTGCCAAATGTGATTAGTCACGTAACATTGGCACAGCTCTGTTTTTTTTTTTTCTTATTTATTAAAATATATACATATAAATATAGACATATATATATATATAGATATTTGTATATGTTTTATTTCAGCTTCAGCTTCGTTTCAGCCGCAAATTTGTATAAGACGAAAATTGCAAGAGGACCATTAAAGAACTTGCCTTGGCAGATAATTTTGAAAAAGTGCGGTCAAAAATGAGTAGGATTGTGATGATATTTTAATGACTGAGGATGTGTATGGAGGCAAAAAACCCATCAGCAAAGTGATTCCCCCTGAATACAAACCTAAATTTGGGTATTTGCCACACGTGCTAATTATTAAGTTCAACTTAATAAAGTTAAATTATGTTGTGATATGTTTTTAATTAATATTGAAAGGCAACATTTCAAAAATAATTGCTTTTCAAAATATTGCTAATACATAAGCTCAATTAACTGTGCATGCAGTTAATGGTAAAAATAAATTGGTAAAATATAATAATATTTATATAATATATTTATTTATAAAATATACATTTCTAGGAATCTGCCCGAAAATACTTTTAATAACTTTATTTCGCAATTAGTTGCAGGCCAATATTAAATTTTAATAGTGTGATCTATATATTTGGCACATGGTATAAAGCTGGCAATGATGATAATGATTCGCATGATATTATGTGGGCCAATAACTAACGGTTCGATTGAAGCGACTTCAACGGTTCGTAAGCGCCTTAAGGTGGCGAAAAATAAACCAAGAAAAAATGTATTAAAAAAAGAAGTACAGTACGGTGCACACATCACGTGACCTCTGAGTGCTGGCCCACACTAATTCCAATTCCAATCCCATTCACATTCACTCAGCCAACTGCTGCTTTTGCTCATGCTGATGTTGCCCTGGGGCCAGGCAGTGCCACCTACTGCAGTCATAATACACACACGCCGCAAAATTTAATGCAGCCATATTAAAGTAAGCGCAAGACCGCCACTTAATAATAAAAAATATAAAGAAAAAAGAAAAAAAACAGACACATCAACACACACACACAGAATAAAACCGGCCTGCTCGATTGGGCGCTGGCAATGGGGGATTGAGATGAGCAGCGATTGTTTTGTGTGGAAGGGGGTGGTGTGGGGTGGCGATGCAACAACTCGTGCCAGCATCTCGGGCACACACGTACACAGACGCGCAGAGCTCTCTTTTGGTCAGCGCTTGTCCAGTGGCAACGTGCGCGTGTGCCAATGCAGTGGAACAACATCCCATATTAAAGATATTACAGAGTCAATAGCACACCATATAAGTGTGGCTCAATCTCTCTCTCTCTCTCTCTGTCTCTACTTCATTTGTCTCGCTCTGGCCATAAACAAACTAAATTGAGTTCGTTCGACAAAACGCTGCGGCTGCGGCTGCGGCAACAACTGCGAGCAGCGAGTTGTGCGCTGCTTCGCGCATGCGCCGCGCCACAGGCTGCCCATGCCACTGCCCCTACCCCTACCCCTTTCTGTTTGGTCTTAACGATCGTGTGTCCACAGTCATTACAATGTTGGCCAATGCGACGACGTCGACTTTGCCGCACACTTACCGCACGCTGCTTTTCTCTTTCAAGTCGCTGCAGCAGCGGCAGCGATTCACCTCCTCTTGCTCCTCGGTCGTGATCTTGCCCGTAAGTGGTCTTGTATCTTGAATTCAAAAAATACGTACAACAGGGACAGGCACACACACACACACACACACACACATAGAGAGAGAGACCCAGGCATACACATACATATAAAAAAGGGCAGGTGTGTCGATCGTGTGAGAACCACGTTCCAAACCATTTTCTCACGATCTTCGCTTCTGATATTTTTTTGTACTGTCCCTCCATACCGTCTCCCGTCAGTCCGCCAGTCCGTCCGTCCCTCTGTCGGTCCGTCCGCCTGTCTATTTGTGTGTGCGTGTGCCGGGGCCCTTCAAGTGATTCGTATGCAGTTTGTGTATTGTAGATTTTTAATGACTTGGGCTTGCGTTCGAGCGACGAGCGACGAGCGTTGAGCTCACTGCAGATCTTGAGCGTTTCGGAGTTTTGGGATTCGGTTTCGGTTACGTCGCAAACACATTCGTTCATCATTCATCGGGTTTACCTTTAAGATTAAGTATCTTTTGTAGCTGCATGCATTTCCTTTTTGCCTTCGCCTTTGCCATTGCCTTTGCCTTTGGCTTTGCTGTTGCCTTATGCCATATTCAGCTTATTGTCCATTGTCGTCTCTGGTTGTGCATCTTGTTGTCTTTGTTGTTGTTGCCATGCCACAATTATGCTGCCTGGGGATGGGCGAGGATCAACACATAGTTGCGATTTTTACGGGGTTTTGTATTGATCTAATGCAAATTTGTACGAGTTAGTCGATTGCAACTGAAATTAAGTTGTACAATAGATTTTTTATCCATCATTAATAATATTTATGCAAATTACTCTATAAGGTCGAGTAAATCATATTTCCTATGTAGTTTGAGTCATAACTTATATCTGAATTGATTTGATAAATGATTCTATCACAATTAGCAAATTATCTTATTTATTTATTTTAATTTAAGCATTTTAATTTTTAGCAAGCTTAGCGTTGAGTATAATTAATTAATTTAGTTAATTTAAACTTAATATTGTGTCAAATTAAATATTTAGAAGAAAATATTAGCTTTATTATTTAAAATGAAATTAATAAATATGGCATTTTATTCCAATTAGAGAGCTAATTGTCTTATTTAATAAATAATTTGTTCCGTTTAGTAATTCTTAAATCACAATAAATTATTTCACAAATTTGATTGCTTATATAAGGACTTACATTAATCTTAACTTAAGTCACAGCACAAGAATCCCTTCCCAAGTTATGTTGACTCTTAAAAGAAACTGGTATCTTAAATCTTCAGATTGTTTACTCTGATCAAGGCCACACTTATGCATCCATAGAGGTGCCCACATAATTCTTATATTCTCTGGACTATTTTATGTGTCTGTCCTTAACTTCATTGATTGTTAACAGCTCAGGCGTCAGGGCTACTGGTCTTGTTGGGGCAACAACAACAACAAGAAAAAGAACAACTGCGGCATCAGCGGCAGCAACAGCAGCAACAGCAGCAGCAGCGCAGATAAGCAAATGATGCGGGCCAGCTAAAAGTGATATCCTGTCAGGGCCCAAGATGGGGATTGCCATAGGGCAGGGCAATCATTTATAATTACCTGAATGCCAGACAGACAGCCCAAGCAATTATGTATCTTGCCTTGCCTTGCCTTGCCTTGCCTTAACTGACCATTGTGCACACGATTTTCTAGTCGAGTGCTCAAAAAGGATGATGGCTGGGTTGGATGTTGGCCCGGAGGGTTGAACAGCGATGACTCGATCCTTTTCTGCTTTTGTTCGGCTCGGCTTTCTTTTACAGAGTTCGTTTTGGTCCTAAGGCTGAGCGACATTGTCGTAACTCGATTAGACACGCCAAAGAGATAAGTCTCTAATTTTTTAGGTTGCCTCGTCTTATTGTGTGCACACGTGTTCCAGGGTGCCCTGGGCCTTGGACCTTGGGCCTTGTGAGCGTGGACGCTTCGGTAGCCTCGTAACGGACATCGATTTATATACATGCATTTTTCTCTTCTTTTATTTATTTTTTTTTGGGTTTCTTCTCGGCCTTGGCATTGTTTTCGCTTTCTATTGTTTTGGGATTTTTTTGGTCAGCATTCGTAACAATAAGAAAAAGCAGAAAATTACAACGAATCGACTCGGTTGGGTTCGATGAAAATGTAGCAGTAATTTGGGCAATGGTTAGGCCATTTCCGCTCGTAGAACCTGAAGAAGCCACACTAATATATTCTCAGAATTAATTTGACCAATTGGATACACAAATGTTGCATTAAATAACAAATATATGAATTAGAAAACCATTACAAAATATTTTCCCTACAAATTGGCGAATGGGGGAATCAGTAAAAACATTTGGGTGTATTTTAATTTTAGCTATATAATTTATTATCACATGAACTGCGCCTTGTTTAAAGCTTTTTCTTTTCATTTCATTTTCATTTTTGTTTTGTTTTGTTCTTTTTTTTTTGTTTGTTTTTACTTAATGCTAAGTGGGCGTCAGGGGGCATGGTTAGCACCCCATTGACTTGGAAGACTTTTTGCTAATTCGTAACTCTCAATCTCTCTCTCTCTCTCTCTATCTCTCTCTTATTGTTTTTTTTCCCGTTCTACCAGGGCCGCCAGACATTCTCTTCGTCTTCGCTGTCCGCTGCTTCCTCCATTTTGATGACATCGATGCTGAGATTGCTGGAGCAAGTGGTCAGCAGAGAGGCGCTGCCCAGTTGCTCGCTGGCCACACTCGAGTTGGGGCTGCCGGCAAAGCTGGAGACGGGTGAGATCGGCACGGAGTAGCCACCACGGTTGGCAATGTGAACGGAGAGTGGCGCTGTCACTGGCAACAATTCCTTGACCGCAGGCTGCAATTGATTTAGTCGCTGGCCAAGATGCGTCATCAACTGTGTGCCCAGGCTTACATTCATGCCGGGCAGCTGGGAGAGCGAACGGGATACTTCGTTGACGGCATGGATATAGCCCGACCGGAAACCCTCAGCTGGTGTTAAAGTCTCGTCGGAGCCATTGGCTCGCTTGTGCTGGCGCTGTTGTTTCATTTTCTGCAGATGGGTGACGGTCAGTTCGAGTATGTCGGCCTTCTCCAATCGGGTCACATGCTCGCCCTCCGACTCCAGTGTGGCGACCATCAGATCCTTCAGCTCATCCAGGCACTTATTGATGCGTGCGCGCCTCTTGCGCTCCAGCAGCGGTTTCATCACCTTGCGGTACTGATACGTCTTCGACATTTCCGACATATGCATTGAAGACATTTTGCAGGGTATTTGGTATGTTTGTATTTTTTTATATTTATTTCTTTTTGCTCCGTTGAGCTGTTGCTGCTCTGAGTGTGCAAGACGTTGTGTGTTCTCAGTCCAACTGGTCGCTGCCTTTTATAGCCGATCGGCAAAAACAACCCCCATGTCAATCCCTAAGATTCTTGCTCCGTACTCAGACTCGTTCTTGTCGCTCGGCTGTGTTGGCATTTCGGCGTGCAGCGTGTGCTGGCATATGAGGGTTGCTTGCATGCTGCCTTCCGCTGCTTTCTTATTGTTCGCTCGATTTCTTATTGTTGGCACCCTTATCATTGGCGGGCCAGGGAGCAGGACCGCTGCCGTTGCCAGGATCGTTACCTTTGTGTATGTGTATGCGTGTGTGTGTGTCTGTGCTCTGCAATATATCGTGGGAAACACTTTCCTCCTTGGTTTCTCACACCAATATATACTATATGTGTATATATGTATATAACGTATGTATTTCTTCAGGGGCTCACCTGCTCAATGGGCAACGAAGCCTGGCCATGGGAATTTTTGCAGTTTGTGCGTTCGTTTGAGTTTGTGGCGCAGCTGCCATTTCTAGATTTGTGTTATGATTTGCCTATATGGACGAGCGAAAGGATAATGAACTGCTGCACGCTTCTTGCCATCTCATTTGTTGCCCGTTGGCGTGGGAACGACTCAACAACACACCGCCGGGAGCAGCAGCGTTTTGCTGGGGCGTTTCACTTAGGCGGAGCAGACGAAAGAGAATCACTTCCTGTTTATGTGTGCATTGGTATTCGGCATTTCGGTTCGTCCTACACTTGTTGTTGGCCGTCTCTGCGCCAGTTATGCTCCTGTGGGAACATTGCTCGTGTGCGACGAGTGTGCTTAATGTGTGTTACCGTTGCGTCTACAGACGCTGCTCTGCCACTGCTGCTGCTGCTGTTGCTGCTGCTGCTTCTCCTGCTGCTTCTGCTGCCCCGACACCAATGGCCACCTTTTGTAAGTAAGTCGAGGTCGGGCAGGGGGCAAGCAATGATGTTCGATGCTGGCTGCTCGCTGCTCATGCTTAGCACACGGTGGACACACTTCCGACTTTTGACTGTAAGTCGTGCGCGTTCCAGGCTCTTGTAATTGGGCTGGAGTGGAGTTGAAGTGTGAGGTGGTACTGGGCACTCTTTACATGACCATGTGGGGAATGGTGTTAAGTTGAGTATACAATCAAATGTGTATAATAAGATTGAGCACGAGGTGGGATTTAGTTTGGATGTGTTGTGAGAAACTTTTTTGTTAAGTTTGTGTTTATGATCACATATGGTTTATTATTTAATTAATTTTGTTATTCAATTGAAGCTTGTACAATGGAACTTAATATGTAATTATTTAAGCTGTTACAAGTTGTTCACGGAATATATTAAGACTTTAGTTTAATTTCCCAATTTTTTTAAGCATTAAAAATAATATTTGAGAGACATTAAATTAAATTTTTATTTTATTTTTTTTTAATATACTATTCGAATGTCTAGAAAACGGGTCTCATAGGAACGTCGAAGATTATATACACTTGTAAAATAATCTGCAGATAAATACATTTTTGCCATTCCTGCAAACGTCCCCAACTAAATCGACTCTGATAGTGATGTTGGTCTAGACTTTATAAACTGAAGGGGTCGCAGACGTTTTCTTTCAATGCGTTGCAAACTTTAAAACAAAATTAAAATACCTTCTGCAAGGGTACATAAAAGTATGCCGTTATACGTACGCCTTTTAAATGATTTTAATCGAACCCTAATCGATTAATCACTTCGTCTACCAGTGTGCTTCTTAAGAAAAATCAGATAAAAATATATATTTTTCTAAGTTTTTATTAAGTATATCATGTATTACTTTTATAAAAATAGCATATGTAAAGTATTTTCTTTAAAGGTAAATCAAATGTTTTGGCTAAGGCATATTTAATTACATAAATATGTATTTATTAATACTTAGGCATTTTTTCCAGTTAAATCTAGTTGGAAGCTCAATTGGAAGCTCAAGGTATTTGAGTTAAAATAAATTATGTATGGATAAGTATTATTTACTACTAGAGATCAAATATGTATATATTAAAAAACGCACTTAAAAACTATCACAGGAACATCACATGATAAATGTCTTTAAACTTGTAAAATAACTAACTGATAAATGTTTACAATAGATGCTTGGGAAACTCAATCAAAACTTACAAACTAAGACCGGATTAATAAAGCTCTCAATGTGCAAAGTTATTAAAGCTAACGAATTGGCGGATAGGATGTTCACCAAGGTCGCCAAACCTCTTCGCCCATGTCCAGATTTTCTTGAGGTGATGTGGAACGACGCTGCTTGACATCGGCCAGATTGACTGGCTCGGTGGCATCCTCGCTAGGCACAGGACTGCTGAGCTGTTGCTTCATATCTTTCAGCTGATGGCCGAGCTGCTTCATCAGATGTGTGCCAAATTTGAGATCCAATCCGGGCACTGTGGAGAATATGTGCGAAACCTCGTACGCGGCTTGTGTGTAACCAGCGTGAAATTTATCAAAGTTCAACTGTGTTTCAGGTGGTGGTGGTGAAGTGGGCGTGCAAATGGAGGAGGAGGAGGAAGAGGAGCAGGCCGGAGGAGTGCCTGCTCTGATGCCGGTCATGCGTTGCTGCTGTTGCGTCTTCAGATAGTTAACTGTCAGCTCCAGTATATCGGCCTTCTCCAGCTTGTTAACCTGTTCCCCCTGCTCGTCCATGGTATCCACAATGAGATCCTTCAGCTCGTCTAAATAGAGATTCATGCGTGCGCGTCTTTTGCGCTCCAGCAACGGCTTGGTCACTTTGCGATAGTGCTGCGTCTTCGTCATAAATCTGTGACTGTCTAAGGCCATTGTGCTAACTTAGCTGTGTCTCGTATTAAGTAGTAGTAGTTTTGTTAAAATTTGGCGTGCTAAATGTAAAATACTGCTCCGGAACCGGCACTTGCTGCTGTTCACCGCACGGTAGTCGCTTGAGAAATGATCTTGCCGCAAGGTAAACTGATCCTTTTTGTAGCTGCAACAACAGCAGCAGCGTCGGCGGCGGCGGCGCGTACACTTGCAAAATCCTCCCCTAACTGCTACCACGCAACGCACAAAACGATCAGAGCAAAGCAAAGCAAAGTGAGCCGAACCGAATGCTTCGCAACGGATCGGGAATGATGGCCCAAGACGAGCATCAATCGTGTCGTCGGTCGGTGTGCGTTGTGCGTGTGTGTGGCTGCGACTCTCTGCTTGGGGCAAGATTCACTCGACGCTGCACGTGTGCATCATCCAATTCGACGATCTTTTAGTTGCTCAACTGCAAAATACTCTATACAACTGTGATGTACATAAACAAATAGTGCTGACTATATTTCCTAGAAATAGTCAAATGAGATCAAACAGTAATATTTATTTAAATCATTAGTAAAATTCAGAAATCTCTAAGTTGTAATCCGCGACTAAAACTCGAAATGACCCATAAGGTGACCAAATTTGTTTTGTTGATGTTTAATACTGATTCACCCAGTATATACCCAATTTTAAGTAAAGGGTATAATCATTACAGTCAACGAGCGGAAGCCATTTATTAACACTGTAAGAAATTATGTTCATATAAAGTGAAAATGTGTAACGATTTACTTAAGGAAAAAAAAAAAATTGAAATAAATAAATAATAAATAAATATAATTAAATAAATAAAATACAATAAAATCAGCAGACTTGTGTATTAATAATTTTGCTCAGTGCACTCGCTGCTGCTGCCTGATCTTAACAGTGCGATCTTTGCCAGAGCGGCGATCTCTCTTTCTCTCGTGCCATTGCCGTGCGCCTGCGCAACAGGAACATAGTCAGTTGAGAGCACAAGCAAGACACAAAGGCCAAAGCAGAGAAACCACCACCACTACAACCACCATCGGCAGCAGCAACTCGCACCACACGCACACACGAGCTGGCTGCGTGCAACATTTAACTCAAGAGCGACTGCGACAGCGACAGCGACATGACCTCGACCTGACTGTTTGTATGTGCCATGCACACTCTCTGGCAACCGTGCCCCATGCGTGCCATGCCCGTTCCGTTCCCTTTTGCTACCCTCAGTAGTTGGGCCCAGAGCGGCAATCTCAACGTTGGCATTGTTGGTTTTTCTGTTTGTTTCGTGTGTTGGCTGTGTGTTGTTTTTTATTCGCTCTTTCCTTTGTCGCAGGCCAGCTCGAGACCCAGACCTCATTTCCTCTTTGGCGCGACATTGCGTTACACTTACGGACGGGGACGGGTCGCGCTTGCTCGAGCAACCACCGCAACCACCACCCGTACCAGTTGCTAGAGCCAGTGCCAGCCACTTGCCAGCCGGTGTGTCGTTTGCAGCGGCGCATCGTGAGAAAGTTTACTTCAAGCATTCCCACAAGTATTGGGATTGAATTTTCGAGATTCGGCCCGGTCAGCTGTGGCACTTGCCCCGTTTTTGGCGCGTTTGCAACTGGGATTGGCCCATTGACAAAATTCACCTGCTCGAGCTACGCTTAGAGGGTGAGTGTGCAAGCAGCATTGAGGGTCGTTTAATCGCATGCATGAAATCGAGAAGTTAACAAATACAACAACACAATTTGAGTTGATGCCACTGATTTCGCTGCATTGCTGCGTCGTGGGGGAGGTTTTTAATCTTGGCGCACAATGCTTGAAATGGGTTGCTTGACAAGTGCATATGGTTTCGGCTCCGGGGTTGATCTCTCGGAATTGCAAGAAAGATAATATATATTTGCATATGAAGAGACATCGAATGCTGCAATTTAGATTTTCACATCAACTCACTAAAAATTGAGTTTACTAGCGCTGTATTCATATCAATCCCAGCATATCTTAAAAAGAGTACTTTTTTCCAAATCAATTCAACATTTATTTATTTTATTTTTTTTAAGTTTTTACATTTTATTGAGAGTAAATTAACTTGTTTGACATACTTGTACATTGATAATTTGAAACATGAACATTTGAATATATATCTTTAGTTAGACGCATAGATACGCCAAATGTTTTTGTGTAATCGTGTCGTAAAATACAATACATAAGTTTCGATCTCAAATACATACACATATAGCAACACAGACAAATATATTATACTTATACGCGAAGTAAGATTTATCGGATTTGTGATACATAGAAGTCCCCGTTCTAATAACGTTTGGTTAAACATGTTTCAGTTGCAATCGATAATAGGTAAGTAAAATTCTTGTGCTAGTTTCGCTTATAAGAAAGGGAAGATAACGTACTAAAGTGTTGCGCCTATTTTTGTTACTAAACTGTTCAAAAAGAGGTACAAATGTATAATGTTTGACTCTTTAAAACTAATTCGATTTACGAAATTTAAAACGTTCTTTATTCCTAAGCCTAATTTGCATTAAAAGCGGACTGGGTCTTGCTTAATTGTAGGGGGATTCGTTTTTTGGTGTTTTACAACTTTTATAAAATTAAAAGAAACAAATACGTATGTTTATGCAATAAATTAGGAAAAATTGTTTAATGGGTGATGAGCTTAAGTAAATTATAAACCAAACATAAGATAAATGCCATTCATTTACAAATTTGTTAGTTTGCAGCGGGATATTCGCATATAATACAAAATAATTCGAAGGCAGCTAAATCGCATGCCAGTTTCTTAAAGCTTGTTGTGGTAGTTTTTTGTTTTGTATATTGAATTCTGATACAAATGGTGCCTTTGAGCCTTGGACACGATCTTGTCAGGAACTAGAGTGAGTAGGTTTACGTGCTTATTGTTAAACTACGCGTACATATATATTTTAAAAACTTCATATGGTAGATAATCGTTAAAAATTGTGAGCTTTCATAATACACTGTCAAAATAGATACTCGTATATATGCATATGCTATTTGTTCTAATGGTATTCGGGGGGTTCCTTGCATTTTGCCTTGCTTACACATACATATACAATATTTCTTATATTTAACATTTTGTTATTTGGTTTCACGCATGACCGACATCAATAAATACTATATTCGTTTGAAACGCGTTTGTACATTTAATGGTTTCATTGTTTGGTTCAGAAACATTTTTTGAACAGATTCAAAAAACGCATTACTTTTGCGATTAGTGTGGTACGTCTAGTGCGTGGGGTTGTTGTTGTTATTCATGCAGCTGAAAATAAGATATAAGAGCCATAAACATATACATAAATTATGCAAAAATTAAATAAACATAAGTGTAATAATATATGGAAATAGAAGTGAATATAGTAAAAGCAGAAAATTAAAGAAACACACACTTTCCACACACATACATCATATATCTGTCAACAAATTAGTACTAACTATTGTGTAAAAAAAGTGTATATTATCTAGTTTCTTAGATTTGTATTCTGTTTAACTAACCAAAATATGCTATGCAATATATAAATATATAAAATGTCGCTGTAACGTTTCTCATTATTTAGTCTACCTTACAGCTAAGTAAAAAACTCAAAATTTGTTAAGGTAGTTGTGCACTTGATTTAGCAGGTTTTTTTTTTTGGTTTTAATCAATTTTTGCAATGTGCATGCAGCTTTAGTTGTAAAAGCTTTAGGTACGTTACATAAAAGTTATTGTTATTTACTTTAATAATATTTTTTGTATATAATAAAAAATGGACGCAAGTTACTAGGCTTGCAAATTTGGTAAACCCACCGATTGGCGGAAAATGGCAAATAGTTATCGCTAGTAACGGCGGCCGATTTCTGCTTAATTAATATGAATGAATGCAAACAACATTTAATATATTTAACACTACTACAGCCACTACAAAGTGCTAAACGATTTGGGGTCACATATGCAATCGAATAACGTTTTGTAAATGCTTCAAGGTACTCGTAAATAAATTAAATAGATTTCTCAAATATTCAAACATTCAATAGTTATGATGGTGTATTTTTTTTTTTTGGTAATTTTTTGTTTTTGTTTCTCATTTAGTTTTGGAGAGGCTGATAACAATTTGCATACTGATTAGTATGTTTTTCCGCTTGTTAGAAAATTTTACAATTGTCTGATTCGTTTTGGTTGTTGGTGTTGTTTTAATTTAGATAGTGGCGATTAGGTGCCTGTACAATGGGTTCTCTAAAGCACACGATGTAGATATTTTAATGAGCTGTGTTGCACTTTAGCGTTCATTAATTGGTTTCGGTGTGTGAATTTATGTATTATTTGCTATGGTAATTCTGTCGTTTTTTTTTGGTTTTTTTGTTTTTAAATTTAGTTTTTGAAAATAGTTGTAGCTTAATGTGATGGGCTTTCGTTTAATCGATGTTTGCCGCGTGATTTGCTGTGTGAGGCGCGGCGCAGAGAGCTGACGCTGCCGACGCAGTTGTCATAAAAGTCTAATGATTCCGATGAGAATGCTTTATATGGTAACATAATGGTGTTTTGCATTAAAAAAAGAGTAAATAGAGAATATATAACATTTGTATCAAAAGTCAAGTATGTATAACAAAAATATCATCTCAAATACTTCGCTAAAATCGCGCTAAGCTAAAAGCAAATTTTAATGTTAAAGCAATTTATGCAGCTATTTTAAGCAATTCACTAATTGAAATTGTCAAATAAAAGTTTACCTTTGTCTGTGGGTGAGCCAAGCGTAAGGCTGCTTAAGCTGGAACTTAGATTATAAGGACGCGGCGAGGGTGGCACTGGTACGGATTCATCACCAGGCAAACAAGTTTCCACCATGGCCTCCAAGCAGTTGACAAACAACTCGGACGATTCACCCATCATGTTGTACTGAGAGTTATGATTAAAGTTAACCAGCTGATGATTCAGATAATTTCACACAACAAACCTTTGTGAAGGGCCCAGCGAATCGCCAGAGTCCACCAAAACCGCAGCTTTGCAGAAAGTGTAGCTGCTGCTGGGAGGGATCCTCGCTGGCCAGCATGTTCTGAATGATGCTCTGCACTGAGTTCAAAACAACTTGATCGTGTGATACGGATAATATATTATTAATCTTCTGATCCAGCAGAGAGTGTCTGTAAGATATAGCAATGCATATGTTAGAGAGAAATGCATCAGAAAATGCAGCACGCAACTTACATGACTGGAAATACTTTGGGAAACACGACTGAACCCTCGGCCAAATACTGATACAAAACGCGTGTTTCGTTCTCATCCGAAGAGTATTTGACGAGAGTAGCTAAAACAGTCAGAACCAGGGCTTGTAGGGATAGATCAGGCAGCACCTCCGGATCAAGTAAAACATTCGACTCATTTGAGACAGATGAACGTGAGCCGCGTTCCTGTTGGCGTATTGCAAAATATTGTTATCAAATATATGTTCAAATTCAGTAACAAATCGGCTAATTTGAGACATTGAGATAATTAAAAAGGTCGTTTTATTGTGAACGAAAAGATATATAGAGGTGCAATATTTAAAAAGTTTGTAATGGAATTGATGGGGCTGTTAGTGAACAGGCAGTGCCATGCAGGAAAATTATATATAATTACAATAACAAGCCTAGGTTTTGAAGTAGGTAAATATTATGTTATGGATAGTCTAAGAGTCTAGTTAAATAGAAATAGAGTTTTGTTTTAGGCAATACCTGACGTTCTTCGATGCCGCTAGCATTATTCGGATCCTTGGTGGTTGGTACCGAAAATGAGCGTTGAGTTTTGAATAAAACTCTCGCATTCTACGTTTGAAGTTTTGATTTTTGTTGTATTATTCATTTTTCGTTGTTGTTTTTTTATATTGTGATCGATAACCAAATCAAACGTAAACCAAATGACATGTTCATGCGTAGTAGTAGTAGTAGTAGTAGTAGTGGCAATTACGAGTAGTTTATGTAGATATATATATAAGTATATTGATGAGAGTTACAAGCACCAATTAGATGTAAGAGGCAGCAGGCATATATTGTAGTATTCATAGAGTATATACGAGTTACGTTGTGATAAATGTATGTTACGGTTTATTTTTTAATATATTTTTTTTTTTGTATTTGTCAAAACAAACATAAAAAGAGATAAGAAAAAAAGTAATTGAACGATTAATTAATTTGTTATGCAACGGCTGATTTCGAATAGATAGTCGATAATACATAGGCGGGATGTATACATAATAGTATTCTCAATATTACAAGTGGATAGCCAAAAGTTACTATAGCAAATGGTTATAACAACTTTTGCACAACGATTTCAATTCAAATAGAATACACATTTAAATTAGATAATTTCTTGCCAATCGGCTCACCTGCAACGTCGGCACTTTATGTTGTCGCGCAAACTGCAAGGCTGACTGATCTAGAATGTCCCAGCTCTTCTGACGTCGCGACAATGGTTGTCCAATCTGAAATGTATGTGCCAGGATGTAGTATTATAATCAAACGCAAGAAAAAAAGCATAGCAACTATAACAATTCAGATTGTAAACTTAAAATATATATTTCTTTGCACTTACAGATTGCACACCATTGGCTATTTCGCCATTATCCATGCTGCTGCCGCTCAAATCCGCGGGCCAGCGTGGCAGAGCATGCTTCACATGGCAGCGGGAGCGCACCTCCTCGGAGACGGCTACCAGAGCCGTTAAATAGGCCACACTGTCCGGCGTCACCTCGAACTTGTCACGATGCAGTGGCTTGGCTATAATGCCTAGCAGCATGGTCAGCACACGCGACGTTCGTGACACTGTAGTGGGTGTCGGATGACGAAAGCCCTGTCGGAAAAAGAGAGAATTAATTATTGACTCACATTTGCCGTAATAGTAACCCACTTTAATGAGATGTCCGACGAGGGCAAAATGAAAATTGCTGCGAAAAGATAGACCGACAGCATGGTCCAGTTGCTTGAAATGCCATTCGAGCTTTTCGCGGGTTTTCATCATGACCTCGGCAATGGTTTCCTTCTTGTCAAAGCAGCCCTGCGACTTGAGCGTATGTAGATTCTGTTCGAGCAGCGCCAGGCCAGCACCATACAGCGTAATCTCGTCCAGCTGCAACACAGAGATGGCCACCCAGAAGAGTGCACGATGAATTGGCGACTCCGGGCGCAGCAGCGGCTGAATGCGTGTGAGGCACATAACGAGCGCTTCAATCAATATCAGATCATTGAAAGCCTCCAGCGCCTTGACTAAGATCCGCAGCAGTTGCTTCACCTCGTGATCCGTAACGCTCTTGCTGATGCAGCCGTAGACGATGAGAGCGCGTGGCTGCAGCGCCGGATTGTAGCAAAAGGCGAAGCTGCGCGCCAGCGAAGTCCAAGTATGCAGCCAATCGCAGTCGGGCATGTCGCGCATGCAAGCCTCCATGATTTCAAGCAGGGCATCAGTGATCACCTCCAGCGAGGGCAGCGAGAGGCGTTCCCGATCCGCCGGCAACGGCTGTGTGACACGCTCATTTCCTAGCCATTTTTCGGTTGGATGGCGACAGCTGGAGCGGAAGGCGGTGACAGCGGCCGACTTGACCTTGCTGATGCCGAATAGTAGATAAAATTTGGGCAGCGAGAATTCATCAAGTGAGAGCCGCAGGACACGCTGTGCCTCCTCACCAAACGACGGATTTGTGCAGGTGCACAACGAGTGTATTATATTGATAACCAGGCCATGGGTGGAGGCGCGCATCGAGAGTGAGCCGGAGCAGACCAAAAATGTGATGGTGTGAAACAGATACGGCACCGATGTCGCAACATCTAGACAATTATTGAAGGACAACATGAGTAGATAGCGTCCCAAAATGGCTATGTCGTCCCACATCATGTGCTGCTCCAGATATTGTGTGGGATTCGTGCAAGACTTGTCCATGACGCGACACATACGCGTTATGACCTTCTTTGACACCAGCTGAACATTGGCGGAGGCCAATGCCACAGCCGTATCGGCCATGATCTCCACCTGGGGTGAGCCCAATCCATAGCTAATTGATTTGTGCAGAAAGTTATCAAGCACCATATCAATCAGCTCCGGTATTTGTCCAATGGAGCCCCAGATTTTAGCCTGCACAGAGGGATACATTTCCTTTTGATCAATGGTCAGGCAAATGAGCTTGTCTAGAATCTGTGACACCTTTAGCTTCTTGGCATCGTCATTGGACTTGCAGAATTTGGTTAGGTTCTTTAGCCAGGGCGTCATGTACTCCAGGCACAAATGCTTCAGCTCAATGGTGCTGCGCTGAAAGCCCTGAATGGACTCCTCAAGAAACTCTAGTGTCAGATGCGGCTCATTGGTGGCTAACTTCTCGCTGACAGACTTGATAAAAATGGTATTATTCGAGGGTATGCACAGACCCTGAGTCTCCAGCAGCTGGCCCTCAATCTTCAGATCGAATGTGGCGGTCAGAGCGCAGAGCTGATTGTAGGCAGCTGTGCGCAGATTGGGATCACATGAGCCCAGGTTGAGCAGTGCCATGTTGAGTAGCGTACCGGGTACATCCTTGGGCCGTATCTTCTGATGCACCGTCACCGAATCCGGCTGACTCAGCTCCCAGCGGTTGCGTATGTGTATAATCGCCTGCACAATGTTATCGCAGTCATTGTGAATGAAGCTCAGCTGACCGCTTTCATTGGTTATGGACAGTGTGAATTGGTTGTCATCCACCAGGCAAACTTCCTCAATTTCCGACGCATAATAAACATCGTTTAGGAGCACGGAATGTGCCAAGACTTTAGTCTTCTCCGCGGACGTAATCTGCAGCGCTGTGGGACCCACTTTGATTGCCACTTTCGTGTCCTTGTGACTGAGCTTGAGCGCATTGCTAAACACCTTCAGATCCTCATCCAGGGACAGCGTGGCGCCCGGCAGCTTCTGCTGCTCGGCATCAATGTAATCACTCAGCTTGTTGGGTGATTCGAGAAACATCAGCTTGCGATAGCCCTTGAGCGGTGCCAGAATGCGATCATGGAACTTTGTGTACTCTCGCACCCACGAATTGCAGTTGTAAATGTAAACCGCATGCACATTATCATAGGCCACAGCGGGCAGCACATAGAACCACTTCTGCAGAAACTCGGTGCGAAAGCGATTATCAGAGCAGGTGTGCGTAAAGTCAATGACCACTTCGAAGGGTGAGTGACAGAAGGGCTTCAGCGTGAGTATGACATGGTAAATCAACAGATCCCCATTCGTTTCACCAATCCTGAAAAATAAATATTATTATTATATTATCTATTTTATAGAAAGCCAGAATATTATTAGGTAACTCACTTGTAACGCCTGGCTATGTAGTAAAAGACCGGATAGCCTGACTTGCTGGTACCCGCTTGATAAAAGATGTTCATGGATTTGAGCGTCTTGAACTCCTCCTTTTCGTGCATTTGATGTTTAACCATAATCTCTTCGAAATTCGTTGAGGACATATCGATGGAGCTCCAGCGTGCATACGAACTGAACATCATATGCGAATCCACTGGTTTGTGTTCCGGCGGACCCAAATAGGCCAACAATGTGGCCATTTTGTCAAAGGGTCGTCGACCAACGGCCTTGTGATCGCGACTGCTGGACAAATAGTCGCCAATCTTCTCCTGGTGGGTCCACAGTAAACGATGCAGCGCCAGCACATTTGCATCCGAAATAAAACTCATGCTGTGCGACGTTTGATCAACGGTCTCGCAATCGGAGGCAATCTGTATGAAGAACCGACGTCCGGCCTCAAAATGATCCCTCAGAAAGTCATTGAAGCAGAGCATGTGTTGTTCCTTGGAGAATTCAACATGGTTCGCAATGTTTTGCAATATTTTGGACATGAGCATCAGACCACGCTTCGCCGAGCTGGGCACCTGTTTGCCCACGATACCGAGCTCCTGTGGGGAGACTGTAATGGACACGAGTCAAAATATTATTACAAAATTAAAAAATAGGTTTCATGAAACCACGATGGGAACAATGACTTACCTATAGCTGGATTAATGAAGCGCAGAAATATGACTGTGCCCACGGCACCAATGTTGTTCTGCAGCAGATTTGGAAAACGTTTACTCAGCACCTGGTACAGGCAATGGCACATGGAGCGTAGCTGTGGCGGAAAGCGATCGGACGAATTGATAATAGCATCGAATACTTTCTGGGTGAGTGCAATCAAATTATTGCGATGTTCTTCGATGTCCTCGGTGGGCTCCAGTCGTGCAGGATCCACCTCGAAACAAGTCTCCTCCTGTGCATCTAACAAAGGACGAATGAGCGGCTCTAGTAGCATTTGCAAATAGCTGGCGCCATAGATCTTAAAGCAGAAGGCCATTATCTTGCTGCCCAGCGAGTTGCCGCGGAAGAGCGTCTGCATGCAGTCGGAGACTTCGACCTCGCGATAGAACATGTTCCATAGCAGGGGGGAGAGCAAGTGCTTGGCATCGAAGAGCGTGACTAGAACACGAGCTAGTTCATCCATTTGAGCGGTGGTCACCACATTGGCCAGTGCCATGGCAATGGGCAGTTCGCCCTTGTCGCTGATCATGGTCACCAGCTGAACAAGCTGCTCGAAGCGATCGGCCAAGACCGTCTCGGCCAGCGTGTCAAACTCTGTGCCCTGCTGTAGAATCTGGGTGAGTACCTCCATGAAAGCGGCACGTGTTTGCAAATCCGGATTATAGCCCAAGTCGATGGAGTGCATCAAGCCGGAGTCAATGTTGGCGCCAAGCAAATTTGACATGGCTTGTATGGTGGAATGCCTAAGTGCGGTCAGCTTTCCGGCAGCCATACGTGGACGTGGCGGCAAGAGAGGAGTACTGTTGATGTCCTTTTCCGCCTCCGAACTGTCGATGCAGTCGTTTAGTAGATTCATAAACAATGTGAAATACTTCAAAAACAGTGCGCTCTTTGCATCCATGAGATCGCCACGATCCGATTCCTCAGGCTGCAGCGGCAGTCCACGCAGCAGCGCGGCGACTGCTTCCATGCAGGCCTGATCGAGATCACGAAAGATCATCGAGGTGTTCGTCAGTAGAGAGGCATCCGCGGAGCTGGGCGGAGCTATCTGATGCGAGGTGCCCATCACCCAATCCGTTAGATATTCGACAAGCTTATTGCGGAACTTCATCTCCTGTCGAAAGGCCAAATCATCGCGTCGCTTCATCATGACCTCCACAAGTTGGCAAAGCTTAGTTTTAATTCGAATGGCATAGACATTCATGTCCAGGTGACGCACATAGCGCACAATGCCCAACATCATGCCCTCAATGCTGGTCACACCCAAATGTTCCGATGGCGACGGCTGCTCGCTGTTGGGATCCCTACTCGCCTTGGGATCCAGTATGGATTTCATTATGTAAATCGTGTGCTCGATGAACTGTGTGTTAATATCTGTAACATTCACATTGACCTGGCCCTGTTGGTCGAAAAACTTTTCGACTATGGCTCGTATCTGATCAAAGAGTATTGGATATAGCTGTGTGGACATTTCCTCGCCAACCAACTCCTTAACATTCTTCTGTATATTCAAACCGATCTTCTCATTGTTGCACACCAGCAGACGCAGTAGCTGTCCAATGAATCTGCAAAAAAATGAGTTTAATGTTAGTGTTGTTTAGAACATCTCTAAAATTAAATTTAATTTATATTAATACGCACTGCGTAACTGCACAATAGCTGACATCCTGTGGCGGCGCTGGCGGAATGGCGGACAAAGAGACTGTGCTGGGATGAAGCGAGCCATGACCAGAGCTGGTCGAGCTGGAATAGAGTGAGGCCTGAGCCAGGGACGCCACCGATGCATTGTTCTGCGATTGCTGCAGCAAAAGCTGGCGACTACTGTTTCGTTTCTGCAGGCAAACACCGCCCAAGGCCAACAAGAACCAAGTCATGTTGGCCCACTCGTTGATTTGCTCCTCCAGATCGTGCTCGGAGCTTTGGTGGCTAGCCCGACGTTTTCCCATGCCGCGATGAAACATTTCCGCTTGGGCATCCTCGGTCTTTAATTTGGGAAAGGTCTGCAGCACCTTGCTAAGCACCTCCCAGTTGCGAAACGTTTCCTCCCAGGCTGGCTGGACACCGTGCACGCAATGCTCAATCTTGCGCAGCAATGTCATGATGCGCTTCTGCAACGTCAAGCGGCTTAGCACACTGCCATGGTTGTTCTCAAAATAGCAAATACGTGTGTCCGTGGAGGCTACAAAAGAAATTACCTTTACTAAATGTATGCTAATAAATAAAGACATAGTGTGTAGCTTACATGACGAGAGCTGTGCGAGCTCCTGGTAGATGTGATAGTTGGGCATGATGAAGCCCACGGTTAGCTCATCGGAGCTACAGCAGATCTCCGCCTCCTCGCAGAGGAGACCAAAACAGGAGAGCGATGTCAGGACCGCATCCAAGTCCACACTCCACAGGTACATAAAGAAAACCACCTCCATTTTGATGTGCGCCTGCTTGCATATGGCTATCTGACTGCCAACGTGCGCATAATCCTTGTGCCGCTGCAGAAACGTGTTGCGGCAGATAAGTATCTCACGCAACCACTTTAGCACATCCGTATAGTTGGCTATCTGATGCTGGATGAGTTTCTGCGAGATGGAGAACAGCACCTGAGAACTTACATCCCAGAATGTATTAATGGGTGCCTCGGGATTCCAAACTTCAATTTTCTCAGGTGCATGTAGCGCTAACAGAGCTTCCATAGCCTCTTGTGCCACATCCGGCAGAGTTGTTTGATGCACCAGGCTAACTAAACCATTAATTAGCTCCAGCGTTGAGCTTTGAACCTCGTGCGCCACTTTGCCCTGCGTCTACAGGAAAGGTCAAATATAATTAAGTCACAATGAAATTAACTAAGTCAGTTTACGTTTAAGAGCAGTGTGGGATCAGCATGTATGAGCCTCACGAACAAAAGCAAGAGCATCTTGTGGGCTGGTCCCTCCTCGGCACGCGTCAGGCCCTTCTGTGTGTCCTTTGACTTAAGCGTTAAAGAGGTTATATAGCGCAGCGGTGTGTGCGCTATATATCCTTGTGTGGCCTTGTTCAGCGTATCCGTAAAGAGAGCGCGCAGCTCAGCGGAGCGATAATGGACGACATCGGTCTGTGGCCACCAGGGCAATCGCGGCTGGTTGACAATGCGAAATGGATTCTTGTTCTGCAGCCGAAAATCCACGTAAATATGTGCCAATCTGAAATTTGAATTATGTATTAAAACACCGACATTAAATATTGTTGTATGTTTGACTCACCGCAGCAAGGAACAGACAATCACGAAATGATAGGCCTGCGGCGAGGAGAGATTGAGACACACCTTCAGTGCCTCGATGTTGTGAGGACTGATGCGGAAACAAGAAACCCAGCAGTCAATCATTAGTTCGATGTCGGCATAATTGTATCCTTGACCACGCGAGAATGGCTTCAGCGGATTGAACAGCAGTGCCTTGAGATCGTTGATGAAGTACTGCACCAGCTTGAAGACCACATTGTTAGAGTCATTGTTGTTGATATATGTGGATGCTTTGCAGAGTTTCACGCAGGCTATGGCCGATGATTCGGTCACCTGTTTCGATGGCGAATGTGGACCCAAACCACGTTTAATGCTCTCAATAAACTGCCTTGCCGAGAAATCTTTGTCGCGCGAAGTGGATTGTGTAGACTTTGAGGGCACCTTTTCCTTTTCCTTCTCCTTCTCTGATTGCTGCAGCTCGTTGACAGTGGCCTCCAGGCTGGAGGGATTCAAAATGAGCAACAGCATTTGCAGAGGCCAAACTAAAGTTTTGCTTTTCTTGTTCTCCGTTTTAAAATACTCCACAAAGTCCAAGAGAGGCTCCCAGCACCTAAAAGTCAAAGAGCATTTTAATGGTAATATTGGTTTTCAAATTGGTAGCTACACACGTTGATATGTCGCGATTGGTGCCACGCTGTAGATCCTGAAATTCTTGTGGATGATACTCAATCCAGTTCCAAATCGCTTTCTCCAGCGAGTAAAGCAAAATTAATGGTGGCGCACGCTTCGATCGAAATTTGGTAATTGTTTCTGCAAAAGAACTAGTATTTTAGAACAAATTGGACATAGTTTAGGCACAAAATTAAAATACCCTGCAACAGCTTAGTCAGCTTAATCATGTCCATATCAATGTGCTGTATCAACTCAATATCGTTGTAGTCGGGATTCTCCTCGGAGCACGAAGTCAACTCCTGTATACGCGCCGAGATGCGATTGAAGACAGCTGAAAAATGATTTTGGGATAATGCAAAGAGAACTTTGGAGGCCAGCGCCTTCAGTTGAGCTGCATTTGGATTGTTGTCGCTTTGCACATCGACAAACTGGGAAATTTCGCGGAGCAACAGTTTCACGTTCATCGCCTCATTAAAGCGTGCCGTATCCTTGGTCTGATTGGTTAGGCAACGTTCGAGCGTGGTCAATATGATGACCAGAGATTCGAAGTAGCAGCGATCCGGCTCATATCGATTTTGTAGCGCCTGTTAATTAAAATTACTCGATTTTAATATTGCAGATTTATGCTTATTAGTTAGTTACTACTTACAGCCTCGTTGACGCGTTGAAGCATCTTGGTCAAGCCGGAGATGACCAGGGAGAAACGGTAGCGTGAGATGTGTATGAGGCAGGCCACCAATTGGTCCTGGCTCATGCGCGCCTGTGTTCCATAAGCTCCAATCTTGTTTGGCAGCTGCAAAAAAAAGTATTTCATTGAATAAGTGCATTGCACTCTTACGAACTATTGTTCCTTCTATTTCTAACAATTTTTCTTATTATTAAATCACATAATCAAATATATTACCCGTCATAATCTAAAATATTACCCGTCAGCTAAAAGTTTTTTATAAATAAGACAATTCTCACTTAAAAAGTTCATTGAATATTATAATTGTTTTATTTTAATTAAGATGTTTACTCAAACTATATTAGATTATGTGCCCTTTCAAGGGTATACACGCGTCGTTAGTTCAGAAAAAAACACAGGTTCTCAGTTCATTCATGAAGCTGTCGCCGGCCAAACGTCCGCCCACGCCCCCTTTACACCCACACTCACACCAAAACAATGCCAGCAGCAGGTACATTTTTTCACTCAGCTCGAAAGCATCGCGACGCAACATATTAAAAGTGCTGTAGAACATTTACCTGATCTTCGAATCTGGCCAACAGACCAGTCGCCCATTCTCCAGGCTTTTGTGTAGCCATATTGCGTTTTGTTTTCTAAATTCTTAACAACTATTCACTGCATTTTATTAATTTTTAAAACGACGGAGTTTCACAACGCAGAGCTGTCAAAACGATGGCTGAGTTTGAGCTGAACGAGTATTGTATGTGTATGAGCACCGAATGTAGAAAACAGGTTGTGCAAAGAAGTGCCCAATTTGCTCTCTCTGCGCATGACGACACAATACATTCAAATGGTGCAGATTATGCTTTTGGTATATTGTGTTGTTTTTTAAACTTTTTGACTAATTTGTTTGTAATACTCAGTTGCACCATGCAATATTTAAAATCTTATATATTTCTCGAAGTGTAGCAACGCTGAACTTGTAAGCTGTGACGTCATAGCATTTCATATTGTTATGGAAATTGGTTGACCTATGCAACTATTATGGTATTTTCTTGGTGCCGTTCTTATTGGTATTTATCGATAACTTGTATATTATGTATTAATTGACTGTTTTGAATTTAAAATAAATAGCGCCAAACTATTTTCAAATATTTTAATCGACGATAATCTATTCATTGTATTTTCAGGGACTTTCTTGCTCAAGAGAATTGCAATTAGAAACATTTTATACGTTGACAATATTTAAAATAAAAATTTACTTTGCTCACAACCAGGGCTGCTTAATATATCTTCGATATGTGTAATCATATATCGATTGTTGTGTAACGGTGCCAGTGCTGCCCAGCAGGTAGAACCATTTAGTAGAACCAAATCTTAAAAGATGTTGCCAAACTGAAAAATACGTTAAGCTTGAAAATATTTCCGTCAATAAATAAGTATTAGCTATCGGACTTTGTTATGCACTACAACGACGAAAAAAAATATTTTTTTAAGTTGTTAGTATTAGTAATTTTAGTTTATTTAATGTTTTTATGCATAATAAATTTTTGTATTTAATTTTTTTATTTATTGAATCTGTCTGGTAGTATATGTTACTTGTTGCAGCTGTTGTGTCAATCTCTGTGTGGGTTGTGCAAATACATAATACGTATTTTCAAGTTACATAATTCTAATTATGCATATCTCTAATGTTTTGTAAATATTCATATTCAGCATATCGAGCGTATATACGAAGTTATTAGTTGATTTTGTTACCGTTTTGAAGTTGCGATATAATTTCATCATTTCAACTTTCCATTTTCTAATATTGTACGGTATAAAGTTTAGTTTAGCTATCTAAAAAACACATGTACAGTCGCAATATACTTATTGAAAGCTGGCGTTATTTTTTAAATAACATCGCCTTATGTGAAAAAAATATACTTGTTTGCTAAAGTATGTTCGGGTTTGTTGGCTCTTTGGGAAGTGTTTCACTTTTGTATAAGATTATTTTGTTTTATTTTAAGGAAACAATGAAGTGCATAATAAAATGTAAATTACGAGTATTACAAAAAATTATTGAAATTGTTATACAATTACTGTTGTGAGCTTGAAAACAGTTATGATTACATTTCTTCTTTTTTTTTCCTGCAGTTTGTCTTCTTTACTTATTATTGCATTGAAATTAGTTAAATGCAATTGTTGATATTCGAAAACTTACGTTTTGATTTTTTCTTGCATATATTTGGGTGTATTTGTTGTTAGATTTTTATTTTATTTTTTATATTATTTTGTGTACAAAGCCTTGGTATATATGTTTGTAAGTAGATGCTTAGATATGGTTTTGCATTTTCTATTTGATTTTGTGTAAGCAACGCTTAATTTAACTTTTAAATGTAGCTCTATAATTTTACTATTTGGTTTTTTGTATGTCAAGTTTGCAATTGGACGTTTATGAGTATTGAAATTCTGAAATAAATACTGATATATTTTTGAAAAAGATAGAGAGAATTAACATAAAGATGATAGTCGTTGTAAATATATTTTTTTTACATATACAATCGTTTGTTTTCTTTAGATACAATACTTGTCATAATTTGCGTTGTTTCTTTTTCGATTTGCGCTTAAAAATTAAGCTGTTTACTTGAAATTGAATTTCAATGCAGTGCGGCAGCCCTGCCGTTGAGCAGGCTTGGCAACCCTAAGCAAGAGTCGTTACGATTACTTAAATTAGTGCTAGAATTTCCTCGCTTTCCTCCTCTCTCACCTACTAGTAATAAAGACTAAATTTAACAATTCCTTTGGGGGCTTCAGAGACTTATTGGGGTTTCCAATTTATGGTTTTTATTTATCTTATTTTTTGTATTCCTTAGGTTTCTAACTTAGATCGTCCACACCTGCACCTTCTCAGCCACAACACACCAGCTGGCCCGCTCATAGTAGGAGCTAACAATGTGCAGACTGGTCACATGATGATTGATCAGTGCGTCCAGCTCGCCCTCGCGGAACACATGATAGTAGCGGTGGTGTGTGGTCGCACCGCCACCCTGCGATGGACTGTCCAGCGATGTGGTTGAGCTATTCGAGTGTTCCAGCGATTCGGTGGAGGTGCGCTGCTGCAGCGGCTGCCGCTGCTGCTGTTGCTGCGATGATGGCGATGGTGCCGTTTCCGTCGAGCTCGATGCACTGGATGTCACCGACTTGATGGCGCTAAAGTTGCGCCGACGCTGTCCATATTCATGCATGCCCTCGCCCAGCTGATCTCCACCTCGTGCCTCCAGCGCCTCAGCATCCTCGTCCTCCTCGGGTATGGCTAAATGGCATAGATGAAAGGTGACATCATTTCATAAAATTGACAAACATATTTCAGAGGTTTGGATTTTCTCTCTTTCCTTAAAAACTAATATAATTCATTATAATTTAATTTGCATCAAACCAAATCCATAATTTGAATAAAACAAAAGTTGAAGTTTCGATTTCTAAGCGAGTCAATTTGTCTACATACGATCTTCATCATCGCGCACATCGCTGTCGCCGTCGTCTTGGAGCAAATATGCCGTCTCCGGATTGAGGTTGTAGTGTCGATTGCGTTTGTATTTGAATTTGGAGATCTTGCAGTGCTCGTAGATGCCCAGCGTGTAGCTGCGTTCGTTCTCCTCGTCCTCCTCCTCCTCGCCCTCCTGCTCCTCGTGTATGGTAAAGCTGCGCGTCTGCGAGGACAGCGATGAGGTGGACGACGACATGGGCGAGTGCTGCAAACTCGGCTGTGTGGAGAGATTGGCCAGCATAAGGCGACGCTCTCGCAGCTCATCCCGCAACGCACTCAGATCACCGTTGGAACGCTTCTTAGAGCCACCACTCAAAAACTCGCCAATATCACCAATCCCGTCCAGACTGCGGCAATCGGCGCGATTACTCTTATCTTCCAGTTCACGTTGCAGCTGCGCCGTTAGCTGCTCGGCAAATTCAGCACAATCGTGCGGCAACTGCTGCGCCTTTGTCTGGCTAGTGTCCCGCTTATCTGGCAGCAATGGAGCACTGTCCGCATTCAGAATGATATCATTGGCATTGGGCGTTCCGTTATTGATCTGCAGTTCGCCCTTGTGATACTGCTGCTGATTAATACTGATCTGCTGAGCCAGTGCCGAGTCCGATTCATCGCTGGATTTACCTGTGCCGGTGCCAGGAGCCGACAGCAGCTGTGCCGAACGAGGTGCACTGATCACACTGTCAATGGAGTCCGGCGAGGAGGGCTCACTGGAATCGCTGTCCAGATCATCGGTAGCCGGATTGAACAGCTCTAGCGATAGCAGCCTTGTGCCAATGCTGCTGCTGCCACTGGACGCTGCTGCCGACCCGGAGGCGCGTCGCACAATGGGAAAGCTCTGGCGTTGCAGCTGCAGAGATTGCTGTTTGCGGAACTTGGGTATCGCTGGCATCTCGCGTATCGCCTGGCGTGTAATCTGCCGAATGGTACTCGTCGTCTGCTCCAACTGCAGCTCCTGCTGCTGCTTGATGTGCGCCGCGTCGAAGCTGAAGCGTTCCGGTTTCGCAGCTGGCGTCAAAATGGCCATTGCGGCTGTCACTGCTGCCATGGATTGTGGCGGGGATGTAACGGTCCCCTGATTGGCAGCCGGCGAGTGGGCGGGCGTCGGCGGGCATGGCATGACCAGCGGCGATGTTGGCACTGAGTGTGTGTGCGTGTGTGTGTGTGTGTGCGGCAACCGTGCACCGGGCGTTGCAATCAGTGTGGTTGTGTTTTGATTTGCTCCTGCTGCTGCGGCAAGCGCAGCTCCATTGCCAGAGCTGGAATTGCTGCTGCTCGAGTTGGAGTGCTGATGCTGCTGCTGATAGTTCAATTGCTGCTGCGCCTGCTCCGGCTTTGGTATGAATATGACCGAAGCGAAGCTATCCTCCGACTCAATGCTCGTGTCCGACTGCAGACTGCTATCCTTGGAGGAGTCCGATCCTGATTCGCGCGAATGCCGGCGTGCATTGCCCTGCTCGCTGTCCGCACAGGCGGCGCACTCCTGCTGATAGGCGCTGCAGTGGCAGATGTTTGCTGCGCTGCAGTCCACGTTGCTGCAGTAGCTCACCGGACCCGTGCTGGACGTGCTGGAGAGCAGCAGATGAGCTGGGAACAGTCCGCTGGCATTACTACCAAGATGATGATGATGGTGATGCTGATGCGGATGTGCATGTGGATGCGTTTGATTAGTTAGTGTTGTGCCCTGCTTGTTGTTGTTGTTCGTCTGCTGAGGATTGGGATTGCTGGGTGGCGTTGGACTGGGCTTGATATTCTGAATAAGCTTGCTGATGCCCGTTTTGGTCACACGCTCCAGGCTGCCCGTAGAGCTCTTAATCTTGCTCGTGAAGCCCTCTCGAATGATCTGCAATCGCTTGGAGAACATCGCCGAGCGGCAAAGGAAGGCCTCATTGAGCGATGTCTGCTTCTGTATGCGTTTCCGCACGCCCTCCTTCTCACGCAGCCTGTTCCCCGCCATCAGATCCTCATTTAGCGAGCTCTGCTTGCGCAAAAAGCTGGGCATTGTCGCAGCTGGAGCACCAGTTAATTCACCTGGTTCTGTTGGCGGAGTCGCTGTCGCAGAGGCATGCTGATGGAAACTCGAAGCATAGCAACCGGTGCGCGTATAGAGACTACTGCTGACCCCACCATTGGAGCTGTTATAGCTGCTGACCATTTGGAACGCTGAGGAATTCGTTGGATCGCTTGACTGCGCGAGGCTGTCGTCCTCGTCGCACAACGACTGCTTCTGTTTGATGAGCTTGGGTCGGCGGTTCAGCGTGCTGCCCGCACTGACGGTCGCTGTTGGCGAATGTCGGCCATTCAGTTGGAGTTGAACCTCTGGAGCGCTCAGAAGCAGTGCCGCTGCAGCACTCGCTTTCGTCTCGCCGGGCAGCAGGGGACCACCCAAGCTGGGCACACTGGAGCGCGAGCGAACAATTTGACGAGGTGGTGGTTGAAGTATGCTGCCAAGGCTGCGTGATTTGAGGCCAGCGGATAGCGGCGGATCGGGAAATTCATCAAAGTCCTCGAGGCGACGCAATTCAATTGGCAGATCCTTGGCATCCTCATAGTCCAGGCTGCTGTCGTTCTTTGTGTCCTTCGACGTCCATGAGTCCAGGAACCATGCATGGCGACGACCGCCTGCTAGTTTCTGCAAGTGGAGGAAATATTTTAAATAAGTTTTAAAATGCATCAACAACAGTTTTAGGTAAAATTAATTATTTATAATTATTTTTGGCTTTAAATAAGTGCACATTATTATTACCTGTATTGCGCGACGAACAAAGCTGTAGCAGGACTCGCCCGGCGAGGATGAGCTTAGGCTGGAGCTGTCGCCATCTCCGGCGGAGCGACTTGAGTTGGTTGAGTCCTCTGTGTAGGCGTGATAGGGTGGCAGAAAATCATCGTCATCATCCTCATCGGAGTAGGAGAATGTACGATTCTTTGGCGGCTGCCAGGGTATGAGCACATCCTGCGACTCGAAGCGTCGATGGCGCTGCTCCAGTGCCCAAACAGTGATGACAACGCGTCCGCCAATGCGCAGGATCCGCGCCAGTTCCCTCAGCGCGCGGACGCGTCTCTCTGTGGTGGCAAAGTGATGAACAACGGCCAGCGAGAGGACCGCATCGAAGCTGTCGTCCCGAAAGGGCAACTCCAGATTGTCGCACAGCGCCACCTGTGGGCCAACGAGAGCAAAACGTAATTATGAGCAAGTGGGTGTCGAGGGAAATATGGGTCGAAGACCCACCCAATTAAATTAACACACACAACTTTCGTCGCCCGCACGTTAAAAGCAAAGTGAAGAAATCACGTTGCACATCCCAAGAGCAACACCAGTTTCAACTCGATCTCTCCATAAAGTCGAATTGAGCAAGTAAAAACGTTTTATGCATTTTTATAGTTTCCTCTTATTAATTTCGCTCGAGAAAGTTCAAAGAGCGAAACGTTAAAGTTAAATTTATAGCAAAACACTTTTCTGTCAGAATTATGGTTATAAATTATGGAATTAAAACTAAACTTAAAAGTCTGTTATATTTAGATATTTAGCTTCAATATATGTGTTTTGAAAATTCCTTGAAAACCGTATGTGTAAATATTACTTTGAAAAGTTACGACCCGTCGAAAACCAGGTTTATCCGCTCGCTTGAGCAAAATTGACTGTTGGCTAAGTCAAATTGGCACTGAAGTGCCACAAAACAAATATATAGCAGCGTTAACGTGCATGGCTCCAATTTAGCCCAGTTAGTTGCGTTGAATTACGCTTCTTTTGGCTCGCCTGAACTGAATAAGTTTTGGATGTGTTTTTGGAATGCAAGCGAATAAACTGAACTGACCTGACTGTGGGACGGGCGCTTGTAGTTTTTTGCTTTGCTTATTTTTTTTATATGCATTTGTAAATGCATCATTCATGTCACGCTCAGTGATAAAAGTATCAATAAACACTAAAAAAAAAAAAAAAATGGGAAACTTTCCGACATCGAAAGCATGTATGGCTGTGTTCAATCATTTCTAGATATTTTCAATTTCCCTTTAAATCCAACATAAACTGAACAACCATCAATTGCACATGCCTGTTAATAAATCATGTTAAACTCCGCAAAAAAAAAACTTCGAAGAGGTTCAATATAATGCATAACAGAGGTTTCTGTGCCACATTCACTTGGACTAACTCTTTATGCTTATATTTGCAGTTCTTTTCTGCACGTTCTATGTGTATAATTTGTATGTTGCAATAATGCTGATATCGCCTCGTCTGTATTTGTGTAACTGCAAAAACCGACAGCCTTGACCCACCAAAAAAAAAAAAAAATAAGAAAATCTTTCCCCTCTCTTCCTGTGCACGTGCCTCTACCAGGTACTTGGGGATGTCAGAACCAAGAGCCCATGCAACAGACGTTGCAACTCAACTTGTGGCAAAACAGTTTTTAGCCGAAAATATCATTTAAGTTAAGTGTTTCTCCCTATAGCGGTCAACTGCAAGGATAGAGGTCGTATGTTAATTACATGTTCGAACTCATTTTGCAGTTTATCTATGACCTAAAAATGATTGTGTACGATTTATAATTATTATTATATATTCTCATTTTCCTTCGAAGGTTAAAATAAATTGTTAAGATCAAAATGAAACTAGCTGACACAAGTTGCAAGCTGTCCCATATGCGTTGTGGCAATGTAATTCTGCATTTTATTGTTGCCACGTGCTGTACATATTACATATATTTTGTGGCGGCACCAAACATGGTTTGTTCACCACAAAGCAAACATTGTGAAAATTAAACCTACATTAAATAATCAGGAGAAAACAAACCGTAACTCAATTCTTTTTTAATTTTTAATATAAGTTACATGAGGCATAATCAGGGATTGCTAAATATTATTATAAGCTTTCTAGAAACTTGACTGTGCAACTGAATATATGTTAATAATCCTTTGGAAAATTTTCTGCTAAATACGCTGCAGTCTTCAGAATATTAATATCCTTTCGGGAATATTTCAAAGAAAAAACTGGACTGTCCTGCTTGTGGACATTGCATCTACGAGTTTGGCATTTGTGTTAAGCTGCTTATAAAAATGCAGCACATTCGCTTTCAACTTTAATGCATTGCCTGAGCGACTCTCAGCAATTTTATTTTATTTTTTTTCATTTTTAACACGTGTTCTGGGTGCCATGAATGCATACGCTGACATTTCTGTTTGCTCTTTATAAATTGTATTTATAGCAGTCGCCATTTTTTATACACATACACGCACACACATGTGTATGCTTTGTGGGTGAATAATGTCACAATGGTCGTGCACATTATGGCTTTGAAATTTGTTTGTTGACAAGTTTTCAATGCAGCTCCACTGATGTCGTGAGCGTCAGGTGAAACATGTTACGCATACGCTATGTTGCACACTAATGAGGCCAAAGCCTGTCGGCTCGAAACGGTGTCGCAAAGAGCAAGCTAAAAGAGAACCAACTGCGAAAATAAATAAATATATGTATATATATATATATATATATAGATATATATATATACACAAATATAGTATGTATAAAGGCTTGTTTGTCTGTACGTATGTACAATTGTTTGGCCTTCTTGGCAGCAGCTTATTTAAATGGTGCTTAAGCGAACCACAAAATAAAAACACTGGTAAAAGGCTGCAGACGATTTTCAAGTGAACTCACGAGCAAAGCCAGGTAGGCTGCACTCACCTGGCGCAAAACTGAATAGTGGAACAAGTGGAAGAATATCTCGGTGGGCGTCACGTTTTTTTATATTTATCTTATATGCTGCTTTTTTTTCTCTATTTTTTTTTGGATGCGTCATTTCGGACAGCAAAAGAATTTATGAGCTTTAGACTGCAGCAGGCTGTATGTGTGTGTGTGTATGTGTGTGTGATTGTAAGTGTGTTATTTGCTTAATGCCTGCTGCATAGCTTGCTCCACTTGGCAATTTATTGCTTTACAAAATTATAGCAAATCAGGCCATGCACGAGTTGTGAAATCAAAGTTGCCTGACAGCAACTAAAAGTTTTCCCACCAGCAGATATATGTATGTATATGTCTGGTATATTCGTTGTAAAGTTAAATTGGGTTTTTCCCTATCCGCAAAGGGAAACAGTGTAAAGCAACAGCTGCACTGGCTTCCAGGTCACGTGAGTCGCCTGTGTGTTTTGCATTTCTTGTTCTTTAGTTTATTTAACACAATGAACTCACAGTTTGCTTTAAAAAAAAATCAGGTTTAGCATTCATTTCCTTTGCCAAAGCATTCAATCGAATATTGCTCATGGCATTTTAAGTTACCCAAATACAACGCCTGAAACATGATGTCTCTGCATAAATACAGATGTATATTTGAAAGGAATTTAGCTGACTGCTGACATATCTTATTGCTACCAAGTGATTAAAGGCTTAAAAGATTTAAGCATTTGTATTTTCGTGGTTTTCCATTCAGGATATTCTTTTGAAGATAGACCATAGAATTTAATTTAATAGGAGATATTTGACTTCTGATAGGATATTTCTATTTGCAGAAATAAATTGTGATGAGCTTCTATCGGAGGAATACCAAAAGTAGAACTTAAAACATGCTTGCAATCTTTTTATATTAACTGAAATCGACAGTAGAAATAATGGTTATAAAAGGAAAACTGCAATTTTGTTCTAATATCGATTGAATTCAAAAGATAATGCATATGATTGCTATTAATTAATAGCACTGAAATATCAAGGACTGGACAGCTGTAACAATCGAGCAATCATAGCCACATTTCATTGCTGTCGAGTCAAGATAATGATAATGGGGCTGGTTATTAACTAAATGAAACCATTTATAGTAAATTGGATGCACTTTGCAGCATGTGGCATGTAACCAGCTAAGGTGGCAACCCTGGCCGCCTGCAATGTCAGGCGTCCTCGCTAACATCGGTAACCGTTGTGTCCTCGTCGTCATTACATGCGAAGTTCAATCCCACGCAATACCAGCAAATGCAATTTAAATGCGAAAAATGGCTGGAACTAAAGCAAGCCGTAAGGGGAAAATGGTGCAACGAGCAGAGTGAGGCGTGTAGAGGGGATTACTTTAGATTTCTTAGAAAAAGGCATTTGTTGCCTGGAAATGGCACCATGAATAAGCGAACTGAAACGAAACGAAGCATTTGTAATAGATTATTGCGAAAACTATTGCATACCTCCGGGAACTAAGAACTGGGTACAACTGGAGAGGGGCTGCAATTTATTGTTGGCAGCTATAAAGAAGAGGAAATGCTGTGGGCTTTGCAACAACTACGATAGCAAAACAATAAAGTGAATACAATGCGCACTACTTCAATGGAAGCTTGCTAACGGGTATTTATACAAAAATTACGAGAAATGCTTATTGCAGCAGTGATAATATTTTTTAAAGAAAAACAATATTGTTGAATTTATGTGTGTACATACTTGGATTAATAAATATATTATGTACAGAATATGCTAGAAATAACACTGAGTCAATGGTCTCTCAAATATGTTATTCAAGTGAATTGGTCTGAAAAGGCCTTGCGACAATTAAATGAAAATGTATTTAATTCCCAGTGGGACTCAGTGGCGATTCAATGTAGTTTTGGTTGCAATTGTACAAGCGTTGCAGATGCAGAGACAGATGCACTTTATTAGTTGCACTCTAATGACCAAAACTCTGCTCGCTTTATGGCTTCATTGTTGGCCATTGCAATTATGGGGTCATTAAAGCTCAGAACTGGCTATTACACAGAGAGAACATGTGCAAATAATTTCTATGATAAGCATAATTTATGCGTTGCAATAAGGGCGACCAGGGCCATCAGAGCACTCGACTGGCCCATTGCTAATATTTGAATGAATTCACTGTGTTTGCTCGTTCGGGCAAAATGGGTCAATTGTGTGGCAAAGAAACTCAACAGAGAGAGACAGAGAGAGAGAGAGAGGGAGAGAGAGAGAGAGAGGAGATAAGCCATGAACTATTGTTGACATACCAAGGAATATATATGCATGTAAGGGCACACCACCCACACCTGTAATATCCACAATGGACTATTTTCTCCACATCAATTACAATTTCATTCTATGCATGGCATTTCCACTCACCTCGCCACCCTTTTCGTGTGCCACCTTGCCGAGGCGGTAGCAGCGATCGACTCCAATGGTGCATATAGCTGGATTGCATTGTGTGAGATAACGCCCACTGCCGCAACCCACGTCACAGACCACCGAGCCCGGCTCCAGGTTGCCCAGGAACTGTGCCACTCGAGGCCGCACCGGTCCCGTGGGCTCCTCGCAATGCTCATAGACATCATGGACGTAGGCACGTTCCAGAGCCGCCGAACGGCCGCTGGCATCACTTGATGCACTTGTTGTTGTTGTTGTTGTTGCGGCTTTTGTTATTGGCTGCGCCTTTGTTGTTGTCTCTGATGTTGCAGGCGCAACTGCCTCTGTCGTAGTTGTTGTTGTTGTTGCTGTTGTTGCGTAGGCTGATGTGGGCGATATAACCGTAGGCGCCAAATTAGATGTTTGTGTTATGCTCGACGCTGCATTTGTTGCAGTTGTTGTTGTCAATTGTTTGGTCATTGCTGCTGCTGTTGTTGCTGCCCCTGATGTTGCTGCTGCTGGTGTTGCTGCTGCTGCTGCTGTTTCTCCTGCTGTGCACTTTTCATATGTCGTTGACAGGCAAGCCGCATCTGCAAAAAAAAATAGAGGAGAGAGAGAGAGAAAATTAGTTGTATATAGGAACTATTTGTTAGTTAAAATATTGAAGATGTGCTGCAGCTAATAAGACCTGCTTTCTTGTGGCTTTCGAACTGATTTAATTAAAGCTGGCTTACATTTTCAATTTCATTTTACAGAACTTGGTCATTTATAAATTTGTATTTCAGTCATAATTCATTTACGGTTTTTAACTATGCTATTTTAGGCTTGCTGAAGACAACATTTCCCTGCAGACCGAATTCTCCCCGCACCAATTAAATTATTCACCATAATACTCATTTTTCGACCGGTAAACAATTCCATTGGCATTATGTAAATATAATAAAATTCATGAAATCTTAGTAAATATATATTTGCAGGCTTATATTCTTAAGTTCAAATTTAATTTCGCTTTACTTTCATAAAGGTTATTGTTAAAAGACCGGTACTTGTTGTCCACCCGAAATTTCCAAGAAGTACGAAACGCGTATTCGGTAACGATATGCAAACTGCAAGTTTATTTATAATGTGCCAACAATTTGTATAATTAATGCAGTTCGGGCGGCTTTATAGGAGCCATAAACTCAAAACTTGTGCACCAATTGCATGTTCAAGAAAATTTACAATAGCCAACTTTATTTGTGTGTGGGTGTCGTGGTTGTTATTATGCCTGCTATTGTTATAACTGCTGTTAATTGTTGTTGTTGATTCTGAATGCATGACATCAAGTCATAAAATCATTACAAAACCCACCCAGAGAACTATTGTCAACGCCGTCATTTGGCAAATTTGCATTGTTGTTGACATTTTATAACTGTATTTCCGGTGCCAGTTACCGCCAACGCTGCCCAAAGCGCATGGACTGACATTGTGAGGACCCTCAGGTTTGAAGACATTGTCGGCGCAATGAATTGCATTAAATGGGGCGCGGAAAAGGAGTGAACTGAATTGAGGGATGAGTGGTGGCTCCTACGCCTTGCCACAGGATGAGGTGGTGGGCTAGTGGCTATTACAACTACGGGAAAAGTGTGGGCGCCAAAGCGCATTAGCGCTGCAGAATGCAATTATAATTGAAATCAGATTTAAAGTATATATAAAGGCAACAATAAAACAGCGCTGCATAAGAAATAATGTGTGTGTGTGTGTGTGTGTGTGTGTGAGCGTTAATGAGTTTATGCGCGGGTGTTAACAAGCTGAGCAAATGAGCTTTGAATATGTTTTACGTCATTTTAATTGAATATGCTGGACAGAGAGCAAGGATAAAACGAAACATGGGTGATCAATAAAATTGATGTTATCTTATGTGGTTATAGACGTATTATCAAAATAATTCAAAAGCTCGACTATGAAAGTTGAATATGAATTAATTAAAAATTAGGAAAGCCAAGCAAAGAACCTTCCGACTTGGATAAATTAGGTTTTTAGATGACTTGTCTCAGTTCAGTGTTGCGTTTAATTAAGCTGACAAAACAGATCAATTAATCATTTAACGTTACTTCACTGGAGCAATTAACACACTGAACAACTACAGCTAAACAATGAATACTTTTGTTACCTGAATTTATCTTTGTAATTGAATATAAACGAGTGTTGTGTCTTGTCTTTTGATTTTTGTAGCGCAAAATAATTAATAACTGACACATATCAAATTAAATGAGTATTTTCATTAGATTATCGTAAAATTTGTGTTGGGAAGGAAAACCCGTTCCTTAAGTAATGACAACGGCAACATGAGTTTGTTTCTTTATCTGATTCAATTCAATTTCATTAATGTGTGTATAAGAACTTCAAACTACCATTAGAATACGCTTCAATTTTCCATATTCTTCTTACCTGACACTACAATATACAATATACCATATACCATGCCATATTCTTTGAATTTTATGTTTCCTCTCTGTGTTTTATTACTTTTGGGCGTGTCCTTAACATTTATTAATATCATCATCTTGCCATCTATGCTGAATCTTTCGATACATTTTGCAATATGATTTCAAATATTACACATACGCCCAGTAGGCGCACGCACACCGTGCGTATGCATAATATTTTGTACCTTGTAAATGTGCTTGGTGTTTTCTGTCGTTGTTGTTGCTGTTGTTGTTGTTGTTGCTGGTGCTATTATAGACACTCACCTTTTGTTAGGCCGTTGGTGCGCTGATAATTCGCATTCAACAACGCCGTCGACGTCAGTTCCGCTGATAACATACGATGCGGGCTGAACGCAGAACGAGAAATGACTTTACGAGATTGCCAATAGGCAGAGGCTGTTCCTGCTGTTCTCGCTGCTGTTGCTGTTGCTGTTGCTGCTGCTTTTGATGATGATGTTGTGGACGGCGATGAGTAGGAGAGCGAACACGACAACGACAACGACAACGACGACGCGTCAGAAAATCAATGTGCATGCATAATTTAAAGTCAGTTGCCTGATGGGCCGAACGCAGGCGGCACTTGTGTTTTTAGAATACGTCTCCGACTTGGGCTTTGAAATTGGCGTGCTGTTATTTTTAGACTTTCCAACGGGGGCACGTTTTATACGATAATTTGCTCAGTTTTGTTTTGAAATCTATCATTATAGCAACTACACGGCGTAATTGCTAGTGTTGTTGTTGCTGTTTGCTGCTGTTAGCTGCTGCTTTTGTTGTCGCTACTGCTACTGCTGTGGCAAAGGACACGGGCGCGGGCGCGGGCATGGACACGGACATGAACATGGACACACGCTCGCTCACACACAAAATAGGATACACAAAATGCTTTTCACTGCTTCTGCTACTGCCTGTGCCTTTGTTGCTGTTGCTGTTGCTGTCAATGTGCCTGCCAAGCGACTGCCTGCCTCTGGCATATGACGTTTTCTTTGTCTGTGTGTGCTTGTGCGTGTGTGTTCGTGTGTGTGTGTGTGTGTGTGTGTGTGTGTGCGTGTGTGATTTTCTCCTTCGTATTGGCACTTTTCACTTGCACTTTTCATCCAGCAACTTTTCACATTTATATTTCTTTTCTTTTTGTTTTATTTATTAATTGCAACCTTTTCATTTCACGTATTATTTCTAGGCCACTCGCTCTTGGCGCTTCAATTTCTTAATACAAATACTCTTTGTGTGTTCGGGTGTGTGTGTGTGTTTCTGACTGTGTGTGTGGGTGTGCGCGTCTGCTTTGCCGCTGCGATGTGTATATGCCATGAGTTAACGTCGCGTACTGGCCACAAAAGCACGCGCATATCCTTTTGTTCAAGGATGTTATTGCCATGTGGATTGCATTCAGAGAGCTTTTGCCTTTAACTTGACGAAAGCTTTAACATACAGCTGTTGCCAGAGAGGGAAACTGCTCGTACGAAAATAACTCGAAGAGGAGAGAGAGAGAGAGAGTGAGAGTGGGAGAGTGAGAGTGAGAGAGAGCGTGCGTGTGCAATAAATGCAAATAGAGCAGTCGCCGCTTATGATCATTCCAATAAAGTACATTTAAAATAACGACAAATTGTTAATGAAATTATGAAAGACCTTCATTTTTATTATGGAAGTTGAAATTGCTGTATGAAGTCAAGAATGTAATAATGAAATTGGTACAGTGGAAGCAGCTCAAAATATTTTAAAATATATATTTTGAGTAATTTATAAAATCTATAGAGAGAGAGAGAGAGACGATGGGAAATTGTAAAGGGAATGATTATAATTATACATTTATATACGATTTTTTGCTAAATTGGTTTAAGGAAATAAATGCTCAACAATTATATTTCATAACTTCACAAATTTGATTTCGAGCCATTGCTGGCTAAAAATAGACAAGCTCAGGGCAATTGAAATGAAAAGCTTAATCGCTTTATTTGTTTCCCCGCGATGGGCTGTAAAAATTCATGAATGAATCCCCCGAAGCAATTGAAGACACAAACAAAAACAAAAATACAAATAGAAATAGAAATAGAAACAGAAGCTTCGTCAAGTTTCCAGCAGAGTGAGGCAGCTAACCAAAATAGTCATATACTTTCCCGCACGCGAAAAATAGCACAATGATTCTCAGAACTTGAGGAGCGCAGACTCTACATTGAGTGCGACACGCTTGCACACTCCACAGGATATTCCGCTCGCCCGATTACTTTTGATGAATGAAAAGCTTTCGGTTTGGTTTGCTGCTGACTGAGCCGCATCCCCCTGAAGCCACCTTTTGTGGTTGTCTATGGCAGGGCATATTGTGCTGTAGCTCCATAAAATAGGGGTCGACTGACGTTTTGGCTGCTGCTGCTTTGTGCGGTAAAAGCTAAGGCTGTTGTGGGTTCTGGCTTTTTGATTGGGTGCTTGGGTGGTTGGGTTGTTGGGTTGTTGGGTTGCCAACTGGTTGCCCGAGCGTCATATGGCTTTTTTTGTAAGCATGACTAATATAATCAAATGGGCAAACGCGACTGTGGATATGGCGTCGAAATTTTTGGCGACATGCCAATGAGTTTAGCAAATTCGAGCTAAGCAGCCCGACGACAGATAACCTTAAACAAAATATGTATTATGCCTCGCTGCGGGGGCGCCGGCATCACGATGTGTTGATGTCGTCACAAAAGCCTGGTGAATCATGCAGCCGGCAAATGTTTTGCTTTCCGTAACGCTTTTACGGCCCACTCTTGGCATGTGACAAATGACAGGCAGACCCTCAGCAAGAGGACAACAAATACAATAAGCAGATGTCTCAATTGTTATTGTTGTAAAAGCTAAAGCACTGGACTGGGCACTACACGATATGTTGGTTAAAATTGTAAAAGTTTTGCAACTGGCTTTTTGGCATTAGCATGTGGGCAGTAATGATAATATGATAATCGAGTTTGCATTGGCAACATCTGCACTAATATTATTAATAAATATAAAATTATATTTAAGTATATATGTATATGTATGTGGCATTGGAAGTTTTGCCATTGCCTTTTGGCCTGGCACGCCTGGCATTCAACAAATGTACCATCATTAGTTATATTCCAGTCATAAATCATGCACACGCTGGCACAATATGTACTTATTCACTTGGAATGGGTGCATGGGAAGAGGGTCACAATATATGCAGGATGTGGACTGCACTGCTAATAATGTCACGTAGCAGAGCTTTTGACAGCCAAGTGCCATACACTTCATTCACAGCTTCATTTGCTCGCCACGGGGAACAATTGATAGGAGTCCCGTCAGTTTTTGAGTTCGATGATGCAATTAGCATTGCTTTAAATATATACAAGCAGATAAACTGCAACTGCATAAATAAAAGGAAAGCTTATTAAAATCTCTCGCAAGTGAGATCGAATTAAATAATCATACATTTCTTAAGCAGTTGTATAGGAGACTTAAAGCTTTTAGAGAGACAAAACAAGTATGCTACATTTTCGTAAGAGGCAATTAAAATTTAATTAGAAAATTCTGGTAAAAATTATGCAAAAACATACGCAAAAGCAAATACAAAATACGAACACATTTTGCTTGTTATCTCTGATTTAAGACAACAGCAAATTGTGCGCGCCTACAAGAAAAACAGCTCAGAAGCAGCCGTTTTATATCGTTGTCTCTCTCTAACTCTGTTCAGTAAATGGAGTGCAAATGATGTAGGAAATACGCGAAAAACAAGAAGCAAGGAAAAGCCTGTACACAGTTACTTCGGATTGTTATTCTTGTTTTAGCTGTGCTTCTCGCCCCAAAACGTATGCAACGCAAATTTAAGCAGCATAACACGTACTGTTTGCTACTTGCCAGATAAAACTTGTCGGCATAACTTAGCTGCGGTTTGTATTCACCACGCAGTAGCGCGCTCCCCCCTTCCCCCCCCAATTCAAATGTGTAATATTTGGCGCGTGGCGTCGACGCCATTTTGGATGGTCGCGTGTTCTTGACGGGCTTGCAATGTTTCCAATGTTTTTTATTTTTTTTTGGCGGTCTCTTTGGCAATATTCATATAGCTCAAAGCACATATCTTGTTGCGCATTCTCTCATGCGGCATGGTCAATTTTTGGGACGGACCAAAGGCCTGACGTCAGCAGTACACACACAACACAACAGAACAGAAAGATTGCTAACCAACTCCGCCCTGCTTCAAGGCCAAACAATGGGCGCCAGCTCCAGTGTCGCGTGACGTAAAAGAATATTGAGTTTTCTTTTCAAGCGGGGCGTCTTCGGCAAAATTTCTTAAATAGCCAATTTACTAGTCACGTGTCCACAAAGCCAATTAGACTTACCATTAGAAAGCTTTCATTTGCAAGCTTTACGTTTAGCAAATTCACAAACCAGAAATATCAAAAGTTACACATTTAGAAAAAGCAAAAGTACAAGGACGGATCACAAGTAAAAGGGGCCCAATTGTAATAAGTTAATTTGTTAATTTAGATACAAATAATATCATAGAACAAATCAAGAGCTCCAAAGATTTCCCCCTTGCACCCCTAAATACCCCTGATTAATGATATTCACACAATCGTTATGTTAATAATCAAAATTTAATTATTATTATTATTTTTTTTAATTATTCATATTAATGTCGTAAATGGCTTTTAATTACTGGTTCGTCAAATATTATGTTGAATGTTTTTAACAATTAGATAAAAGAAGTTTACTGAATGCACTTTCTTGGCGCTTTGACTAGAGTTGGAACGGAAGTTGAGGTGTGCTGCCAAAGATAGGAGATCTCACAGCCGATCCGCTTAGAACCGGGTTATCTTGCTGTGCTCTGGTGAGGGCGGCAAGGAGCAGACGGACGAACGCGAAGGGCTCTGCTGTGGACGCGGTGGAGGACGTTGCGGATTTATGTTGGCATTAGCCTGGCGTAGATTGGCAAAGAACTGCTGGCGTCGCGGACCGCCGCCGCGCAAGGGCAGCGTCGGTATCTCGCTAGGCGACTGGTGATGCATCTCCTCCTGCGAACAGTGCCGCATAGCGGGATTCACGCACTCGTACACGCTCTGCAAGAGGGAAATATCAAGTGACTACAACATGGCGGTTAAAGACTAACTTACCTGCTCCGAGGAGTACTGATTGTTCTGGGCAAAGGCGAGGGAGGTGAGCGAGGGCAGCGCCTGGGCAATATCCGAGCGCTCAATGCCACGAACAATGAGAAATGTGCGTGGTATGAGAATACCAACCAGCACCGCCCATCCACTGGCCTGTAATCCTAGCGGAATGGCAGCATCCCGCCATTCGTCGCCGAAGAGCGACAAGGCAATCCACACGCTCCAGATGATTAGAATAAGCACAGCGCCAATTACGATCAAAATGCCCTCGCGATAGTTGCGTTGCGATCGATAGATGAATGGTACTAGGGCCACCAGAGAGCAGAGCAACAGAAAATCATAGGCTAGAAGACCCCAGAGCCAGCGACCGTAGTAGATGTTCTCACAAGAGACACTCTCCGAGGCCATGTTCATAACCACGAGCAACTGCACGGACATGCCTAGCTGAACAAAGACGCTAAACACACAGATTATAGCCTGAATATATCCATTTACGTGGGACAGAAAACCGCCCTCGGAACCAATGGAGGCTAACATCACAGCGCGACAGAGCAGCAACGAGAAGACAAAGCAATAGACGAGCGTCATCATGAAAACTCGCACGGCACAGAGAGTATTTAGGGTGTTGACATCTTCGAAAGTCACATGCGAGTTGCGTTGCTCGCCCACGTACTCCATGGAGAAGGGCACAAAGGAGCAGAAGACCAGAATAAGTGATAGCAGCAGCAATATAGTCGTCACCGGGTTGCCCTCAAATACATCGCCTAAGGAGATGCGCACCACAATGAACACTAGAATAGCCAGCGTGGCAATCAGGCCAAGTATGGCGGCTGTCAAACCCGCTGCCACCCACGTGTCCATCTTGATGCGCCAAAACATGACGCTCTCCCCATCGAACAGGAACGGATGCCGTCGATTGTCGCCCGGTGTGTACTGGCAATTAAAGACCAATCCAAACTTGGTCTTAAGCTCCAGGCTGGTGTGATTGTCGCGATTATAATGATAGTAGGTTGTCACATTTGTCACGAAGTTCTGCGAAGCGATCTCGCGCAGCTCCATGCGTGACTCGCCTGTGATTACATCCACAGTGTTCTGTTTCTTTTGGTACATCTGAAAGGTCATCGAGGTGGACAGCTTGCGCATGCGCAACAGTGAGAGCAGCTCGACGGTATCATGTTTTCGGCGATACTCAGGTGTGCGCCAGTCCTCGATAAAGTTGAGAAAATTAAAACAGCTCTGTAGCACATACAGATCCTCGTCACGCTTGCAGTGCTTGGACAGCGAGGCGCGCAGCCAGTTCATCAGATCCACAATGGGGCTGGCAAATGAGAGAATTCGCGATGGAAGCACACTCTTCCCAATGAGTACATCATCCAACGTTGTGGGCATTGCATCCAAATCAACAGTGCGCAGCTCAATTTCATTCTCCATGAGTATAAATGCTTTGTTGGGAAGTTCTGTAAGTATTCAAATAATAGAAATAAATGTGAGTCACAGATGCCCAACTAGGATATGCTCCTTTCTTATCATCGAAGTCCTTCGTTCGATCTAGTAAAACACGAGCTACGCACATTGGACAATTGATTTCTAATTAACTACAATGAATTAATTAATAGATTAAACTCTGACAAAAAAAATGTATTTTTTATATATTTTGACAAAGCAGTTGGATTGGAAAATTCTGAAACCGTGTCTACAAGCATCTCATATACCGTTGGTATAGGAAATCAGATATAATCTTAATTGGATTACATGATCCACCATTTTATTTTAAATTAAACTATTTTGAATGAATTTTACTTGTAAATTACCTTCCAAAAAAGCGTGATCTGTACGCTCTGTGGGCACGGCGAATACTGTGCTGTTCTCCTTAAAGTGATTGTTCATCTTGTTGCCGAATACTATGTAAATATTATCGTCGCTCTTGAAGTGCATGAGGCACATGTGCTCCTGCCTGGCGGCATCCATGAACTCATTATATACATCCAAATTTTCACTTATTATCTCCACAGAGGCAATCTTCTCGCCCCAGGGCATCTGATGTAGTAGGTGCGCCACTTTGGGAAAGAGATGGGCACGCGTTGTGGGTATAGGCCACACATTGTACTCTAAGTCACTGATAATGGACTCGAGGCGTTTGTATAGATCATAATCAATGAATATGCCTATTGAGTATTGTGTGCACTGCTGCAAATATTGAACTTCCTGTATGAGCAGATTCTCGGCCAGACTGGCATTATCTACGCTAATGGCACGTATGCCTGTGGGATGGAGAATTGAGATTAGAATAAATTTCCGACTCAGATTTCTATTCTTACACTTACCAACTTCAAAGTCAGCTGATATAATATTTGCTTGATTGACGCGATTGATGATAAACAGCGCCGAAACAGGATCGCTAGTTAGAACACTGAGCATGACATCTCCTTCGATGACCTGCACTAGCTCCTGCTGCCTGCGCATCACTTGCTCCCCATCCACATTCGTTACGCTCAGCTGCAGTCCATTGATGCAAATCTCTGGGACCAAGCTGCCAGCTGCAGTTGTGCTCCTGTCGTCACCACTGCTGATTCCGGCACTGCTGGCGATGTTCTCCGTTGTGGAGGATATCAGTGGCGCCAGTTGCTCATAAGTGCTGGTGGGCTCATTGGTTGTCGGTGGCACAGTGGTGGTGCTGCTACTAGTCGGTTGTGGTTTTGTGATGCGCAGTGGTGCTGACTTTTTGCCAGGTTTGCTATCCACGGTTACACCTGCACCACGACAATGAGCTATGCAAATTGCTGAGATGAGCAGGTAGAATATCACTGCAAGATTTGGATGGGTGAGTTGTGTAAAACTTAAATTATTTGTTAAGAAATCATAGAAATTGTATAGAACGGACTGGCAGCCTGATTCTATGGACAGAACAGTATTTTTATGCTTGATTGATTCCATTTGATAGATTGATTGATATTGTAATGAATATAATTGATAATAATTAAGTTTCTAATTTGTGAGTTTGGTCAATTCCTCAAAAACCAAATGTTGTCCACAAAAAAACAACGTTTTCCAATCATTCCTTTGCTGGACAGGTTTGTAATATAAATGAAATTTAAAGACGAAGCTTATAATTACATATCAATCTTTGCTGTTTGACTAGACTTTGCCACTGAACAGGTTATTATTAATCGTAAATTTGCCTCATTATAAATATTACTAACATATCGAGGGCTACAGTTTCTAAGCCAACTATTTGTTTTTGTTAAAAACTCACCCAATTGTGTTGGCGATTTCCATTCGCGCTGCCAGAAACTCATGACCTTTTCTGATATTGTATTTTTATATATTTAATTTGAGAAAATTCAGTCAACTATTTGTTAACTTTTTGTCGATTTTCTGCAGCGTTCAGCATTTATTGACAATTATCAGCATTTTATTCAATCAATAGATGCAAGTTGACTATAAAAATAAGAAAAATGGATAATTGCGGATATTAATGCGGAAAAAACTAGCAATTGTAGGATCGAAGTGTGCCGTGCAAATGGTTTTGCATTTGCCATTCTTCCACAGAATTTCAGCTCTTGGCATTCCGCTTTGCCTCCGGACTCTTTGGGAGAGTGTTGTACTTTAATCGCATTAAAAATTGTCAGACCAACACAGAGACACACACATAAAGCCGAGCTAGCTTTGGTTTGGCTTGGCACAGTTCTTTTCCTGCTTTTCCCACTTTTCGCCCGTATCAGTGCAAAGTAATGCGGCGGCAAATATTTAAGTTTTTCATATTTATTTTCATTCCATTTCAAATGGCGAACAGAAAATGTGAAAAGCATGCAAAGCAAAAGGAAAATCAATAGGTACTACTTTCAGCGGAAATTATTATATTCTATGCAAATTGGCTTGTTAATAGTGGCACCGTTTTTTCATTTCTCTATATGCTATTTCACTTGAATCGATTTTTTTTTCAGCATATTTTTAAGTACATTTTGTATACATCACACGTATGATCTGCAGCTGCTCTCAGCTTTGGCTTAACTAAAATAACTAAAAAAAGAACCGAAAGCCAAATCTGAAATGGAATGCTTCAGCGATTTTAGGGTCAATTAAACGTTTGTCGTTTTATATTTGCCCAGTGAAGTACGCAGTCGTAGCACAACACAAAAACTATTCGATTCACATATATTTTTATTTTATTCGTATTTTTTTTCGACCGTTTTGCTTGTGTTATTTACAGATAGCCAATCAATTTGCGTTGCGATTGTCAACGGGTGCAGCTCTGCTTGCAACTGCAACTACTGCGTCACGGCACAAATTGTTAACAAACCGAGTCGCATTGCAATTATGTTGTATTGGTTATTGTGTGTGTGGCTTTTTCTTTTTTATATTTTTATCTGCTTTCTGTTTTTCTTTTGGGTTCCCGAGTTTTTGTTCAGCCACCCCCGAGCAGCGAAGTCGCGCTGTAATGTTTTGCACCTGTTTCGCTTGTTTTGTTTTGGCCAATTTGGCTTAGGCCGATATGTTCGGCACGGACCCGTCCGTTGTTATGGTAATGCGCTCAACTGTGAGCTCACTCGATTTGACAGTTGAGTGAAAATATTTCATAATTACAAATATCAACATTATGTGACGTGTTTGAGTAATGTAACCCTTTTTGGCGCGACTACCTGAAGTTTGAAGTTCAAACATTGGTCATTACAATTAGGCGGCTGATTGAAGCAGGTTTTAAGTTACACACGCACACACACACAATTGTTGTTGGGCGTTGTCATCGAATTGCTGTTTTTGGCTGTGGGTGCAAAATATACAATTCAACGTTAAGAATATAGCGAACTCTGAAATACTACAGAAAATTAAAAAAAAAATTACAACTATTCAAATCAAGCATTAGTACTTAAAATCCATTCTGAATGGAGAAAAAGCTATTTGTTTTCACTTAGCAACCGAGCAGCAATCGTAAAATCCTTGAGCAGTGTCCGTCATAGAGTGAAAAGCAAAACGGCTAAAATCCCCATTTGTCATTGATATTTAAGGAAAACAGTTTGTCTGATGCGTTTCTGGTTTACAATGTTTTGCATAACACTTTTAATTAATGCCAACACATGGTCAACGAACAGTAGCCGAAAATTGCATTTGCAGCTAGTCAAATCACTTGGCCCTGAGTCCGATGCCATTGCATAAGTTTAATTTAGCTGCTGTCCGATTGACCGGTTGTCTAACTGTCTGTCTGCTGTATGCTTGTCAAAATGTGCACTTTAATTACTATTTTGGCAAGCTTTATGTCAGTTGATTGGTTTGGTCAATTTCGCTCGAGCCAAAGTTCAATTTGTTTATGCAATTTTCAGAAGAAATTTGTGATATGTAACCAATTTACACTCGGTAGCACAGCACACTCGAAACGGTTAGTCATTCACGCGACCACGTCCACGTCCATATCTCAACTGTTCTAGCTGCAGCGCTAGCAGTTCCAAAACAACCGTAAGCCCATAAAAATGCAAGAGCTGTTAGTAACTGGGTCTGGGAGCGAGACTGGGGATGAGGGTTGGTGCATCCACTCATGCTCACTCACTCAGTTATTCACTCATTCATTCATTCATTCATTTAGGATTGTAATTATGCATAGTTTCTCGGTGTCAGCTTTTTGTGACATATACGTTGTGCTTAGCGCTGTAAGCGTTGGCATATTTTGCAGTCAATATAATATGCAGTGATTAGTGACACCGATGAACCTTACCTACCATGTTACTTGGCATTATATGGGTCAGCTGTAAGCAGCTACTTATCAGGCATCGGAAATGCCTTTGAAGACAGTTGTCAAAATTGTAATGTTTGCCTTAGGGAAAGGTTATTACCAAATTGATAAACTCACCAACAGTTTGAAAATATGTATAATAAAATTGATGCCATATGATTTTATATAACTTCCTTTTAATTATTTATAGTTTAATTTCTTCTTGATGCAATTAGACTAAGTCACGGATCTAATAAATTTCTTGTAATTAGAAATACCCAAACGTTATTTTTTTTTGTGTACCTTGACGGGATCCCGCTTCTTGATACTTGACATTAAAAATTTAGTTCGCTCCAGAAAAGTAAATCGTAACATAATTTGCTCTTTGAGGAATTTCAGTTGGATTGTTGTATTGGTATTAAGTAATTGGTATATCTAACTGAAAAATACGCATATACGACGTAAATTACTGACCATCACCGGCACCTTTGTTAGAATGATGAATTTGTTGCTTGGCCCGAGAGGAATCCATTGGAGGACGCGCTATGGTATTGCCACTTAATGTATCCATAGAGTCATCACCATCACTGAACGAGGACATTGCATCGGAGCTGTAATCAAAATTATCAATTTCGTCCGTGCTGTCCACAGGTGTCTCCAGATCCGCATCGAGGGCAGCATGTGTAGAAGCTACAGCTTTTGCATTGTTGTTGGATATGGGGCTTGTCTTTTCGCATAAACCCATTTTGGAAAGTTCTATGGGAGAAGGGTATATTGGCATCTCCTCCTTCAGATCATTTATTTGCATCTGTGTGCAAAAGCGTTGTATTTGCCCCAACACTTCACGTACACCCAGCCCCGTGGACTTCACATTAACACTTTGCGCGGACGAAGATTGATGCTCTCCCGTCGGATGCTGGTGTGATGACTTGGAAGTGCTGCAACATGCACAAGGATTCTGCCCGTTAACGCATTCATTCGCCGCTTTTAGTTGGTTGCCGTGACCGGTCCTTCCAGCTGTGAACTGTTTGCCAGATTTGACATTCTTGAAAGCAGTTGTCAGTTTGGAAACTCTGGAGGACACTGGCGTCGTATTGTGATTAACAACGGGAGTTGGTGCCACTTTTGAAGCTGTCTGATTGCCGGATGTTAGTTTCTGTTGCTGGTAGAACATTTTATCGTATTCGGATTTCATGCAGAGGTAGCGAAAGTGGCGTGTGTTTTCCTCCCCATAGTGAATTACCTCTGGAAAGACAAATTTGTAAGGCATATGCTGTGTCTATAATAATATATAATTATATGTTAATATTGCGTTGTAATTGGATTGGGCGTGGTCCAAAAATTGTTTGCCTCCTTGATACAAGGAATACATTTCAAATTTGGTGACTCTATCTTTCAAATTGCGTGAGACTTATGGTTTTGTCGATTTACGCCATCAGTTATATCAGTTTTGGGAAGCGGAGTGGGCGTGGCCATGAAATTTTTTTTTGTCGATACTGAAAGGAAATTACCGGTAATATACCTTCCACGTTTGATGACATAAGATATAATTCTTTTCGATTTTTATGAGTGGGAATCTTGGGAGCAGCGGAGTTGGGAGTGGTCTATTTCGATTTTTGAAGGACATCACCAAAACCAAACCAAAAACAAAAATAAATAGTTAAAACTGTGGGAGATGTGTGGCTTTATCGATGTGAGATTATCAATCGATCTTATCGATTTACCAGCCTCCTAATGGAGGCTACCTTCGGGAATCAGACTATAAAACGAACTGTTGTTATGGATGTAGTACTTACTGTTAGTAACTTCATTCTGTAATTTACCCAAATAGTCATTGGTCATCTTCAGTTCATTTGAAAAACGTTCCATTTTGCCAGCCATATCGCGAAAATTTCTGTTGACTACTTCGGAAATTGTAGTCTGGTGGGTGAAATAATAAAAGGGGAAAATTTATAAAGCATTACGGTTGGGTTACTTACTCCAACGGCCCTTCTCACTGTCTGGCGTATAAGCTCAAATAACTCTTCGGGATCTTCATCCTTCTCCTCATCCTCGGTTACAGCTGGAGGCTGCATGCCACCACGCTGATGAGCATGAGCAGGTCGCAGTTGTTGCTGTTGTTGCTGCTGCTGCTGCTGCTGTAGTGGCTGTTGTTGCTGCTGCTTATGCTTCATATTCGGATGCGAATGATGGTGTATATTATTGTTGCCCGGTTGATTAAACTGCTGCTGCTGCTGCTGCTGATGTAGCTGATGCTGCAACGGATGTGGAATCTGTTGAATATGTTGCTGATTTGGTTGATGCGGATGCATATGTGACCGACGTCCATTTGTTATGCCATGCAGTTGATTCTTATCGGAGAGATCGATTAGATTATCATCCATTTCCGTATTTGGCGCATACACTGTACGGTGAGTCATCTGCAGTGGCATCGGCTGGCCATATGGATGAGTGTGAGCATGTGGATGTGTGTGACACTGTGCCTTTTTGTCCGCAGCCACAAAGTTCACTTTTGGCTGATGGTTAGCCGGAAGCTGGCGAGTGGTCGGCCTGATGCGACGATTGGACATTGAGTCATTCGATATCGCTTGGGTTTGCACTGGCATCTGGGCTGCTTTCGAAGGATGAGCCAGAACCGCACTTGAAGTATTCAACGGCACATTTGTAGTGATATAATAATCATTAGCAGTTACATAGCTGCGCTGGGTGCGAGTTTCCCCCTTGCGGGATGAGGCAACACGCATTGTTGCCGTCTTTGTCATGCCTGGCTGTGGGGCAGGCTGCACTCGGGTCGGTTGCAACGCCTCCAGTTTGGTGCCATATACCTCTTCAATGCCCTTACGTCGATTTGTGCGCACCATTCTATCACTTTGTCAATGGAACACTAACACACCGCCAAAACTAAAATAAATTCACAATCTCATATGCAACACGAGATTCGAATGTCGTATTTTCATCAATAAGCACTTTTAAGACTTGGTTGATGCACAATGTTCTTGTTGCTTGTAAACTAAAATATTAAATGTACAAATTTTTATTGTCTTTCAATTGTATATATCCAACTGATGGTTAAGGAAAACTGATTTGACTGTGTTTCATCATCGCCAACTGAGATGTCTACACAAATATTTTTATTTGACATGGCGATTACAGATTTTCTAAATGTCTAGGCAAAATTCGTCAGAGCAATAATTTATTTTGAAACGTCTCATTTTATGGAATATAATATCTTATACATTTACAGTTAAGAAGGATTACAGGGGAAATACTCAAGCTGTAATTTTCAAAGTATATATTAAAATAATATATAATTTTCAATATTTCTTATCATGTACCACTTATTATTTAAAATTTAAATATATATAGCTGAGATTTTCTATGTGTCTATTCATTATTGACAATTTTCAAATTTATCAACTTATAATTTTAAGATTGGTGACATTCTTCAAAGAAAAGCCAATGACATGGGTGCAGGTTCAATGTATGTTGCCATTTTTCTTGCCGGAAATGTTTGTTTGATTTAACCAAATCAAAATGCTAATGAGCTGCCTTGGTGCAGCACTGATTGCGATGTTTAAAGTGGTTGCTCGCTTGGTTGGCTGCCAGTGAATTGCTTATACAAATAAGAATACACAAATATGTACAATATTTTATCAGATTGTTTACCTTTGAACCTTCATGGGGTGTATGGATTTGAACGCCTTTGGAATATTAATGCCGTTCTTACTGCCACATTTTTGATATGATGGCTTTAAGGCAGCCAAAATCTAAAAGAACGCAAAATGCCTTAGGATACAGACGCCTAGCACTTGATTTAAGTTTTCAACTTTAGATGGAGGCTTTGTTATTCGGTCAGTTGGCAGTTGTTGAGCCTGCTGCAGCCTTGGCCTGCTTTTGAAATCAAAAACCTGTCACATTCGGCACAATTTTGATTCTTTGCTCATTATGCAAATTGCCCATACGACATTTTCAATGCTCACTAACTGCAGAGCGCCGCACTATCAAGCATTTTTATTCACAAGCAAATATACTACATACATACATACATACTGAAATGTAGTTGGCAAGCTGTTGCATGCAATAAGCAAGGCCAGGATACGCGCAAATGCGCAACACTCAGTCACACAGGGACTGCACGGGGAGTATGCACACTTATTATTATAGCGCACATTTATTTATAGCTTCTTTATTTTTTCCATAAGCTAAAAATGTAAAAGTTCTATATGACTCTTTCTAACTTTTTAGCATATAATTTCATATATCATAACATCATATTTAATTTGACAAGAATTTTTTATTGCTCAAGTAAAATTATTTGAGGCTTTAAATACATAAATACTTTTTATTCGGTAATATTAAATAAATATATTTACTATTTCAGTAGTTCAGTTACTCATTTTATGCAACATAACATATGCATCCATAAAAATATGCACAGACTAAGTCAATCGCATTCTGCACTGCCAACGACAGTCAACACTTTGGTAACTTATGATTTTCTATAGAAGTCTGGGCTGCCACTGCGGCCGGCAATTGGTTGAATGCTGAAGTGGGCCCCATACTGCAGTTGAGCACAAATGTGTTTGTGTGTTTATTTGAGTGGGTGTCTGTTGCCTTGATATGAACTTGTCGGCACAATTGTTCATTGCAATTGCAACGTTTTGTATATCGTCATCAACATTATCATCATCAGAAGCAGAACGGAAGAAGTTAAGTGTTCTTTATTTGTTTGTTTGTATGTGTCAGTTGCAGTTGTTTGTGTTAAGTATCTGAGCAGATATTGTCCTTGCAATGCTCAAATGCTCCTTATTATAATCAGCTTGGGGCACTTAAATGGATTCATAATGTACTTGTCTTGTGGGTAAATTAACGTTTGATGCATAGCTCGGCCATTTAAATGGATATAACTCATAAGCACTCATAAATAAACGTTACACTTAATTTTATGTGACTAAATGGGCATTAAACCAGATTAAGATTTAGTCTCTCTCGATGTTTACCATGGCAAGCTAATTCCATGCGCATTACGCATAAATCTCACAAATGCGAAAAAAAATGCCAAAGCAGTAAAATGTCGCGTGTTAAGTTTTAAGCAAAGAATATAAATAAGTACATGAATAAGTATGTATTTATGTACACATTTTCATATTACGAGCATGCGGGCCAATTAGCAGTTAGAGACAGAGCATGTTTAAAAGTATTTTACAGATGCATAAATTTGTCAGCTGTCACCAAGATCAACATATTTTTCTTCGTAAAACACCTACGCCGCATGACGTCTCAAAATTATATTTATAAATAATATTGTTGTGGGGTTATTTAAAAAACTCTAAAATAAAGATCACACAGTATTAATATAATATGCATGTTTTCTTATAAAAATATTTGTTGGAATGGTTAATTAATTTAATTATTTAATACTGATTTAAAAATTATATGTAATTATTGAAAATGGAATTCATTTGATATATAAATGTTTAGGGTATAAAATCCACAATGGCAGGCACACAAATTTATTCATATTTTCTTGAATATTATTTTTCCATGCGTAGCCAGCTAGTAAATAAATCCACGCGCTTATATTTTTTAATTTAAGCGCTTTTTATTGTTGTTCCTCGGTTGTTGAAAACATTCCCACTTGACAGGCGAACGTGATGAGTGTCTGCGTCGCTGAAATTGTTGTCTCATTTCTCTATGCAGCGTGCTTTATGACTAAATGCGAGTAATAAATAAATACTACAGCGATAAATTTGCCTGCAGATATTGATATAAAACAACAAAATATTGCTTATTTATGCGATGCTGCCAAACTTTTCGAACATGTTCGAATTCTGTTTAAACGCGATATTCATATAAGCAGCTGTTGCCATTTTATGTGCAATAACAAATTGCTCTGTTCGGATTTGATTGTTGGCCATTATTTGTTTTCTGATGCCTTTTTGTCATGCAATCACAATTAACAACAAAACAATACCAAGAACTTAAATAAACTCATCTACATATAAACATAAAGTTTATTCGCTTATGCTTTGTTTTTCGATTTTTCTTGGAGATCAGTCGCCTTTTGTCTTTTACATATACGACGAGCCTTCAAAACTAAATGGATTGAAATGCATTGGTATTTGGGTCAACAAATTTGCGTCACTCAAATCAATTAAAGTCATAAATACGAATAAAAATTTTCTTGCATGAATTTAAAAACAGAACGACGTAAGAAATATTTCAAAAGAATATGATAACAATTTATTGTTTACTTAACATTTTTACGATCAACAACAATAAAATGTACAATTAGGAAGAAAGAGCAGTAAAAAACATGCAGAATTATTGCTTATTGTTTAGGTGCCAAAACATATAATAAAATGTTAATTCTTTTCGATTGTGAGTTGAATATAACATTTGTTTAAGGCATAAAGCAAGTGTAGCTTTTGCCGTTGTTGATTGCTAAGTTGTCAGTTGATAAGAAAGCTTTACATAAACGTTAAGCACAATGTTGCTATGCTGAAAGCTCTTTGTTGCTAAGCAGTATGTTGGTGCTCAGCAGCAAATGTTGACGACAAAAGAAACTGCTTAATTAAATGCCAGAATTATTACAAATATTAACTAAACACATGAAGCAGTTATATTGACAATGTGCAACCTCGTTATCAAGCGCAGTGGCAGCCTCTGACGTGCAACATTCAAGCGCAAGAGCAACATCTTGACACGCAACATGTGCGAAAAACCAGTGGAGCAACATAAACAAAAAACAGCTGTTTGTGTTGCTGTTTCAATTTCTGGCGCCGGCAAAGCTTTCTGAAGTGAAATCAAGCAGCGCATGGCGACGTCGATGCTGCACAGTGGTCCTTAAAGATTTGAAACGTTGCACAATTTGTAATTTATAATTGCTTAGAATAACTAATTATAAGTTTCGATAAAATTGTCAAATATATATGCAAATATATATAAATTTTAATAAATGTTTATTTGGTTTGCTTATAAATTTAAGGAGTTTTTTTTAACATGCTTTTATCATTCAACTTTGTTCAACAACATAATAAATCGGCTAATTAACTGCATATAAAGTAGTATTGTAAATCAGGATTTTCCATCTTTACATACACTTGAACAAGTGAAAACTTACCAATACTTACAAATACATAGAAGCATTATTCTGAACGAAAATTACAAATAAATCTACAATTGATATTATCTAATTACCTCCTTATTTATTTATGACCCGATAAAAAAGTTACCAACCAACTGTTAGTACAATGTGTTTTGTTCAACTAGCCCCAGTGTGCGTTGACGGCAGCAGCAGCAGCAACAGCAGCAGAAAACAGGAAAATCCGCACGACGATGCCACACACAAATTCAGTTCAACGCGAAATTGTGAATGAGATAGACGGCGAATTTCTTAATGCTGCGTGTACCAAACACGGTCAAAAAACGAAACGAAACCGCGTAGATTTATTTGTAATCGGTACAACAAATGAAACGATTTTGTGTCTTATGTTGCACAGTTGAGCTGCGCTGCGACCTTCGTCAAATGGAAGACAACTGCAAAACGGAAGGACAGTTGCCGAAACCTAATTGAACGAAACAAGATCAAGATTTATGCACACGCGAAAGATAACTACCAACTTGAAAGCAAAAAAAAATAATAAAAAAAAAAAAACAACTAAAATAAAGGTGACTAAAAACAGTGTCAATATCTGATCATTGTGTAGTGTTTTGAGTGTCAACTTAACGATTTGCAACACGTTGCAAAAAAGGTTAACTATTAATTGGCCAACTCGTGTGTGCATCTTTGAGCCGCAAAACGTGCGGCCGCAGACGGACAGCAGACAGGCAAAGTGACAACAGTTGCAGTGGCTGCAATCGAGTCTCAAGTGACATCGAGTGAAATTGTCGTGCCAAATTTGCAAAATTGAAGTGCAATTTACAAGTTGGTCGCGCAAATTGCCGGCGCTTGTTTAACACTTTTACAACAGACCCAAAACCAATTTCAATTTGAATTTCAATTGCTAACTAAACGCAAACGCAATCTGAACTGCAATTGCAATTGCAATTGCAATTTATGCCACGGCAAATAGTTGTGT